GAACGTAAGACAAACTCTGTTGATCTTTATCCTCTTCTCTCTCTCTCTCTCTCTCTCTCTCTCTCTCTCTCTCTCTCTCTCTCTCTCTCTCTCTCTCTCTCTCTCTCTCTCTCTCTCTCTCTCTCTCTCTCTCTCTCTCTCTCTCTCTCTCTCTCTCTCTCTCTCTCTCTCTCTCCTTCTTCTTCTTCTTCGTTGTATACTTCTCTTCTTTTTCGTATGGTCTCGTTACCTTAAGGGCCACGGGATCTTCACGCGGTCTCCTCTGCTCATATCTTCATACACTTGTTCGGGTTCTCTTGGGTCCACTATAACCGGGCGTCGCGGCGCGGCGCACACTCATCAATTGATGTCGGAGGGACTTGGGTGCCTGACCTGGGGATCTGCTGCACTACTGACACATCGAACTCAGAGTGGCTCACTCTCCATAGTGAAACCAATTCACGCTCGGAACTGGCACCATGGTCGCTGACTTGGCACATTCCTGGGCGTTGGTTCATTGGTAGATACATGTAGTGTCTTGAGGCTTCTTCATTCAGGGCAGTCATGGTCCATTCGGGATGGTCGGCACTTGGTCACTCCGGGCGTTGTCCATTCAGGATGATCCTTCATCATTCGGGGTAGTTGCATTCCATTCGGGCTGTTGGTTGTCCATCCAGGCTATCGTCGACTCCACGAGCTTCAGTGGCCACATGGTCTCGCTGGTTGAGGTCCTCAACTCCGTGTCGGGTCCCACTCGGGGTCTCCGTAGTCGCAGTATCCTGGATGTCCATCTTCAACATGGTGGTGGTACCATTCAGGGTGTCGATGGCTGGGTCTACTCGCGTAGCTTCACGCTCAGGCTGCTGGGGATTCGAAGTACCTTGGAATGTCTTGGCCTCGCCAAGAAGGGTAGCTCACCGGGGTACGTTCACCGGGGCACTTCACGGTCTCCCTTCGTCAGACTAGGTCGGGATCGGACTGGGTGCTGCGCACCTCCGGTCAGTTGAGGTAAAACACGACTAGGTATCCATACTCCACATCTACGGAACGTTCCTGCTGTCCGTTCGCCTGGGGTCGGTATGCCAACGTAGCTCGCTGTCGACTACCCAGAAGTTCCCTGAACCGGGTGAAGACTTTACTCATGAACCTGGGATCCTGATCGTGACGCAATAGGGAGCTGGCTCCGAAGCAGCGGAACACCCTCTCCTCATACGCTTCAGCGACATCCTGAGCGGTAGTAGAGCTCATCGGTTTGCACATCACGAATCCCGAAAACGCATCCTGGAACAGGAGCAAGAATGTGTTATCCCGCTCGGACTTCGGTAAGTGGGTCACGAAATCCATCGGGACCACTTCGAAGGGATCTCTGTGCTCAATGTTCCCGGGCGAGGGTCCTGGATTTGGCGGACGCCCCTTGCCACTGGCGCAGTCGGTGCACTCCTTGACGTATCTTTCAACATCAGCGTACATCCCTGGCCAGTAGAACTCCAGCCGGAGTTTCTCGTGAGTCCAAGTTATTTTCTGATGGCCACCTTGGAAATTCTCATGGGCGTAATGCAACATGTCCAGACGGAGTGCTTCCGGTACGACTAGGCGCAATTCGTCGGTCTTGTCGCGAGGTTGGTCCCGACTAGACCTGACCAGTCGATAGAGCACATCCCGAACGTCCAACACAAATAGGTCCGTCCGCTTGGACAACTTGCGGATCTCCAGCCGGGAAAAGTCATCCAGGTCGCCTTTGAGGAACTTCTTCAGATTAATCAACTCGGGATCAGCGTCCTGGTGCACCTTATTCCGGCGCCACCTCTCAGCTTTATACTCAAGCGGATTCATAGACTCACCCTGGTTGCGGTCCTCACGGCTCTGGCTACGAGTTATCGCGGCCATGACCCTGGCTGCCATTGGCAGGGGAGCTGACCCCGGCCCGGAACCAGCATCATCGGGCGCCCCAGTCGTAGATTCCTGACTGGGCTCATCGGGGGGGGGTCGTCGCTTGGGGCCACTTCAGACTTCATGATATGCTCGTGGATCTGAGAAACGCGCCCCAGATGTTCCATCTTATCCGGGTCGTCGATCGTACATGATCCTCCGAGCGCCAGCGTCTTGGACGTCAAGTAATCTGCAGCCTGGTTGTACTCCCGCTTGAGATGTACCAGCCGGATCGAGGTGAAGTTCGGTTTCATCTCCTCCTACTCGGCCAGACGTCGCTGCAGATTTGGCTGGTTGCAGTTAATCAGTCATTGAGCCTATTGGATGACGATCCGAGAGTCTCCGACAACAGCCACATCCGGGATACCCCGGCCGTGGATCATCTTCAACCTATTCAGGAGGCCGAGGTATTCAGCGTCATTCACCGTAACATCATCCAGGATGAAATCTTGCGCGACCAGGAGCTTCCAGCCGGGGAGTTCCCAGATGATACATCCACAACTTCCTCGCCTCGTCGATGTCTTCGCAGCTCCGTCGAAACTCAAGACGTGTCCAGCAAAATTAGCCTCCAGCATCTTCACACTGATCACCGGTGGGGGGGGGTCCCTTGACCCTTGGCCGGGATGAGCGACTCAGCAACCCCGTTCAGGTGCCCACGCGGCGTTATGCCAGTGCCCAGAATCGCGGTCAGGCCGTCTTCGTCTCGCTTCACCTTCTGCACTTCCAAGTCCCAATGGGATAGTATTAACCCCCCCCCGGACATGTCGGCCATCAGCGGTCTTGGGCTTCAACAGCCAGGACAGTACTGAGTACCTGGTGTACACCTTGATCGGGCAACCCTGGACGAGAGCGTTAAACACATCTAGGACCCGCATGACAGCAACCGCCTCCTTCTGGGCGAGGTGGTATCAAATCTCTGCGTCGTTCAGCACGCACCCCGTGAACCCCACAGACTGGATCACTCCATCATACTCCTGGCCGAGGACCGCGCAGGCGGCCCAGCGGTTAGCACGCGGGACAATCACGAATGGCTTGGTCCGGTCGGGGTGTCGCAACAGGGGTGTCGACACAATCTTCCGTTTCAAGATCTCGAATGCCTCCTTCCCCCTTGACAGATCCCGGCCGGACTTCACTTGTTCATACGTAAACACGTACAGGACTACAGCCACAACCGGGAATTCCTCAATGAACTTGTGATAGTAGTTGAGGCTCCCGAGGAACGACTGAACTCTCTTCAGGGTGGATTGGAACGGTAGATCCTGAACGCCCTTCGCGATCTTCGGAGTCGCGCGCAGTCCTTCGGCACTGGTCTCGTGGGAGAGATACGGGATACTCAGCTTCCCGAACTCACTCTTGGGCAGGCTGACAGAGATTGTAATGGGCCTACTTTGGCCCACTACTTTAGCTTACACGTGTGCGCGTGTATGTGAGGAAGCGTAGCTTAGTTTAAATTAGAGTTAATTATACTCGTGCCTCCGAGTATAGATTAATCTAAATAAACGATCCAAATAATGTTTTGGGTTAAAATGAGAACTGCTATTTTTGTTTTATGTTTCTGACTTCCTCTAAATGTAATATTCTAAGTTGCGAATCTGCCAACGACTGGTTGGCAGCATTCCTACGCTATGCATGTCGCTCATTGGCTAAAAGATGCTGCTTTCAGCCAATAGGAATCCGAAGTCTCTATGAACCACCCGTCGTGGTGATCGTAAATGTATGCAGCCTTTGGTGTGTCTACACCAAAGTCGAGAAAGTCTTTCGAACCTCTAACAGACGTCGTGTCTGTTAGAGTTACAAGTGACTGTAGCCACTTGTGCGTGTAACCTTGTTACAGGGATGTTCCAATAGCGGAACCGGAATACCAGCGCATTCAGGTCCTCACACAACTGATCCCAGGTGGGTGCCCCATGCGCAATGTCATCGATGTAGGAACTCCGTCCGAGGACAGGTCCCAGCTGGGACGGCATCGGGATGTTGCGTTGGAACACAGTCATCTGCTCCACCAGGATGGGAACGCTAGCTCCGGCCTTCTCCCGTTCGAGCTCATCCCGGACGGACGAGTCCAAACCGAGGAACGCAAGCACATCCGGGTCCACCTGCTCCTCTTCTTCCCGGGGGAGACGCACGAAACCCCAAAGGCAGTTGTTGATCACCGCCTGATATACGAGTGGGGCGTTCTTGTGTCCAAATGGCATGCGTACCCACTGGAAGTGTCCCAATGGACAGATGAACGCGGAGATTAACTTTGCACGTTCCGTCATCCGGACCGCCCAGAATCCGCTCGCCATGTCCAGACTCATGAACCACATAGCGGCTTCGAATCCAATCAGGAGATCATCGATCACGGGCAACGGGTAGCTAGAAATCCGGATGAACCCATTAACCACCCAGTAGTCGAAGCACATTCGGATGTCCACACCATTCTTCTTGAGAACGATCACAATTGGGGAGGCCCACGGCGACAGCGACATCTCGATCAGGCCCGTTTCCAGCAGCTTCTTCAGAAGCTCGTACACCTTCATCATCAAGTGGGGGGGGGGGGGGGGCAATGGACCTTGGCCGTTGAGCAACCGGTTTTGCGTCACCCACATCCAGGTCACACACCACGCCCCTAGCCGGGGCCGGCGCAGCATTGCCATCCCCAAGGAAGATCTTGCGGTGATACTTGAGTATAGAGCGCAACTTTTGTTCCGCATCCGGGGTAGTCCGTCCGGGCCCTCCAACATCCGCCTTGTCGATATCACATTTAGGACCAGGTCCTTCAGCTCAGGAAGCAAGGCCAATTCGTCACGCAACTGGGACAACAACTTGCCCCCCTCGTGCAGATACACTCCCGCTTCCAGGTCGAGCTCCTCCTGATTGATTCGCATGCATCGATTGTACTCTTCCTCCAGCTTCCGCAGCGGGGTACTGGGCATCGGCGCAGTGGATATGCCAGGCTCTTCCCGGTCGGAATGTCTTCCGAGCGGTCACCATCCAGGTCGGACTCGGCCAAATCAGATGTTCAGGTTCAACTCATCAGAACTCGGATCAGACTCAGCTGCGGCCCCGACATCGCTGTGAGCGTCCTCGACAGTCGGACGTCGACCGGATTAGGCTTCGTTATCATCTCCATCCGAGACTCCCTCGACGGATCCCGCCCGGGGCTCAGTGTTACCCTGCTGGGGCATCACCAGACGGTCCGTCTGGGACCCCGACTCAGGCCATAGGGGAATCCTGGTCGGCCATTCCCGCTGCGGTATTTCTACGGTTGGGGGCTGCCGACTCCACTCGAGCTCGATGTGCTCTTGCTCACGCGCCTCTGCTTCCGGAGACACTGTGTTCTCGTAGATCAGCTGTTGCCACTCCTGATACCGCTTGCTTCCCGGCCGGACAAATCTCCCAAACCGGGGAAAATGTCCGAACTCGACGATCCGGGTCACAGGAGTCCGGTTGTCGATCCACACTCTCTGCTTGGAGATGTTCACCACTTTCACCGAAGACGCCAACGACTTGGTAGCATACACGATCTTGGTGACTCAACGATCACCCGGGCCGGCCCACACAACATTCAGTTGGGGGTTGCTCTGGCCGTACCTGACCTTCACGATCGCATGTTCCCCCGGACGGAGATAAATCCCCTCATCTGGGGTTACCGGGAGATCCAAGCCCACTCTGTCGCGGCGCGGACCGTCACACATCACAACAGTTTCTTCGTCCGGGAGCTGCACTAGTCCTTCTCGCACGCTCAACCGCACTCCAGCCGCATAGATGAAGTTCATCCCCAGAAGTACTTCCAATCCTTCGCCGATATTCGCTAGCCAGACACTCATCACATACACCACGCGGAATCCCAGAGTGATCTTCACCCGGGCGTACGACGTAATGTTCGTGGGAGCACCTCCTAATCCGGACACCCTGATCGGCTCCGGCAACATCCGGAATTTCAGCTTGAGCCTACGCGCAAGGTCCAAGCTAATCATGCTTCCAGATGCACCAGTGTCCAAGCGTATCCTCGTTCGGAGATCGTTCACCGCCCCATGCACTATCGTCACTTCATGATTCTCTTCAGGCTCGTGATCCTCCCACCATCCGTATCTCTGTCCGGACTGTAGGATGACTTCGACTTGGTCATCGCCATCCGGGTTTCTCCTCAGCCAGGGTACTCCGGCTGGACTCCTTCGACTCCGCTTGGGACGGCTTGGCTTCTTCAACTTCATCCTCGAAACACACCCGACCTTCAGATTCGTAGCCGGACTCCCTCCCCGTCCGAAGTTGCAACAAACGCACGGCGCCTCGGCTTGAAACGGGAATCCTGGATGTTGCCCGCTCGGAAGTCCCGCCTGGGCGGTGGCGTATCATACCCCCATCCACGTTCAGGTCCTCCTGCTGCTCCAGGATGTCTTCGAGGTCGTCTAGGCTGTGGATCTTCTGGTTAGCCAGGATGGCCTTCAGCTGGGAGTCCCTGAGGTTCTTCAGGAAACGCTTGACGTGTTGCTTGCGTTCCTTCTTGGACTTCCGGTACTTGATCCCCGCCTTGACTGCAGCCTCGTTCAGCCTGTAGAAGAACTCCATCGGGGTCTCAGACGTCTTCTGCCGCATGGTATAGTACCGTTCAGACTCCGATGTCCGAAGCTTCAAGTACTTGCGACGGAACTCCTGGACGAAGCGTTTCCAATTGCTCTGGACGTGCTTCTCCAGCTGGCCGCGCCAATTCCGGACGACAGGCGACAACTTCATCTTGAGCGCTCGAACCTTGGTCTGGTCGGACCAACCACCCTGGACGGAAATGTTGGTGAACTTCTCCCACCAGGTACGTCGATCTCCCAACGGGGCCTTCTCATCGAACTGACCCAGCATGCTGGAGTTGACATACCGGCGGAACGTCCAGGAGGTCTTGCCATCCCCAATCGTAGTTGACTCCACGGTCGGTGTAGTGTCCTCATCGTCCAGGCTATCGTCCGAGCTGGAGCTGTCATCATCCGAGCTCGAGGAACTGGAGCCTGAATCCGGGGACGAGTCGCGATCCCGGCGGCGTTCCTTGTGCGGTGCCTTCTTGCGATCGTCCTTCCTGGGCGGGTCCTTCTTTAGCTCCGTTCTTCCTCACCGCCGTCTTGGTCCCCGGACGGGAGGTCCCCGTCGGGGCAACCTGCGTCGCCGTAGTAGATCGGTGCGCCGCATTAACTGTGGCCGGACCACGGTCGACCTAAGAGTCCTTGCTAGACGCGCGACGTCGGCTTCCGGCAGTGTCGCCAGTAGCTGTTCCCAACCGGCTTCGGTCGTGTTCTTCTGTCCCGGCTGTGCACCTGCGACCGTTGCGTTTCCCGTGATTACGCCCGTTGCCCGTTCAGGGTTGTCACTTCCCATTTGTATGGGAGTTGCCCGATTAGGGTCGGATGTTCCCCGTTCAGGTTGGGCTTGGGCAGATGTTGCTTGAAGGTCACGTATCTGTCCCACATGGAAACGCTGGATATTCTGAGCAGACTTACGTTCCTGCGCACGCACGACTTCCGAAGCCTGTAGCCTGGCTGCCAACGCGGCCAGGTCCTGCTGGGCCTGCCCGACCCGGGCGGCCATCTCGGCGGCGTGCTTCGCGTCGGCTTCAGCTAGCTGTCGGCGGATGTACTCCGCGGCGGCTGCCTCCACACGCTCATTCTCGGTCCGCGCAGCTTCAAGACGAGCGGCTTCGACGTTGGTCTCGGCCGTCAGGGACTGCGAGGCGGCCTGGGACGCCTGGGCGTAGACCTCATGCAGGTGTCGCTCAAGCTCCTGGGCCCGTCGCTCGGCTTCGCGTGCCTCCCGTTGGGCTTTGGCCAGAGCAAGCCCGGCTTCGGCATCCCGACCGGGGTCCTTCCCGGTCGACACAGCTTCGACAGCTCGGCACCAAGCTGCTGGACCTGGTGGAAGGTCGACACCGCCATCTCCGCCATCCCCGATTGGGCCGACAGGCTTGTCCGTCCGGACCGGGTGGACCGGTACGAGCGCCTGGATCGACTCGAGCACCTGGATGGGGATCGGTCTCGTGATGACCTCCGGGTTGAACGTCGGCCGCGACGCCGAGCATCTCCATCCGAGTCCGAGCCACTCGACAGCGAGTCATACCTTGAGCGTCGATACGTCTGGGACCTCGTTGACGTGCGCGTTCGGGATGTCGCCCGGCTGGCCACCTCGCCCAAGCGTGCCAAGTTGGCATCAGCCTGATCGAGGGTCGGCTCTCGTTTGGGGACTACTTCACGCGTCACGTAGAACCCCACGTCTCCTGCGCCAACCGACACACCTATCAGACCCCGGGCGGACATCGCCAAGATCCCAACTGGGGCATCGGCATGTGCGACGCAGCGCTGTACCCGAGCGTCGAGATCGACGAGTCCGAGGTGGAGTTCCTGGACACGTACGGCTCGGACGTCGCGCCGTAGGAAGCCCGGTCGGAGGTGCCAACTATGCTCGGGACAGGGTCCGAAGTTGCACCTCTGGCCGGGGCATCCCGGGCGGACCCCTCAACCGACGGAAACTCGGACGGCAGCGACTCGAACTGGGACGGCGGAGATGCAAGAGAGCTCTCGGCCCTCGGTGGCGCATGCTGCGGACGCTTGGGAGCTGGACGACCCGCTCGGACTCCGGATGGGATGAAAACCAGTCAAGCGTAGGCGTAGGACATATGTCCGGCCCAGTAAGATTTCGTAGTCGTTTATCAATAGATCTCCATCCGCGTCTTTCGCGTGGCAATCCATGATCGGCGGCTTCTCTGTCTTCGCTTGGCCCTCTAACGCTGGCAGGACCTTGAACGTCGCTCCGACGACCAGCTCGCGCCACTCGATGAGCTCGACCGCAAGCAGTCGCTGGACATCTCCGACCAGGGTCCGGATGGACATCGGCGCCAACTTGGACACTCGCATCTCCACCCAGGCCGGTACCACGTTGACGAACTGGAACCCGTCCTCGAACAGGAGCGTCTGCAGGACCGCAACGCACTCCCGCGAGTCCAGCAACCCGGTTGGGATCTGGACCCCGGCCAGGTCCTGGGCAGTCGACAAGTCTCGCCGGCTGGGTGCCAGGTCGGCCAACCAAACTTTGACCGGGTCCTGCGAGGCCACCTTGGACGCCAGGTACTTGGGCGTCGCAAGTGTCGCGGTCAACCACCGCACGGAGTCCCGTCCGGACGGGACTCCGGCCAGGCGTACTCCACATTCGGCGGAAGTGTGAACCCAGGCCGGGCTCTCTCCCACCGAGACGTCTGCAACGCCGCGTACGTCTTTGCCGCTTGGACACTTGAGTGCTCGGCCGGCAACTCCACCGGCGGGTTACCCCGGCTGGCCTTCACCGAGAGTTGGGTCACCGCCTTCGCAGGAACGGCGGCCGGCTTCTCCTCCTCGGCAGACAGCGTCGGCTTGGGTTCAGCGGACACTTGCGCGTTCGGCTGCACATCTTGGCCAGGCAGAGAGGAGTCCGAAAATCAACCCTCCGCCTGGGGCTCATCCACGTCGGCGCCTCCCTCAGACGCCTGGTTGGGTTCACCCTGACCGGGATCCCCCTCAGCGGTCTTCGGCTCATCGCCCGCGTCAGCACGTTCGGGTTCGCCGTCCTTCGATACTTGATGCGCGTCATCTGGGACGGCCGGCTCGGGTGCCGGCTGGACTTGGTTCGAAAACCCATCTCCGGCCAGGGCCGCCTTCCGCTTTTCAGCGTTAACCCTCTGAGCATTGCGTTGAACCTCTTCCAGGATCGGTTGCTCCTCGGGCGGCAGCCCCGCCGCACGACGCGATTGACGCGACGCCTCTCCGCGTCCTCGTCCTCCGCGCCCTCCTTCGCGCATGTCGCCTTGCTTAGCTGTCATAGACGCTAGTTAGGAATGTTAGCACACCTCACATTTATAAACTTACAAAATATAAACAACTCCGGTGAAATCCCTGGTTCGAATCCGGGCACGCGCACCAGCTGAGGCGAGGCGGGTGAACGCCTGACCACCCAGGTGTATAGCTTGGCGCGTCCCGGGTGTAGACTCCCGAATGGGGTGCACCCAGAACAAACCCTAGTCGGAGATAGTACACCTAGATGTACACTCCAACCGGGGTGGTGTGTGTCCTTGTGAACAATCCCTGTGGGTTCGTTTGTCTTCGTAACCAGGGGACTTCAAATGTGGATGAGTTGTCTTGATACTTGTAGGTCGCTTGGTAGCAGGGCAGAACGTAACCTTCCTGGACGTCGCCTCTGACAGCCCTCAGATAACGAAACAATACAAACAGATACAGAGTTATATACAAACACGTAGCCCTTCCTTACTATTTTGGACCGTGAAAGGGTCGGTCACTACTCCAGTCAACTCCAGCCGGACTCCGGGATACTGGTCAATCCCGGACGGCTTTGGCTCACGCGCACCACCCTTAAATACTGAGGGAAACTACCACAATCAATTACCTCCTATCACACAATAGCTCTTAAATCAATACTTCCCACCCGGGGTGAAATGGTAATCAATACTACGAAATGCGGGGCCTTCCTGGTCTGGACGAGCTGAACTGCAACTAGGAAAAGAAATGGGATGGATCAACCTCGGGTTGTCGCCTGGTACTCACCCCAACTTGGACTGGACTTTGTTGCGGGAGCTCGACCCAGACGTCACAGTTGCTGGGCCCTCACACGTAGACTTGGTCGGTCCTCCGGGAATGCACGTCCGGTAGGCTGCTCGGACTCACTTGCGCGATCCTTGGCAAAACGAACTCTGTTTATCTGTTATCTGTGGTCTCTCTGCCTGTCTGGCTATCTTCTGTCGATCTTTAAATGCAGTCCATCTTGACTTATCTTCACTATGATCTTGTCGCCGTAATCGTCCGCGGTCCATCGTAGCATACTTCCAGCAAGTATAATCGTCACTGGGTACGCAAGCGAAGTTCAATGTTCCACGGAATCCGAATAGATCTTGGCTGGTCGACTTGGGCGGTCGAAAACATCTTGTACTTGATATTCCGGACGCCTGCCAAAAGTGGAGTAACTTTCCGCATAAGCCGACTTAAGAAATTTTATATTTGCCAGGCGTAGATTTCGCCTCAGTAAACGAAGGGCCACTTCGCCCCCTCATCGTGCAACTGCATAAACGTTATCTTGAATAAAGTATACCCCACCTTTTTACAGCAACTTGCTGGCAACCCCCCCGACCTTTCACACATATCGACCTCTGCACAATTTATATTTAGAGACGAATTTAGAGAAACACTTTATGTCGATTGAATGTCACTTTTGGGAGGCACCCACTGTATCTTCACATCTGGGATGGTATCTTGGTGTCTTGGTATCTCCATCCGGGGTTTATGATTATCTCCAAACGGGATTACACTCCACTTGGGCTTCACGTCCGGGATGTCTTGGACAGCTTCACGGTTTCTGGGTCTTCACTCTATCTGGCCGGACTCATCTTGCGTTGTACAGTGCACCAAGAGCAGGCGGCCTCCAGTCGGAGGCACTTCCACGCTCCCTTGGGCTATGCCTCTCGTTCGGTACTTGGTTCCATCCGGGTCCGCTCCTCGGGACATCTCCATCCGGCGTCACCAAACCTTGTACACTGCCAACGCGAGTCAGGCCGGGATCCGCTTTTACCATACGCCACGTGTCACTGCCCCCCCCCCCCCCTCTTCCATAGTGAGCCTCTGAGCCAACCAATCACAGGCGCGGCTCGGGGAATCCTCGAAAATCTCCAATCCCATCGTGTCAACTGATTACCATTTCACCCCGGGTGGAGTAGCCCCGGGTGGGAAGTATTGATTTAAGAGCTATTGTGTGATAGGAGGTAATTGATTGTGGTAGTTTCCCTCAGTATTTAAGGGTGGTGCGCGTGAGCCAAAGCCGTCCGGGATTGACCAGTATCCCGGAGTCCGGCTGGAGTTGACTGGAGTGTGACCGACCCTTTCACGGTCCAAAATAGTAAGGAAGGGCTACGTGTTTGTATATAACTCTGTATCTGTTTGTATTGTTTGGTTATCTGAGGGCTGTCAGAGGCGACGTCCAGGAAGGTTACGTTCTGCCCTGCTACCAAGCGACCTACAAGTATCAAGACAACTCATCCACATTTGAAGTCCCCTGGTTACGAAGACAAACGAACCCACAGGGATTGTTCACAAGGACACACACCACCCCGGTTGGAGTGTACATCTAGGTGTACTATCTCCGACTAGGGTTTGTTCTGGGTGCACCCCATTCGGGAGTCTACACCCGGGACGCGCCAAGCTATACACCTGGGTGGTCAGGCGTTCACCCGCCTCGCCTCAGCTGGTGCGCGTGCCCGGATTCGAACCAGGGATTTCACCGGAGTTGTTTATATTTTGTAAGTTTATAAATGTGAGGTGTGCTAACTTTCCTAACTAGCGTCTATGACAGCTAAGCAAGGCGACATGCGCGAAGGAGGGCGCGGAGGACGAGGACGCGGAGAGGCGTCGCGTCAATCGCGTCGTGCGGCGGGGCTGCCGCCCGAGGAGCAACCGATCCTGGAAGAGGTTCAACGCAATGCTCAGAGGGTTAACGCTGAAAAGCGGAAGGCGGCCCTGGCCGGAGATGGGTTTTCGAACCAAGTCCAGCCGGCACCCGAGCCGGCCGTCCCAGATGACGCGCATCAAGTATCGAAGGACGGCGAACCCGAACGTGCTGACGCGGGCGATGAGCCGAAGACCGCTGAGGGGGATCCCGGTCAGGGTGAACCCAACCAGGCGTCTGAGGGAGGCGCCGACGTGGATGAGCCCCAGGCGGAGGGTTGATTTTCGGACTCCTCTCTGCCTGGCCAAGATGTGCAGCCGAACGCGCAAGTGTCCGCTGAACCCAAGCCGACGCTGTCTGCCGAGGAGGAGAAGCCGGCCGCCGTTCCTGCGAAGGCGGTGACCCAACTCTCGGTGAAGGCCAGCCGGGGTAACCCGCCGGTGGAGTTGCCGGCCGAGCACTCAAGTGTCCAAGCGGCAAAGACGTACGCGGCGTTGCAGACGTCTCGGTGGGAGAGAGCCCGGCCTGGGTTCACACTTCCGCCGAATGTGGAGTACGCCTGGCCGGAGTCCCGTCCGGACGGGACTCCGTGCGGTGGTTGACCGCGACACTTGCGACGCCCAAGTACCTGGCGTCCAAGGTGGCCTCGCAGGACCCGGTCAAAGTTTGGTTGGCCGACCTGGCACCCAGCCGGCGAGACTTGTCGACTGCCCAGGACCTGGCCGGGGTCCAGATCCCAACCGGGTTGCTGGACTCGCGGGAGTGCGTTGCGGTCCTGCAGACGCTCCTGTTCGAGGACGGGTTCCAGTTCGTCAACGTGGTACCGGCCTGGGTGGAGATGCGAGTGTCCAAGTTGGCGCCGATGTCCATCCGGACCCTGGTCGGAGATGTCCAGCGACTGCTTGCGGTCGAGCTCATCGAGTGGCGCGAGCTGGTCGTCGGAGCGACGTTCAAGGTCCTGCCAGCGTTAGAGGGCCAAGCGAAGACAGAGAAGCCGCCGATCATGGATTGCCACGCGAAAGACGCGGATGGAGATCTATTGATAAACGACTACGAAATCTTACTGGGCCGGACATATGTCCTACGCCTACGCTTGACTGGTTTTCATCCCATCCGGAGTCCGAGCGGGTCGTCCAGCTCCCAAGCGTCCGCAGCATGCGCCACCGAGGGCCGAGAGCTCTCTTGCATCTCCGCCGTCCCAGTTCGAGTCGCTGCCGTCCGAGTTTCCGTCGGTTGAGGGGTCCGCCCGGGATGCCCCGGCCAGAGGTGCAACTTCGGACCCTGTCCCGAGCATAGTTGGCACCTCCGACCGGGCTTCCTACGGCGCGACGTCCGAGCCGTACGTGTCCAGGAACTCCACCTCGGACTCGTCGATCTCGACGCTCGGGTACAGCGCTGCGTCGCACATGCCGATGCCCCAGTTGGGATCTTGGCGATGTCCGCCCGGGGTCTGATAGGTGTGTCGGTTGGCGCAGGAGACGTGGGGTTCTACGTGACGCGTGAAGTAGTCCCCAAACGAGAGCCGACCCTCGATCAGGCTGATGCCAACTTGGCACGCTTGGGCGAGGTGGCCAGCCGGGCGACATCCCGAACGCGCACGTCAACGAGGTCCCAGACGTATCGACGCTCAAGGTATGACTCGCTGTCGAGTGGCTCGGACTCGGATGGAGATGCTCGGCGTCGCGGCCGACGTTCAACCCGGAGGTCATCACGAGACCGATCCCCATCCAGGTGCTCGAGTCGATCCAGGCGCTCGTACCGGTCCACCCGGTCCGGACGGACAAGCCTGTCGGCCCAATCGGGGATGGCGGAGATGGCGGTGTCGACCTTCCACCAGGTCCAGCAGCTTGGTGCCGAGCTGTCGAAGCTGTGTCGACCGGGAAGGACCCCGGTCGGGATGCCGAAGCCGGGCTTGCTCTGGCCAAAGCCCAACGGGAGGCACGCGAAGCCGAGCGACGGGCCCAGGAGCTTGAGCGACACCTGCATGAGGTCTACGCCCAGGCGTCCCAGGCCGCCTCGCAGTCCCTGACGGCCGAGACCAACGTCGAAGCCGCTCGTCTTGAAGCTGCGCGGACCGAGAATGAGCGTGTGGAGGCAGCCGCCGCGGAGTACATCCGCCGACAGCTAGCTGAAGCCGACGCGAAGCACGCCGCCGAGATGGCCGCCCGGGTCGGGCAGGCCCAGCAGGACCTGGCCGCGTTGGCAGCCAGGCTACAGGCTTCGGAAGTCGTGCGTGCGCAGGAACGTGAGTCTGCTCAGAATATCCAGCGTTTCCATGTGGGACAGATACGTGACCTTCAAGCAACATCTGCCCAAGCCCAACCTGAACGGGGAACATCCGACCCTAATCGGGCAACTCCCATACAAATGGGAAGTGACAACCCTGAACGGGCAACGGGCGTAATCACGGGAAACGCAACGGTCGCAGGTGCACAGCCGGGACAGAAGAACACGACCGAAGCCGGTTGGGAACAGCTACTGGCGACACTGCCGGAAGCCGACGTCGCGCGTCTAGCAAGGACTCTTAGGTCGACCGTGGTCCGGCCACAGTTAATGCGGCGCACCGATCTACTACGGCGACGCAGGTTGCCCCGACGGGGACCTCCCGTCCGGGGACCAAGACGGCGGTGAGGAAGAACGGAGCTAAAGAAGGACCCGCCCAGGAAGGACGATCGCAAGAAGGCACCGCACAAGGAACGCCGCCGGGATCGCGACTCGTCCCCGGATTCAGGCTCCAGTTCCTCGAGCTCGGATGATGACAGCTCCAGCTCGGACGATAGCCTGGACGATGAGGACACTACACCGACCGTGGAGTCAACTACGATTGGGGATGGCAAGACCTCCTGGACGTTCCGCCGGTATGTCAACTCCAGCATGCTGGGTCAGTTCGATGAGAAGGCCCCGTTGGGAGATCGACGTACCTGGTGGGAGAAGTTCACCAACATTTCCGTCCAGGGTGGTTGGTCCGACCAGACCAAGGTTCGAGCGCTCAAGATGAAGTTGTCGCCTGTCGTCCGGAATTGGCGCGGCCAGCTGGAGAAGCACGTCCAGAGCAATTGGAAACGCTTCGTCCAGGAGTTCCGTCGCAAGTACTTGAAGCTTCGGACATCGGAGTCTGAACGGTACTATACCATGCGGCAGAAGACGTCTGAGACCCCGATGGAGTTCTTCTACAGGCTGAACGAGGCTGCAGTCAAGGCGGGGATCAAGTACCGGAAGTCCAAGAAGGAACGCAAGCAACACGTCAAGCGTTTCCTGAAGAACCTCAGGGACTCCCAGCTGAAGGCCATCCTGGCTAACCAGAAGATCCACAGCCTAGACGACCTCGAAGACATCCTGGAGCAGCAGGAGGACCTGAACGTGGATGGGGGTATGATACGCCACCGCCCAGGCGGGACTTCCGAGCGGGCAACATCCAGGATTCCCGTTTCAAGCCGAGGCACCGTGCGTTTGTTGCAACTTCGGACGGGGAGGGAGTCCGGCTACGAATCTGAAGGTCGGGTGTGTTTCGAGGATGAAGTTGAAGAAGCCAAGCCGTCCCAAGCGGAGTCGAAGGAGTCCAGCCGGAGTACCCTGGCTGAGGAGAAACCCGGATGGCGATGACCAAGTCGAAGTCATCCTACAGTCCGGACAGAGATACGGATGGTGGGAGGATCACGAGCCTGAAGAGAATCATGAAGTGACGATAGTGCATGGGGCGGTGAACGATCTCCGAACGAGGATACGCTTGGACACTGGTGCATCTGGAAGCATGATTAGCTTGGACCTTGCGCGTAGGCTCAAGCTGAAATTCCGGATGTTGCCGGAGCCGATCAGGGTGTCCGGATTAGGAGGTGCTCCCACGAACATTACGTCGTACGCCCGGGTGAAGATCACTCTGGGATTCCGCGTGGTGTATGTGATGAGTGTCTGGCTAGCGAATATCGGCGAAGGATTGGAAGTACTTCTGGGGATGAACTTCATCTATGCGGCTGGAGTGCGGTTGAGCGTGCGAGAAGGACTAGTGCAGCTCCCGGACGAAGAAACTGTTGTGATGTGTGACGGTCCGCGCCGCGACAGAGTGGGCTTGGATCTCCCGGTAACCCCAGATGAGGGGATTTATCTCCGTCCGGGGGAACATGCGATCGTGAAGGTCAGGTACGGCCAGAGCAACCCCCAACTGAATGTTGTGTGGGCCGGCCCGGGTGATCGTTGAGTCACCAAGATCGTGTATGCTACCAAGTCGTTGGCGTCTTCGGTGAAAGTGGTGAACATCTCCAAGCAGAGAGTGTGGATCGACAACCGGACTCCTGTGACCCGGATCGTCGAGTTCGGACATTTTCCCCGGTTTGGGAGATTTGTCCGGCCGGGAAGCAAGCGGTATCAGGAGTGGCAACAGCTGATCTACGAGAACACAGTGTCTCCGGAAGCAGAGGCGCGTGAGCAAGAGCACATCGAGCTCGAGTGGAGTCGGCAGCCCCCAACCGTAGAAATACCGCAGCGGGAATGGCCGACCAGGATTCCCCTATGGCCTGAGTCGGGGTCCCAGACGGACCGTCTGGTGATGCCCCAGCAGGGTAACACTGAGCCCCGGGCGGGATCCGTCGAGGGAGTCTCGGATGGAGATGATAACGAAGCCTAATCCGGTCGACGTCCGACTGTCGAGGACGCTCACAGCGATGTCGGGGCCGCAGCTGAGTCTGATCCGAGTTCTGATGAGTTGAACCTGAACATCTGATTTGGCCGAGTCCGACCTGGATGGTGACCGCTCGGAAGACATTCCGACCGGGAAGAGCCTGGCATATCCACTGCGCCGATGCCCAGTACCCCGCTGCGGAAGCTGGAGGAAGAGTACAATCGATGCATGCGAATCAATCAGGAGGAGCTCGACCTGGAAGCGGGAGTGTATCTGCACGAGGGGGGCAAGTTGTTGTCCCAGTTGCGTGACGAATTGGCCTTGCTTCCTGAGCTGAAGGACCTGGTCCTAAATGTGATATCGACAAGGCGGATGTTGGAGGGCCCGGACGGACTACCCCGGATGCGGAACAAAAGTTGCGCTCTATACTCAAGTATCACCGCAAGATCTTCCTTGGGGATGGCAATGCTGCGCCGGCCCCGGCTAGGGGCGTGGTGTGTGACCTGGATGTGGGTGACGCAAAACCGGTTGCTCAACGGCCAAGGTCCATTGCCCCCCCCCCCCCCACTTGATGATGAAGGTGTACGAGCTTCTGAAGAAGCTGCTGGAAACGGGCCTGATCGAGATGTCGCTGTCGCCGTGGGCCTCCCCAATTGTGATCGTTCTCAAGAAGAATGGTGTGGACATCCGAATGTGCTTCGACTACTGGGTGGTTAATGGGTTCATCCGGATTTCTAGCTACCCGTTGCCCGTGATCGATGATCTCCTGATTGGATTCGAAGCCGCTATGTGGTTCATGAGTCTGGACATGGCGAGCGGATTCTGGGCGGTCCGGATGACGGAACGTGCAAAGTTAATCTCCGCGTTCATCTGTCCATTGGGACACTTCCAGTGGGTACGCATGCCATTTGGACACAAGAACGCCCCACTCGTATATCAGGCGGTGATCAACAACTGCCTTTGGGGTTTCGTGCGTCTCCCCCGGGAAGAAGAGGAGCAGGTGGACCCGGATGTGCTTGCGTTCCTCGGTTTGGACTCGTCCGTCCGGGATGAGCTCGAACGGGAGAAGGCCGGAGCTAGCGTTCCCATCCTGGTGGAGCAGATGACTGTGTTCCAACGCAACATCCCGATGCCGTCCCAGCTGGGACCTGTCCTCGGACGGAGTTCCTACATCGATGACATTGCGCATGGGGCACCCACCTGGGATCAGTTGTGTGAGGACCTGAATGCGCTGGTATTCCGGTTCCGCTATTGGAACATCCCTGTAACAAGGTTACACGCACAAGTGGCTACAGTCACTTGTAACTCTAACAGACACGACGTCTGTTAGAGGTTCGAAAGACTTTCTCGACTTTGGTGTAGACACACCAAAGGCTGCATACATTTACGATCACCACGACGGGTGGTTCATAGAGACTTAGGATTCCTATTGGCTGAAAGCAGCATCTTTTAGCCAATGAGCGACATGCATAGCGTAGGAATGCTGCCAACCAGTCGTTGGCAGATTCGCAACTTAGAATATTACATTTAGAGGAAGTCAGAAACATAAAACAAAAATAGCAGTTCTCATTTTAACCCAAAACATTATTTGGATCGTTTATTTAGATTAATCTATACTCGGAGGCACGAGTATAATTAACTCTAATTTAAACTAAGCTACGCTTCCTCACATACACGCGCACACGTGTAAGCTAAAGTAGTGGGCCAAAGTAGGCCCATTACAATCTCTGTCAGCCTGCCCAAGAGTGAGTTCGGGAAGCTGAGTATCCCGTATCTCTCCCACGAGACCAGTGCCGAAGGACTGCGCGCGACTCCGAAGATCGCGAAGGGCGTTCAGGATCTACCGTTCCAATCCAGTTCAGTCGTTCCTCGGGAGCCTCAACTACTATCACAAGTTCATTGAGGATTTCCCGGTTGTGGCTGTAGTCCTGTACGAGCTTACGGATGAACAAGTGAAGTCTTGCGCTAAGTTCGACTGAGGCGGAGTACATGGCGCTCAGCGAATGTTTGAAGGAGGTGGTGTAGATGCGACGACTACTCAAGGATTTGGGTGCGGAGCAGGATGGACCTACGGTGATCTACGAGGACAACCAAGGTACCATGGCGTTGGCGAAGAATGTCTGCTACCAGGCTTGCACCAAGCACATCGACATCCGGTACCACTTCATCCGCGAGAAGACGGCGAATTGAGTAGGGGTGCTGCGATTGGACACTTCGCGGTCTAGTTCGGTGTAATGAGCCTTCTTTGGCTCACTACTCGAGCTTACACGTATGTGCACGTGTATGAGGAAGCGTAGGTTTCTTTTACTTGAGTTAAGTATACTCGAGGTCCACGAGTATACTTTAAACAAGATGAAGACTCCAAGTAGCGGGTTTCGGTAAAAGATGAGAACTGCTATTTTTGTTTTATGTGTCTGACTTCCTCTAAATGTAATATTGTAAACTAGGAATCTACCAACGGCTGGTTGGCAGGATTCGGCTAACATGCAAGTCACTCATTGGCTAAAAGATGCTGCTTTCAGCCAATAGGACTCCTAAATGTGTATGGACCACCCGTCGTGGTGGTCGTAAATATATGTAGCCATTGGTGTACCTTACACCAAGGTCGAGGAAGTGTTCAAACCTCTAACAGACATCGCATCTGTTAGAGTAATAAGTGACTGTAGCCACTTGTGCGTGTGACCCCGTTACAAGTTGTGTGACTCCGCATCGAGGCACGTGTAGCTGTGGAGTTGTTGGCAAGGGTGTACAATTGCAACGGAGTGCTGCAATGTGATTGGCCGGTTTACCGGATTTGGTGATTCTGATAGGCCGAGAGGAGGTCAAGTTGAAGTTGCCGTTTTCATGGGATTTGCAACAATCGGCATTCTCCCTGTGCAGCCCTGAATGCGCATGGTAGAGTTATAAGCTAATACTTCGTGTAATCGTTGGTAAGACATGATAGAACAGATAGTTTTGCTAAACTCAATCTAATTCACTTTCGGGTTTCCTTCCTAACCAACACTCGACTGCCAAGCCTCTCCCGCATAATCTCAATTTGTACCGTTTGTGCGCACCGCTACAACGTTGGGGGGGGGGGGTCCACTGAATAGCGGCGCCATTTTGGCCTGTGGTCCTGCATCGTTTCGCAACAGCACCTTGTCTCCGGGTGCGTAGGTCCAGTTGCGTCGCTTGTCATTTTCGCGCTTGTTGTTCTTGGTCACTTGCTCTACTTTGCGCTGGTATTGTTCCTCCCAGTCCGTTGCGTGAGCTGTCGAAGAGCATGTCACGACCAAAGGTGGCTTGGGCTGGCGAGGCACCCAGCATGCCGTGGTGAGTAGTTCGCAACGCAAAGGTGGCATCATGAAGGAATGCAGACCAATCATCCTTCGTGTTGATCGTCTGCGTGCGCATCTCCTCACCAATCACTCTATGAAAGCGCTCGATGATCCCGTTTGCCTAGAGGTTGCGAGTTGTAGTCGGTATGGCATCGATGCCAAAGCTTTCGACCAGCTCGAAGAACTCTTTATTGAACTCGGTCCCCTGGGCGTAAATGACACGCACAGGGCGTGGCAGAGCCAGAAGCGATCAAACACAAATGCAGCATCGTCACTAGATGCATCGTCGACTGGCTGAATCTCCGATAGTCGAGTGCTTGTGTTGATTATCGTTAATGCACGGAATTTATTCTTTCAATACGGCCCGATCGAGGCAATGGCCACCTCAAACCATGGCCGCACCACGACTGTCTTGGCGGGCAACGTGCCGTACTTGACCGTCGGGGTTTGCACTTCGTGCACGCAAGACAGTTGCGCACGTATTGCACAAAGTGGCTTCCATGCCCTTCCACCAGAGCGAAGTCTTCATAGTCTGGTACATGGCAGTGCCTCCTGGATGCATGCGCCACTCATGATAGGCTCTCATTACGGACTCCTGCAGGTGGGCTGGCACTACGATACAGCCGCTCTTCGATTCCCCTCGCAACGTTACTCCATTGATCTCCTTCGGCTCCCCACCGAGGCCTACCACACTCCCTTGGGCTTTGGCGAGCTGGTGGAGACTCAAAGAAAATAGCACCGCATTGTCCACCGTAGCTGCCCTCACTTGGGCAGCCGCTTCACCCTACCCCAGGTCGGGTCCCGCTTTGCCAGGCAACCGCGCCAACGCGTCCGCGACGACGTTGTTTTGATGTAGTGACGGCGGGGGCCGAACGCCTTAACTTCGAGGCGCCAGCGCGTCATCTGAATGTTGTTGAACGTTCCGTAGGTCAGGTTCAAGTGGTCCGTGTAGATATGGAGCTCTTGAACCAAAAACATCGCCCGATATTCACGTAGCAGCAGCAGGATACAGAGCAGCTCGAGGAGATTGGCAGGGTATTTGCGTTGAGACTCATTGCACTTCTTGCCCCAGAACGCTAGAGGGCGGATGTGCTGAGTAATGACTGCGCCGAGCAGATACCCGAGGCATCAGTGTAGATGTGAAACGGATCGCCGTAGGTAGGTAACGCGATCTCCACCGTATGCGCCATCACTGCTTTCATCTGGTCGAAGGCTTTAAACTGCGAGTCCGTCCACTGCTACTTGTCCTGCGGGGACATCAGAGCCGTCAGCGGCGCGAGAATGTGTGCTCTGCGAGGCCCCATGTCGCGGTAATAGTTCGCCATGCCGATAAAGCGACGGAGTTGACGTCGCGTGCGCGGTACAGCGATAGACTGGATGGCGGCCACGTTGTCCTGGAGTGGCTGAATACCGCTCGGTCCCCCAGGTAGGACACGCTGTCCGTGCACGGTTTCGACTTGCGCGGATGAATCGTTCACGAAGCCGCTCAAAGACCACACGTAGGTGCCGGAGGTGCTCCTCAAAAGAAGGCCGGCATCGCATTGAAATCATCCAGGTAGACCCACACAAACTCCAAGTCGCCCAAAGTATCATTCATCACCGCTTGAAATTCGTCCGTAGTTGTGGAAACCCCCATCGGCAGTCGGTTGAAGACAAACTTGCCCTAGGGAAACACAATCGTTGTTGCCGCACGACTTCACTTCACCAGGACACGCGTGTAGAAACCCATTGGTACGTCGAAGACAGAGATAAACTTGCAGCGCTGGAACTTACGAAGCATCTCTGGGATGACAGGCATCGGGAAGAATCTGCGCTGCAGCAGTGCGTTTCCGCATCCACTCTCAACACTTGTGCGTGGGGCCAGGCAATGCGTTCATCATGAGAGAAGCCAGCCTCAGCTCGGGGCTCGCAGAGAGCTGACCTAAGGCAGGCCAGGGTGAGGTGTGGTGGGTTTGCGAGCGCGCAGTGGCAGCAAATCATGCTGGGCCGCGCTCGGTGTTGGTCTTGGGCGCTGCTTGTCCGAGGCGAGGGAAGACCACAAATGAGCGGATTGCCTAATCTAATTCTACTTAGCGCTGAGAAAACCCGCCCAGCCGGACACTGCATTCTGCAGGGCCGTATCTAAGCGGGAAACCAGGGCACCTACACACCCACATACACTTGATTGGCCCAATGAGCGGCGAGGATGAGACCGATCTTGCCACGCGGCAACGAGGCGCGTCGTATCGTCGAGGCTTGGTCATGACGCACGAAGGCTTGGCCGTTCAGCGAAAAAAACACTTTTTCCCTACTTGAAAAGGTACGATTTCGACGTCTGAAGTCACGCAGCAGTCGAATTGATCCATCTTTCTTCAGTATAGTGAAAGCAGGAGACGCCCAAGGCGACGAGTTGTCCGGCGACATCACTCCAAGCTTCACGAGCTTCTGAATCTCCTGCTTGGCAAGGTGGATATGCGGGACAGGAAACGCCCGACAAGCGAATGGCTTCGCTTCGTGGGGCAGCGGTAACTCATACGGCTCGCCTTTGATCTCGCCGAGCCTGCCAGATGCAACATCGTGAAACTCTTTCACGAATGCTAGCAGCAGAAGCACATCGTCGTGCGTCGGGTTGCGCGCGTCAATCATGTTGTCGTAGTCCACGGGACCGCAATCCTCCGCCACAGATATCTCCACTCTGCACGAGGTGTCCTCTTGGTAGGGCTTGAGGCCCGGCTTCAATCCACGCACTCGTGGTTTTGGCATCGGCACACGCACACCGTCCCACTCGATCTACTTGCTCGAGAACAAGAGGTCGATTCCTTGCTCCGAGAAGAGGTCCTTCCCCAACATCACAGGGTACACTAACTGCGGAGGCACACGGAACTCGTGCGTGCACACACGCGTAGTCGAGAAGACAAGTAAGTTGAGAGGGGTCGTCGCCACGTGCGTAGTCTTGCCTGTCGACTCGTCTGTTTGCTTGAATGTTGCTTCTTCCTTCCTCAGCACTAACTGGCCAGGTACTTGGTCCGCCAGTGTCAATCAGAGCGGGGAAGGTTTTGTTGCCAATGCGTACTTCAGTGACCATTACTGGCTCATCACTCGCTGGATTGGCTGCAGTTCGGGTTTTGGTGGGCAGTGTATCTACCTCGTCGCAGGTGGCGCTCGTAGTGCTGCCGAATCTCTCATTGCGGTAGCCACTCTTGACGCAGTCGACACGCTGTCGGCAGCAGGGCTGGTCATCGCAGATAGCGCTCTGACCGCGGTTAATGTTCTCCGGAAATGTCATTGCATTCAACTCGTCCGCTTGATAGAACCGGAGGGCGTTCAGCTCGTCCTCGTGCCCCTTCTGCATTGTCTCCATCATTACTGACATTTGGTTGATTTTCTCTTGAATTGCAGCAAACCGGTCACGACTCTGCCGTCCTTGATGTTGCTGCTGCCCATTCCGCCGGCAATACGCTGGTGAGGACGGGTAGCGAAAGCACTGCTCCTTCGAGTGGTTGTTCCTCTTACAATAGGCGCAGTACCTCCCCTGGTTTTGTTGCTGCTGACGGTGTTGATCACGCTTCTGCCCTCGTCCAGGGCGCGCGGTGCCTTCGTGTTGCTATTGTTGCTGGTGTCCACCACCATTCTCACGAGACCGAGATGCGTTGCTGTTCTTGTTATCGCATGCAGGTCGGCGTCTATTGCGGAGGGCTTCATCTTCTTGTTCTACTCGCTCGATGAGTTCAAACTGCCGCTCAAATCCAGCGAGATCCCAGGAGCGCGATAGTCGCGACACCTCAATCTGCCACTCGATTGGCATTCCGCTTTTGTATTGAAATGAAATTAGCGGTTATGTCGGCTGGAGCCGCGCACGGCAGCAGCTCCGGATACGGGGATCTCCCGCGGTGGCAGCTCATGGAGCCAAAAGGCCCCCAAAAAAGGGAAAACAATATGCAAACTAGGATCCGCAGAAGCGTCCACATCCTAGCACCTCCTCCACCTCATCTCAGCGTTTTCTTCGCCACTGTTCTAGTCGTTCTTATCGCCAGCCTTCTCGTCGTTCCCTGCGTCAATCCCCTGCCCCTTTGCTTGGTCCGTCAGACGCAACCAGTCCTCGGCAGTCCTCGCCGTTACAGAGCCATTCATGCGCTCGCTGGAAGTCTTGGTGCGGTGGTATTTCGCCCGGCCGAAGGCCCAGCCACAGTGGCAACCCATCAGACGCGGCCGCCCGCTGCCTGAACAAGCATTCCGCTTTTGTACATGCGGACGCAGCCGGTCTCAGGGATGGGTTCACTCTCGTCGATGAGGTAATGTACCAGTTCTCTGGATTTTATTCAGAGTCCATGGGCGAAGGCCACTGAGGTGCCATTATTCTCACATCACATACCTGCTAAATATGGTTTTGAGCGCTCCAGATGTTGATAGCTAAAATACCTGTTATACTGGATATCCTGTGATCTAATCAAATTATGCTGCTATGTTGACCCATCCGGTTGAGATTAAGTCAAATTACCTATTATTTTGCATACCCTTTAATCATATATATATACCTGTGATAGATAGTTTATCTGTCACTCAAGCGACATCCATCGGATTTTTTTCGCTCCAACAACATGCCGACGGGATCCTGCCTTGAAGTGTTCAGTGGTGATGATTGATGCCTCGCACCACAACTTATTAGTTAGGCATTACGCCGCAATCACCAGCCACTGGCAGCTACATGATTAGCTATGGCCTGTGGCAAGAAGTATTATGTCCGGCATCATTAGTGAGCGGTGCACTATTTCCGGGCAGATGCGGCGGCTGCGAAGGAGGCGCAGGAGATGGACTTGGGTCGTACGGGTCGCACTACCGAAGTATTACCAAATGCTTTTTTGTACCTTCCTATTCAGTATCAAACGGTCTTAATTCGTGCACTTGATCAGTCGGCTGGAAGTACAGATTCCATCTTACTTCTCTGGTCCACGATATTATGCGCGTAAGGTTTTATGTATTGAACACAACATATTTTAATTGGCTTAAAATATGAATTTCCGTCACCATCGAAAATGGCCAAATCCTTCCGTGACACTGCTTATTTCCAGCCAACAATTCCCGAACAATGCGCCAGGACGTGCCCGCGAGCGTTCGCGTAAGTGTCGCTTTGTTCATCGCGACCAAATTAAGAAAGGGGAGGGCACACAGGGGGGAGGCATTTAAGATGCGGCGAAGGTCTCTGAGATCTGGAGCCAGCGCACCGACCCCGCCGCGCTAGTGACTGCGCGCAAGCCGCGAGCCCCTATGACGAACAGCATACACTGTGTTGCCTAGCAGCCGCTACGGGTATACCCCGCGCATCACTGATGCGCCACCTGGAAGCCGGCGTGTTTCGCTGTGTTACGAGTTGCGTAAAGCCTACCTACGCGAACACAACTTGTGTTCGCATAGAAAAAAATACACAAGAAGATTTTGTATCTAATTTGTATTGTAGGAGGGTGAGACTTCAGAATGATTTACATGTATTATAGATAACTCTCTGCATACTTACGTCACTTTTTCTTAAAACGCCATCTTAAACGTAGCATAAATATGAGCTGTGACCTGATTGGGCAAAAATAAATCGCTGAATGCGAATCTCAACCGTGCAAGCAGGAAAAACCTCGTTTTTATTCGAGGCTCTAGCTCTCGCAAATCAACGCTTTTGCCTCTAAATCAGAGCTCATCAGAAAGCTTGTATCAAGCACAATCAGTTGATTGAATTCGTGTTGAGCAGGTTGTGTTTTATTATGGACGCTGATATGGTGGACAAGAGAATCAGTAAGCGTTGGTTTGCGTAATGCTTTAGTGCTTTTTCGGCTACTGTTTGGTAGTTAAATAAGCTATGTAATAATACATAGCATACATAGTATGTATGTGCCCTGGCTGTTTGAAAAAACAAAATACTGCCATTTTACCTAGCCTAGCCTACGTGAAGCCCTAGTACCGCAGCAGTACGTCCGGTAATCAACACCTCTAGCTCTGTGAATACTTGCTCGTTTCGCTTGTGGCTAAAGGAAGAGACTATGTTGTTCCTTCCTCCTATTATTCCAATTTGTACTTAAATAGTGTAAGAACTGGAGTACTTCAACAATGCACTACCGCCCCAAACCTCTAGTAAATTCAAGAACGGTATGAATCCGTTAAAACAACTAATAGAGGTTACCCTCAACCAATACCATATCTCTACTTCTTTCTGCCATTGGCAGTAGAAACAAAATACCGCGGTACCACAACTTATATGCCCAAGAGCGACGTAAAATCCAGAGCTGTTCCGGGCAGAGCACGGCCTTGTCTTAACAGCCACTCCAGCCAGTCAACAAGTACAACAATCACCACAGCAACTGGTGACATTTTGCTATAGCAAAACTACAGCCTTGTTTGCTACCGACAAGTTGACAGCGCCCCGCCCGTGAGCCACACCAAGATGGAGGAGACTATAATCTTCGAGAAGGTGAAGAGCATCGGAGCGATGATCAAGAAGCGCGTGCCAGTCTTCCGCGATGGTACCTGGAAGGGTGAAATTGGAACTGAGTGTATTAATGCAGTTTAAACAAGCTAGTAGCTGTCTCCTAGCATTGGTCCTAGTGTTTGTAACGTGACTGGTGCTCGTACGCTAGCTGATGCTAACCAGCCATGTCCTTCTTGTAGTCCAGATCGCTCTGCTGACAGGGTGGCTACGCCTCTCAAGTGGCCAAGTCCAAGGACGAGCTGGACAAAATGTCGTTCTGCTATCACATGACGCTCATCGATCGCGACTGGGAGGAGAAGATCCTGCCATCGATTCGAGTTTATCGCCAAGAGCCAGGAAACTGCATTATGCCGCAAGCATTCGTAGTACCTTCCTCTGCTCCATGGCCAGAGAAGGCGTGGGGAAAGCCGCTTGGAATAGTGGTCAGTGAAATGCGATTCCGTAAGGCGTACGCGGAGCAAGCGGCTCGAGACAAGGACGTGCTAGACGCTCTCGGATTCGCGTGGGATCGGAGTGACGCGGTGTGGAACGAGATCGTTATTCCCGCGCTCGAAGTGTACGTCGACACTTGCAGGAATGGCAAAGTTCCGTTCCAGTTTGTTGTTCCCTCGGAAGACCCGTGGCCTAGGGGAAGCGCCTGGGACGGCTACTCGTAGATTTGCGATCCAAGGGCACCTACTTTACGCAGTACGGGCGCGACATTGCGTTCGTTGAGGACCTGCAGGTTCTCCTCTTTGACGACGACCTCCTGCTGGTCAATGACGTGGTCGCCGAGGAGCAACTCGACCACGTCGATGTAGCCATCTACGCCTTGCAAAGACTGACGATGGTTCACTGTCTCGGGCAATGATCATCGACGAGCTGATGGACCTGCGGAAGACGCAATCAATGCCCGTTAATTAGTCGTGCCATGACTATGACACGAGGCGGTCCCCAGAAAATTGCCGACGATGTGCCGTCACCTCTGTGACTTGGAGTTTGTATCGGATGCTGATTGGTGGATGACCTGGATACGGCGCGGCTGTACCCGTGTGACATGAATGGTGACTGTGGGAGAGAAGTGATTTCTCGGGATGAATCCGGCACCTGACCGCAGATGGGCCCAACTGGCTGGAAGTGTGAATCCTGGGAGTGCACGCCCAGGATTTCAGAGAACACTCAGTCCAGTCGCGGGCTTTCCCTTACGATGAGTGGCGGAAAGTGTCTCTGGCGAATGTATCCCAGAGTACACCTCATCTTGCTGTGGCTCAGAGTGCCCCAGAGGATCAAATTACCCTGAGAATCAACCCACTACCACTATGATCATGCGCAGGAGGCCGCTAAACCCGCTAAAAGTGTGGCTTTGTGGAGATACACCCGAGCCTGCAATGCAGCAGACTTGTTACCCAGAGTGCCGTACGGAAACCCAGAGTGCCGAACGATGACCCAGAGATCACCTCCCTGAGTGCAGGTGGCCCAGAGTTCCAAAGATGATTCTCTGGGTTTGGATCAATGAATCCAGACTCTCCATACTTAAATTAAGTGTTTCCCAAGCCAACATCCAAGAATCCCCACAGTTCCCCAAGATTCCTCAGAATTCCCAAGATTTCAGAAGATGACCCTGAGTGTCACCTAATTTTCAGGGATTCGAGTCAGCTCGAAGTCAGTCTGCAATCAAAGTGATGCGTGACCTTGGATAACCGCTATGGATGCGCAGACTGGATACTTTCGAAGAGTCGAGAGGGAGACCTACACCATACTAAACCAAGTCCAAGGACCCACAATTGGCACTTTCGACGCCGTGCGACCATGGAGTCGCAAGCCGATCGCAAGATTGGACCGCTGAACCCAAGGTATACTCAAGACAAGACATTTGACCCCAAGCATAGTGAACAGAAGATATTTGCCCGAAGAAGAGAGAGAGAGAGAGAGAGAGAGAGAGAGAGAGAGAGAGAGAGAGAGATAGAGAGAGAGAGAGAGAGAGAGAGAGAGAGAGGAGAAGAAGTAGCTGATAAAAACCAAACAGAGTTCAATTTTCCCTGTACTGCGCAAGTGACTTCGGCCAAGCCTGCCGACGAGATCCGGAGGACCCGAGACTACGACCGCGGGACGCTAAGGGCACATCAACGGCGAAGGACAGCCGTCTGTGTAGACTCCATCAACTCAAGTCCAGTTAGGTGGGGACCAGCGACGGCCTTGAGCTTCCTGGAGTGATCCATCTATTCCATATCCTAGTTGGGTCACTTGCGGTGCTCGTGGTAGCCCATTTCATATTATTCCAGCGGGTATTCTGGGGTGCTAAGTAGTCGCCTCCAGGATTTTGTATTGACTGCTTGTGTAAAGGGAAGGTAACTGATAGTGATTGTATTTTCCTTTATTGGAGGTGGTGCGCGTTTGTGTGAGTCTCAGGGGAGCTAGGCCCCTGAATTTCAGACTCGAGTGAGCCTAGTGTGTGTGTGACCCACCGTCCAAGGGTCCAAAAGAATAAGTGACGGCTAGTTGTAGTGTTTGTATATTCTGTATTTGTTGGTTTTATCGAGCTAGGAGGGCATTTGGGTAAGGTGTCTTCTGAGTTCCACGTCCCAGAGTTGACTGAACTCCTGGACCCTGAATTCGTGATATTCGGGGTTTCGGGGGATCTGATTCTCTGGGTTTGCCTTTGCTGTGGAGGTGCGTTCTGAAGTAGACGTGCACTCCCGCACTTCTTCGAGGCTACATTTACAACCGGTGGAGTGCCGTTCCGTCGAAGACAAACGAGCCGACAGGGATTACACAAGGTACCCACGCCAACCAAGGAGTGTAATTCTCAGGGTTTAAAGCTTTGCGGCTGCGAATCTCTGGGTCTATCTTCTTGCTGTTGACTCTCAAGTCGATTATCTGGGTCTACCCCTGGGGAACAGTCTTGGGCTGCGCTATACGAACCCCCTGGGCGACAAAGGTTTCATCGGCCTCGCCTCAACTATTTACCATGTACGACCTGAAGAGTGGCTCACCCTGTTTTGAAATTTCGTTTTCGGGAAAACTATTTCTATCTAAGATAAACTAAATGCATCACGCCATTCATCTTGCCGATATCTACTCGAATCCGGTCTCTTTTCTCTATTTAAGGTGAAAACGAGAGCTATGCGTAGGCTGGGATAGCTAAAGAACTTTGTGTGAGATAAGTAAGGAATCTCTACCGCGGTCGCACTGCGTGTGGCCAGCTCTGGCCGGTCTCGTGTCTGCCGCAGTGCATGTTGTACGATCCGAAGCAAAGCTCGCTCTGGTGCTTAGAGTTCTAAAAACCGGATTCGAGAAGCTGTACGAATTCGTAGGCAAAAACCAGGAGCAGGAACAAGCACTAGTTTAGAGTTGGAGCTAACATCAGAATTCATTTTACTTTCCTTTGCATACTGGTGACCACAAAGTATACTTTCTGGACGAACCAGAAGCCGCGGCAAGAGGAAGAAGCGGGTCGATCGCTACAGCATCAAGTCGACCTGCACGGCGTGAAGCCTAGACAAGCAAGATGGCCACGGACGCGGACGGAGACGTTGAGACGACCGTGCCGCAGCCAGTGTTCGAGGTGGTTCAGCCTCCGAGCCTGAGTGCCTGGGACCAGGCGTCCCTAATCTCCTGGGTGCGGCAGCGCCGCCAGTACGAAGCCAAGATTCGCGGTTACTGGCGAGCAGTACGAGCATGTTGTCACCTCGATCCGCAACTCGATCGAGCCTCGCATCCTGGACCACCTGACTCGCTTCGTGCTGAAGAAGCGAGCGGCTGACGTGACGGATGAAGATCTCGGCCTGGAGATCACGCGGCGTTGCTCAGCGCTGCAAAACAGCCACATCCCGGACATGGACCAGCTTTTCAAGGACGAACTGAAGATGGACCTTAAGATTGAAGACACCGAAGCTCGTGTGGTGAATTACTTCGTGCTGTTTGACAAGATTGTGGAGGGCCATGGTTTGGGTGGAATCCTCGGTAGTGGACGCGAAAATGAACCGAATTACGACGAACGCATGAAGTTGCGTTGCAAGTACCTGCTAAAGAACATTGCGCCAGAGATGTTGAGGCTGGAGATGGAGCGCCTGGTCATAGCCAAGCCGGTGCTCAAGAAGGACGATATTGCGCTCTACGAGGCCTTATTGGAGCGCGCACGAGAGCAGCAGCACTACCACATGCTGGCCCAGGAGCTCAAGCAGGTGGATAAACCTCGTAGCAACCCCAAGACCAATCACTCCAACAAGAAGCCAGCACTTTCGTTGAAGCCTCGTGTTTCACAGCCCCAGCACTCGTCATCAAGCAAGCCCAAGCAGTCGAAGCAAGAAGCCGACAAGCCCCGCGCACCGCCGCGCGATGGCTGTCTTGTGTGCAATGGATGAAGGATTGCCCCACCGCTAGTGAGGCGGACAAAGAAGCAGCCCTAAAACGAATGAATGACATGAAGAACCAGCGTTTGCGTGCGAAGACTGTGCGATCAATTGGGCAGCCCGGCGAGCGTGCAGCCATCTTGAATGGCGTATTGGAGGTGCCTTTCCGAGCCGACACTGGCGCTGACTACGACGTGATTACCCGCCACATTGCGCATGAACTGAGGAAACTGGATGATGACCTCGTGGTGGAAGAGCTGAAAGTGCCGATGGAGGTTCGTGCCTTGCACCGAGATGTGTGAAGTTGACGTGCAGCTATTAACGGCTGCCGGTCCGGTCAATCTGCGCAGACTACAGTGTGTAGTGATCGATGGAGATGCGAATGAGTTCTTACTTGGTGATCGAGCTCTGAAGTCGCTTGGGATCAACGTGGATCACCTCCTGGTGCGCCTCGCAGCCAAAGGTGCCCCCGAGGAGGACGAGGATGGTATACCGGAGGATGACATCGTGGGCGCGACCAACCTGGATGAAATCATGGACCGACTCGACGTAATGTTGGACGACGCTGTCAAGGCCGGGTTTCCACACAAATTTAAGGATGTGCTGCGAGATGCCACCAAGGAAGAAGTTGATCTATGGCGGACGAAGCTAGGCGCGGACCCACCCGCCAAGCTCGAGCCACTGCGGGTCGTATTGGTCGACGGCTCCACACCGTATCGAACGAAGCCTCGCCAGTACTCTGCGCTGAAAACCAAGTTCCTTCGGGACTACGGCAGGCAGCTGGAAGAATTTGAGCTGGTTGTACGTAACAATCAGAGTAGGTGGGCTTGTGCGGCCATTCCCGTTCGCAAGAAGGGTCCCGTCGAAGACTTTCGGTGCGCCACCGACTACCGCCCGATCAACAAGCGCACCGTGCCTATCGCCGGTGCAATGCCAAACCTACTGGTGGTGATTACCAAGGTTAAGGGTGCATGTTTCTTCGCAACTTTCGATCTCTTCAAGGGGTTCTGGCAGCTTTTGCTGCACCCGGACTGCCGTGAATATTTCAGCTTCATCACGAATGACACCCACGCGGGTGCCACAAGGAGCAACCGACTCGCCGATCCATTTCCAAAACCAAATGCAGGAGGTGTCGCGATATGCTGTATGACAACGTGTTGATCTGGGTGGACGACATCGTCGTGTTCGCTAAGACTGCGGAGGAGTTCATCGCGGTGCTCAAGAAATTCTTCGCTCGCCTCCGCGAGTATGGTCTGAAGCTCAATGCCAACAAAAGCTGTCTCTTCGCGCGTGAGATCTCCTGGTGCGGACGCCTCATTGACAGTGAGGGCGTTCGCCACGACCCCGAACGAGTTGCAGCTCTGTGTTCACTGCCGCTTCCAGCCACAGCGGCAGATTTGCAGAAGCTGCTTTGCGCAGCTAATTGGTTGAGTGAATCTATCGTGAACTTTGCCCAGCATGCGGCCCCACTTCAAGCCAAACTGGAGAGTGCATTTGAAGGACACAGTCGGAAGCAGCGCTATGCTGAAGGACTTGCGCTCACGTGGACGGCTGGGGAGGAGCACCACTATCGTGAGTTCCTTGACTCTGTGGCTCGATCAACGAAGCTGGCGTTCCCTAGCGAGGCGGCTACTGTGTGCATGACTACGGATGCCTCGGACCGAGGATGGTCACTCATTGTCTCGCAAGTGGAGTGCTGGGATGACCATAAGAGCTTGACCGACCAGTCGCACGAGCTTTTAATCTGCAAGGGCGGTATGTTTAAGGGTGCTCAGCTACACTGGTCGATTGCAGAGAAGGAAGACTATCCCATTATCAAGGCTGCGAAGGACCTGGAGTATCTGCTGCACCGTGAAGCAGGGTTCAAATTATTTTGCGACCACGCGAATCTCATTCAGATCTTCTGCCCCCACACTGAGGTTCACAAGCATGTGCGCGGAAAGTTGCAGCGGTGGGCCCTGATGCTGTCGGACTACCGCTATGAAATCGATCATGTCAAGGGCTCTGACAACGTTTGGGCGGATTTAGTGTCGCGCTGGTTGGCTCCCGTCGACACCTCTCAAGTGTCTGTCAAGGCTGTGCGGACTCGGTCGTCCCGTGAGCTCTCGCGCCTTCGCCCGCTTAGTGACGAAGCTTTCGTGTGGCCTTCTGTTGATCAAGTCGTAGAGACGCAGCAACGCCACCGCCGCTCAGCGCCGTCGACGGCAACTGCGTCGGCCGCACCGGACTCTGAGCTCCTTCAGGTGGAGGGGAAGGTGTGGATCCCGGCGCTGGCCAAGGATCTGATCACGCGCATTCTCATCGTGGCTCACTGCGGTTTGAACGCTCACCGGGGAGCCGACGTCATGCTGCGCCAGATGCAGGCGCAGTACTGGATTAAGTCCATGGGAAAGTTGGTCAGGGAATTCGTCGCAGACTGCTTGCTCTGTAAGCACATCAAGGGCAGCCAGCTTATCCAGCGTCCATGGAGCGATCACCCCGAGCCTGAAGGACGCAACGAGGTACTGCACTTCGATTTTCTGTTTATGGGAGACTCGTACGGAAGCACGCGCTATTTGCTGGTACTGAAGGATGAACTGACGCACTACTGTGAGTTAGTGCCGAGTGATTCGCCTACAAGCACGGTGACTGTGGCGGCTATACTGGATTGGGCTAAACGATTCGGACTGCCGGCAATGTGGGTTTCGGACAATGGCACCCATTTCAAGAACGAGTTGATGGAGAATCTGCGGGAACGATTGAGGGCGTTGCACACATTCATGCCCGTCTACACTCCGTGGGTGAACGGCACTGTCGAGCGCCTCAACCGAGACGCGCTTCAGGTGGTGAGAGCGCTGCTGTTGGAATACCAGCTCGACACCAATGGCTGGGAGCATTTGGTGCCTCTCGTGCAGGCCAATCTGAACGAAACGCCCGTGAACTCGCTTGGTGGCAAGGCACCCCTAGAGCTCTTCACAGGCCTCCAAGTGCCGACGCAGCTGGACACGGTGCTGCTCCCCCGCACGTTGCAGACCAAGGACAAGTTGATGAAGATTAACATGGACACAGTGGAGGAGGAGTTAGAGGTGCTGCGTGAGAGCCTACACTCGATGCATCAAGAGGTTGTGGATCGAAAGGAGAAGACCCGTATGTATCAGAAAATGGCTAAGGAGGGGAAACTCGAGAACTTCAACGTTGGAGACTATGTACTTTAGTCTCGTATCGACGAGCGTCTACGCGGCAACAAATTGATGGTACGCTGGGTAGGCCCTTACCGCCTGACAGAAGCTCGAGAATACTCGTTCATGTTGGAGCATCTCCTTACTGGTGACACATTTGAGGTCCATGGTTCCAGGCTCAAGTACTACGACGACGCAAGCATGAACGCCGATGAAGAGATCCTCGAGCACGTTGCCAAGCAAGGCATCGTGCTAGGAGTGGAGTGTTTCCGCGACCACCGCTACAACTCGGCAACGCAACAATGGGAAGTACTAGTATCGTGGCGAGGCCTGCAAGACATCGAGGACTCCTGGGAGCCACTGCAGACCATGCTGCGCGACGTGCCAGTGCTGGTGGCCAACTACGCAGAACAGCAACAGGACGACGAGTTCAAGGCACAGCTGGATGAAGCTTAAACGCACTCGCAACACCATGGCCAAGTGGCATTGCATGTTTCAAGAGCGGCAGACCCTGGGGAGGCAGTGTGGCCAGCTCTGGCCGGTCTCGTGTCTGCCGCAGTGCATGTTGTACGATCCGAAGCAAAGCTCGCTCTGGTGCTTAGAGTTCTAGAAACCGGATTCGAGAAGCTGTACGAATTCGTAGGCAAAAGCCAGGAGCAGGAACAAGCACTAGTTTAGAGTTGGAGCTAACATCAGAATTCATTTTACTTTCCTTTGCATACTGGTGACCACACTGCGAAAATTACGAGAAGCAAAGTCGGGCGTTGCACGAAGAAGCTCCAAAATTTACTACTAAAGTACAGCATTTGTTATAAGGGAAATGGCCAATTTCGGGTCGATGGCCAATTCGGGGCCGATTCTATCGACCAATCAAATAAGTTATACGCACCAAATAAACATCTGATTGGCCACTTATAGTGTACCATACAAGAGACAGACTGAGACTTTTTAGTGAAATCAAGTAAAACGAATCGGCCCGGAATTGGCCAGGACCATCATTACCAGACCACTTTAAAAGTGGCAATTGCCAATTTCTCCACTTTTTGCTTTAAAGTGGCACATTTTCTCGGCAGGAAGTGGAAAATGTGGAATCCATACAATACCCAAGTATAATTATTAACCGTCTGGCTAAGTACCGAGCCTAAAGGTGGCAGACACATTGCAGGTCAGTAGTAAGTACTTAACCCCTATCTATGGATACCTTTTGTGTTAGACTGCGAGCTAGCTGTGCATCGGATCGCTGCCCCCGCTGCCACTTCCAAACCTCGTTTTACATCGATCAAAATACGCAAATGTATAAATTGACAACAGCGGCAACCGCATACCTGCATACGCGTGGCGGCATGGTGTCCCCCTTCGTGGCTGTACGGGAACCCCGTCTTGCTTCCTAGCTTCGTTTACCGCATAGTACACATATGACGCCTTTGCGTCGATGAATGATACTGCTTGCATTGATGAGCTATAACGTGCGAACTTCGCTATTGCCTCAAGTGTATTTCGCTACGAATAGAAGCACAGTCGTGTTCGTCGACTCCAACAGCAGTTTCGCAGTTTCCGCCATGTATGACATGCATTTGTACTGTGTCAGCGCCCTTTTGACAGCTATATACGTGCTATTGTGCGTGGTATCGTTCAGAAGGGGCTTGAATTCTGGTCATTCTTACCAAAATTTGCTCCACCTTTAAGGTTCGCCAGAACGTGGAAAAGGTGGAATTTTTTCTGATTTTGCCACTTTTAAAGTGGTCTGATCATTACTGACGCTGTTGTTTGGTCGAGCCTATTGCGCTTATTTTTAGGGGTCGCAAGCTATGAATTAGTCCAACAAATCGGCAGGAGTATCGGCTTTTCATTGATACCGTTGCTGTGTTTTACTTTTATGTATTGTGCCTTTCGGTCATTTTGCCGAGTCCTACGTAGGACTTTGGAGGTCAGTTAATCTGAGGTTGGTGGTCTCTAAATCTGAGATGCAAATCTCGAACGAGTCCGATGAGCGGTCTCCCGGAGTCTCTCCGTTCAATGGACTCCGGTTGGAGGCCAAGCCAAGCAAGCTTTGTTTATGGAAGCAAGCAATGCCGGAACCCGCGAAGGCGAAGGGCGAAGACAGGAGTGTTTAACTTATCGACTCCCTAAGTTTATTCTGCGTTTGACATACGCCGTATTAGAGTCAGCTCGTATGAAAGTCCTGCCACAAGACTTGGCAGGAGTCCTTCGTAAGACCTCAAACCCCGAATGTCGTGAAAATGGGCGACATTCGGGCTTTCGGCTGTTTGTAGGACCTGCGCAAGTGCTTCCATCGGACTAGCAATTCTTGGTCCTAATTCCCTACGAGGGACCGGCTAATCTGCTTCGATAACCTAGCCCCATCTTAGTAGGTAGCTGTTTTACACGTCCGATTAGCCAAAACAACTGAAAAGCACAATAGATCAAAAGTTACAGGCGAAAAAATCGGACGCCTGACAAATCGGCCCGAGATTGGCCATTTCCCTAATGTAAATCTGCGTTACCCATACAGCGCATTTCCGGCGCCTGCTTCGCAGCCGCAGCATCTGCTTCGAGCCAATTAGGAGTTGTACGTGTTCGTGAACCTTTGGTCTGTCGAACATCATCTTCTGGGCACACAAACGTTTTTCTTTCACTTCAGCAATTTACTTCAGCAAATTAGTGCACACGAGCAAGGCTTCGCCGATGCCTCTGGCAGTTTCCTGCTACATCCAGCTTGGGCTGATTCATTGCAACACATCCACGGTTATTCATTCTCCGGCATTGCCCTCTATACCAACGCCTCGGGGTGCCTATCATAGACAGAGTGGAGCCCATAGGTACTGCCTGTGGGCTCCACTCTTATAGTCTACGACGTCAGTATTTACATTTCTGCATGATAGCTAGTGTGCCATTCTGCATATTGGGAACTCCAGATAATCAACAACACGGTTAATCTTTATCCACCCCTCAGCAACTTAGTACATGTAGTGTAGGTGCTTGTGCGCGAGGGGATTGAAGAAGTGAGGGATCGTTTGATGGGTGTGCTCCGCGGCAAGCGCGGCACTGGAAGTGCGCGATGTACTTCCTTACCTGTCAAATAATGCTTTGCCGATGGTCTCACCGCGCGCGGCGACAACCTAGTAACGCAGACCAACGACATGCGGACTGGTAGGGAGCTTCAGCGGTAAGTACAGATGTTTTCCATCCATCCCTCTCGAGCTCGAGCTTGTCTCGGATTTGAGGGATGGAGAGCATAGGCAGTAAACTTCAGTTACCGGGGCCAGTTTTCCGGCTTCAGTATAACTGGCTTCAGCTACCGAGGTACCGCCTAATTAACCTGTGTTGGGCTGGCCACAGCAACCTCCGGGGTTTGCTATCCCAGAATGAAAATACTTTTCAGAACCGGTGGAATGATTATCAAAGGTGCACGACTAATTAGGTCGCACGACTAATCACGGTCTAACGTCAGAGAAGTTTTCACAGTTTTGAACTTGGCTAGAGTTTAGTGCCATAAAGAAGTATTGGCATATCTCACCAATACAAAAATCGGATCGACTTTCATCGCTACGCACGACTCGGTTAATACTCGATCTCGGACATTCTCAAGGCTAGGAGAAGCGCGTCCTCCTCCGACATGACGCCGCCTTGAGCTGCACTGCCACTGCTGCTCGAGTTCCGTCGTCCACCTCGGGGTGATGCTGTAGTTGTCGTAGACTTTTTACGCTTCTTGGCTGCTGGGGCTGCTGCCTTCGCTCCAGTGCTTCGTGGCCGCTTCGCCGGCTTTTTGCCTTCTGGGGTCGACGACTCCGCAGCGCTCGCAGAGGGAGGAGGCTTTTTATCGGCGGGCTTTTTCTTGGACGTCTTCGCTGTACCACGGAGGGACTTTGCTGGCGGCTTCTGGTCCTGACACTTGGACTTCGCTGCCGACTTCTTTGGCGAGGGGGCCGCTGCCGTAGTTGCTGCGACGTGGGGCTCAGTAGGCTCTGCTACGCGACAATTATCGTTGATGTTTGCTGGTGGGACTCCTGCCTGATCTCCACCTTCGCTTCCGTTCAGCGGTGAGAACTGCAACCGGCGAGGAGTTTGTGGTCGCTGACACTGCAGTTCGTCTTCGGCAGCTGTTGCTCCGTTGCTCGACATCTCCGTCGGCTCTTTCACCTTCTTCTGCTTCTTCTTCTGAGACGAGCCCTTGATCCGAGGAGTGCCAGGCGTTTGTTTCGGCTGCGTCGGTGTGGGGGCTGCGTTAACTGGTTCGTGACTGCTATCTGCCAACTCCGAGAGCCGAATAGCCTCCTTCAGCGCGTCCTCCTCCGACAGCCCCAACTGGTACTCGAACGCCTGTAGAGCCATCGCCTGGTTGATCGCCTCGAGGAGGGCAGGGCTCTCCCTCTTCGTCTTAGGTGTCGCCTTCCGTGCGGGGGCCTTTTTCGGCTGCTTTGACTTGGTTTTCGTCGGCGGAGGCACGGTAGTTTCTGGTGCTGCTGGTTTCTCGCTCTCTGTTGCGGGGACTGGGACAGGGGCCTTGCACTCTAGGTCGCCATAGCTGGTACTTTGTTCTTCACTGACCACGTCAGCCCCGACATCTTCCCCACTTCCTGTTACACCAATTTCAGACAGCGTATCGGGTGCCGTGCTGGATGGGGTAGATCGCTTCTTGCCACCTCCTGCTTGATTCGCTTTTGTTTTGACCGCCTCCTTCTTTCTAGTAGTGACAGTAGCCGTAACTTTAGTCTTCGCCTTAGTTGTTGCCTTCGGCTTCGTCTTTGGTTTTGCCTTGGGTTTGCAATTCGCACTTGGCGCACCGCCACCATCTTTAGCTGCGTCTTTGTCTGTCTTCGGGGCGCCGTAAGACGCCGACATCTGAATAGCCAACATGATTGCGTCCTCTTCTGACAAGTCCATCTGGTACTCTTTCATCAGGCGAGCATCCTCTGGGTTTTCGTTCGTCGGGGTTGACTCCTCTTCGACTTCATCGTCGGAAACACTCACGCGGTCGTCATCGGAGCTTTCCCCCATCACAAGCGACAAGTCCGACTCCTCTTCCTCTTCGTCGTCCTCCTCAAACTCAGGTTCCTCTTCTTCTTCGACGCTGTCCTCCAACTCCACTTCTCCATCCTCCTGGATGAAAGACTTTTTCTGCTGCTTGGCTGTCTTGCCCTTGCCTTTTCCAAGCGACTTCTTCTTGTATTTGCTCAAGGCCGTGTGCATGCCTTTCGCCTTAGCAAAGCTCCCAATTGTTCGTGATTTTCGTGCTGCACTAACTGCGACGGCTGGCACAGCTTCAGTCAGCCTGCTTGGTTCCTTGTCCAGCTCGCTCAGGCCACCTACTGCTGTAAATGCCTTCTTTGGCCGACCGATCTTTTTCGCAGGTGGCATGAAGAAAGTAGAGATCAGCGTGTCAAGTACCTCCTGCATCTCGAGCAAGATCACGAGTCCAGCATGGCCTGCAGCGGCAAGGTAGCACGGGTAATCGCCCGGGGTACTCGATGATAATCGCAGACGATGTAGAGCAGCATCCCTCTCGCAGAACTCCCGCGTGTTTAGACTCCCCGAATCGGCAGAACCAAGCACTGACTGTTTCTCGAATGACACTGTCAGCGACTTCAACGGCTTCTCAACGCTAGCGTCCTTTTCGCCGGAGAGACGGCATATTTCAACGCAGTTCTGGGGTGCCCGATACAGCTTCTTGGCAGGAGCAGCGCGGATACTGCCTGAAGTGCACGATGAAACAAGCAACGGCACGGCGCCACGCCGAGCGAACTGCAGATCCCACACAGGCGAGTCGATTTGTGGGTGAAAGTGCAGCTTCTGGTAACTTCCAGTCTGTGAGCAACACGGAACGAAAGCATACTGTCAGTGGGTGGACAGCATAGACCATCTCGCACCTTCATAGCCATTTCTTACCAAAATGTCATACATATAGACGGAGCCTTGGTCACCTGATATTTGAATTGACGTTTGGTCCATCCACTGAAGAGCAAGTCCCCATGTAGACCGTATTCGGTGCGATCGAACGCACACGCGAGGCTCGCGGATGTCCCATACCTTGAACACCGAGTCCTGCAAAAACGCACAGCAAGTTAGCATTGCAAAGTCTCTATGATGCAATCACAAATGTCACGCACATTTCCGGTCGTTGCGAAGAGATGCTCGTCAAACGGGGACCACACTACGGCACGAATGGCTACCCATCCGCAGCCCCAATCGAAGGCTTCCTGCTTTCCAATCGTGTCGGCTATTTAATCATCAGACCAAATCGTTAGCCTCGGTTGACATGAGCAGCACGAGAACTGTCAACAAACCTACCATCTTGATAGCGCCGCTGGGGTTCTATAGGATCAGGCTCACTACCCTCATTGCCTACAGTGTCACTTTCGCTGATAGCCGATTTAACATTCCAAAGCGATACGGAGCCTACAGATGTGGACAAGGGAAAGAGTTAACATCAAAATATCAGCATCACGCCCCACAACAAACTTTGCAGAACATGGCGTACCGTCCGATCCACCCGTGAGAAGCATATTCCAATTGTGTGGCGACCACTGTACACTCAACTGCAATATTCGCGGTAACCTGGCGACGACAACGGGGGTGTTGTTTTCCACGACGCCCTCCTTGCTAATTTCCTGCTGTAGCATTCCTTCAGGAACCTCAGGAATCTCAAACACCCTCATACTCCCATCTCCAAAACACGCCGCCAAAATCCCCATAATCTTCTGCCTACGATCCGCCTTGGGGAACTTCTTCGCCAACGGACACCACTGCAAATCCCACGCCACGCCGCTCTCATGGTCGATAGCATACACCATCCGAGGCTTTACCACCTTCCTGTTCGCAACCTTGCCTCTCTTCTGCTTCTCTGCCCCAACCGCCTTCGGTCGATTCACCGGCACGGCCCAGATCTGGATTAAACTCCGAGCACTCTCCGGGACATCATAGTAATGGTCTGGGGGCGTGTTCTTCACAACTTTCCCATCCTCCACTTGACACGGCGGGTGCGTCGACAATGCCAGGAATCTCCACTGCTGCTTCGCGTCTTCTTCAGGCTCTACGGCCGTCACTTCCGACACTTCCACTTTGTTGTTCTCCTTGCCTTTAGTCGCGGCTTTAGCCGCCTTAGAGCCGCGTCGAGGCTTCTTCTGCTTGGTCTTGATGAGAGCAGCAGCAACTGCCGCCGCGTTGGCCGCTGGCTTGGACGGCAGCCAGTCCATGGCCCACACGGGCCCGCCGACGTTTAGAGCCATCTTCTGGTCGCCGTCGAGGCACTCACTGGTAAAAGGGGGTATCACTGTGACGCCCGCAGTCTGCTCTGTCGTATTTGCTACATTTTGAGTCGTGCCTGGGTCTGAGGACGGCTCTGGAGGTGATGGAATGGTACTAGTCTCGTTGGAGGAAAGCTTGGAGCCATTTGCGCTCGTCTGGGGCGGGTTCTGCTCTGAATTAGACGGCAATTCTTGGGCTGTAGGTGAATCTTGAGGTTGCGCTTCAGATGCAGCGATCTGCAGGTGGATCGGCTGCATATACGCGCCGTAAGGCACCGCGGCTCGCCACGCATCGAGCTCCATGACCGTCGCCAGTCGACTGCTTCTAATTGTGAGATCCGTCTAAGTGCGGAAATGGTGTGAGCCACATAGTTCGTATTTCATGTTGAAGTGGCCGGGGGGGGGGCAATGAGTACAATGAGTACGTGTATGGTCACTGGGTTCCAGGGCTGGCTGCCGTCGTCCATGTTGAAGCATGAAGCATGTCAGCGCATCCACGCAGCTTGCGAGGCGCAGTGGCAATGAGGTTATCTGGGTTTCACTATGTGGGCAATGATGATGGCGCCGGGAGGAAGAACTGGAATGCATTGCATCCAGGACAGCAGTTGACGTCGACACGGAGGCGCATTCTGTTGTCCTGTGTCTGTGAGGCTACATATTCAACTCCATGCATGCCGAAACTATGAAGCAAGTTGTCTCTGCGGCCAATGCACAGGACATACACTGATGCTACGGTAGCACGAGCGGTAAGTTTCCACTCAGCGGCAACGGGATACGGCCGGACTAGCTCGTCGAGGCCGTGGTCAGTTGGATGCTTTTCATTGTTAAGCCGCGTCAGTTCACTATAACGTGCTGGGTCCCGATGTGGCACGAAACTGGGACCTTGAGCTCCTTCGCGCTTTGCTGTGGCTGTTAAACGACCTCAACTTCAATCTGCGTGGGTGCCTCCGTGAGCTCTACAGCGACTCTCCAAGATACACGATGCTACAGGTACCCCTGACACCGCTGTCAAGACCGAAAAGCTGCTAGCCCAGAGCTCACTTGTCAATTTTCCGCCAGGGCCTCAAACCAGCCTCCTCCTTCAATCTCCCTTCAGCCAACCAACTCCTTCTGCGCCAATGGCAAGAAACTCCAGAAGCTCGAGGAACTCGGATCTGGAGAAAGCTGAGCACGTCTACTTCGACGTCGGCACCCCTGACCCGATCAACCACCTGCAGAACCTGACCCCGGTCGAGAACGTGCCGTTCATAGTCAAGAACCAGTTGGTCAAGGCCATGATGGCTGAGTTCCTCGCCATGTTCGTCACCATGCTCTTCGGGCTGTGCTGCATGCTGCAGACCGTTCTAAGCAGCGGAACCGACGGCAGCTTCGTGACCATCGCGCTCTGTTGGGGCCTCGCCTTCTTCTTCGGCATCTCCATCGCCGGCGGTGTCTCGGGCTCCCACCTGAATCCGGCCATCACGACGACGCTGGCGCTGGCGAAGATGCTGCCGTGGAAGAAGGTACCGTTCTACATCTTGAGCCAGATCCTCGGGTCATACGCCGCTGCGTTCTTCGCTTACGTCCTGTATCGCCCGATGCTCAACGAGTTGGACCCGGACCGGCTGACGACTCACACCATCTTCGCCACATACCCGCACGAAAACGTGGGCAACTTCACGTGTTTCGCGACGGAATTCGTGGCGACGGCACTGCTGGTGATTGGGATCCTGGCATTGCTGGACCAGCACAACCGACCGATTGGAAGGAAGGCCGCTCCGGCTGCAATTGGGGCCCTGGTGAGCACGCTCGCCATGGGGTTCGGTATGAACTCGGGGCTGGCCATGAACCCTGCGAAGGACTTGGGCCCTCGGTTGTTCATTTGGAGTGCTGGCTGGGGCTCCCGCGTGTTCTCACGCAGTAATTACTTCTTCTGGATTCCCATTGTTGCGCCAACCTTGGGCGCTGCTGTCGGCGGATTCATTTACGAGGGTATGGTCGGCTACCACCACGTCGACAAGAACCGTGGTCCGCCTCCGGAGTACCGATTCTGAAGGTCAAAGGTAGTCGAGACCGTCACTTTTTCCGCTGCTTTAACGATTCTTGAGTATATTCATTCTGAGTGTGACTCCAAAGTTCTTTTCATACTGTACCGGTTACCTTGATGCAAGGAGGAATGACAGGCTCCGATGCGGTGGGGCCTGCCGTAGCGATAGTGCGTGGAGTTGTTGTGGTTGCTTGCTTGCTTTTGGGTAAAATGCAAAGTGAGATTGATGCGTCGGGCTCTAGGTCTTCCTCTTGCTTTCTCCTTAGTGTCGTTCTAGAAGCTGAGCTAACCTATACTAAATGCAAGTGTTTTTCTGTTTTCGTAATCCTATATATGCATGTTTGTATACTTGTGCAGGTAGAGTTCTGGATTCCGGGCGCCAGGCAGTCTTGCGCAAGCCTGGCGCCAGCCTTCAAGCGACGCTGCGCGCAAGCTACTTGTGGCGGAGGAGGAGACGGCGGCGCTGCGACGCCTGACTTCCTAGCCACCAGGTACGTCTTCCTTGAGCATGTCTGTTGCTGGCGTACCCGCTTGCGTGGGTGCCAGCAGCAGACATGCTGCATCATGACAAGGAAAGGTTGTTTTGTAGCTGACTGTAGCGTAAGGCCATTTCGGTTCGTCCAATTACTGACTCTTGTCGTGAAGCCACTCAAAACGGAACTTGTTTGTTAGGTGCCGATGCTGTACACTTAGTGTACATCATAGTTGGTAAGCTTGCACTTACGCAGGAACGGGTTGACCACGCACCTAGATGAAATATCTCATACTGTAGCACATTGAGGATATTGGCGAAAACAGCGGCTTGTGTCGGGTACATCTCGCTTTCAAACACAAACGCAAGCAGCTACAGGGGAGAAAAAGCGAACTTACGCTTTAGAAACACGTGCAGACAAAACAGCGAGCCCAATTCCAACACTGCAAACGCTAGGATGCCCAACGCTATATTCCCGCTCCAATTTCCAGCGCCGCCAGGGTAATAGACAATATTTGGAAGCTGCTCGAGGATCGACATGAATACCACGAAAATCGTGGGGACGATGCACTCGACGTATTCGACAAGAGCCATATACTCGCAGTGAAACAAAAGCGCCAGACCTTGAACAACCAGTTTCTTGGAGCGGATCGTGTCTCTACTCTCAGCAGCAGAAGTCGCTGCAGACTGCGCTTGGTCCACTTTAATCTTAGCCGGAAGTTGGACTTTTGATGTTTGTACAAGCCCACTGGGACTGTCCATTGGACAGTCCAGGTGTCGGTGAAATTGATGCTCTCCGAGTGGTAAACCATCGAGAATTTGCTTGTCGTGTTAACAGGCTGTTCGTCCTGACGAAAGCTTGGGTTTGGCGAGGGTACAGATTAGATACTTCGAGTCGGTGGAGGAGCTCGTTCTGTTAAAGAGTAAGCGGGTGCGGCAGACATGCCCACAATCGCACTCCTTCGAACTGGGCTTCCTGTTGAGCGCTGGAGTTCCGTGTCGTATCGAGGAGAATAGTGAGTAGGTCGGTCCCTTCTGAGTCTTGCTGCGTACGGTGCAGTAGATCTCGAGACTTCCGGCGATCGTCCAGGATTTGACTCAAGCCTTTTGCATTTCCATGAAGCTCGCGAAATTCAGAAAGCATTTGAGCCAAGTCGGATGCGATGAACAAGAGCGAAAACAACACCGAGCCCGAGGTTGAAATGCACACTGAAATGAATAGCGTACTCATAAAGTCGGCGGAGAAGGCCACAATTACAGGCATGACATCCTCAAAATCACGCGTAGCCCCAACGAGGAACCGCTTGGCGGCAAACTTCCATACCGGCAAAATGACAATAGTAACACCCTGATATCTGCTAGGTATGAGGCCGTATAGTGATTTTGTAGAACGGATAGACACTCGCAAGCGTCATGAACGCGAGGAAATAGCGATTGTACCGGTCGGAACGGAGTTTAAACGGCGAATCCTTTGCAAACAGAGCTGGGCCTAGAATAAGGCGCGTCAGAATCGGCATATAAACTCCGATTGGAATAGGTGCGAGCTGCAACATGCACGGAACTGGAACCCCAATCTTAGCCGCAACTAGGATAAAAGTCCCCACAAGCGAGGTGGCGACTCCCGCTGCAATAGCCAATCTCTTTGTAAATGGAAACTCCAGACCTAGTACGAACCGGACAATTTGAGAATTGACCACAGTGCCAAGTATCACTTGGGTCAGCAACAGACGCAGCCAGAAGACCCAATTCGCAGCCCACCCGTCCAAAGGTGGTCTCAGTGGTAAACATTCCAGTGTCACGGCTACATATAGAGCCGGGCCGGCAACGGGGTGATTAGGCAGACCAACACGACGCGAGTTCGCGACGTGGACTTGCAGTACAGGTCCAGACTCTCGAGCCGCTCGACAGAGTACGATCCTTGGCGGCCCACTTGGATTTCGTCCCACTTGTCCTCAATGCGCCTGCATAGTGAAAGTCGAGAGCTCCCCACAGTCCGATGCCGATAGCTCCACCTCCACCATTGTTTCACCCATAAAAAAAGATGATGGCACCCAGTGCCGATATTATAAGCTGCGTACATGTTCTAAAACTAGCTTACCGTACCCTCGTCTGAAACGCCGAATCAATTTGGGTGATTTATCCCTTTTTGAAGATATTCATTGGCATTTAAACCCGAACAGTGTACGTAGTAGCAAAGACGGTGTTAGCGTTATTCTCGAGCTGAGTGTGGTGGGCTCCCTTGGGGATGGCGGTTGCCAGGACCCCTTGAAGCGCCTGACGCCACTACGCTGTTTTCACCCGCATTACGGTCCGTATTCGTCTAGAGCCTGTAACAGGAAGTCTTTCATTGGTAGTTCCGCGGAACTGGACGACGAAGACGAGAATTGAAAATCCGCAGAGACGTTCCCACTCAGCCTTCCTTCCAATGCGCCGTTGATGAAGCCCAGAAAGTAGGAAACCCGCGTGTAGTACCCCGGTCTAGTTTGAGCCATAGCTTACGATGCCCACCAGCGTGTTGTTGACGAGCATCAGGGCTCCCGATAATGGCATTAATCGCATGTCATTTTTAACGCCCCCATAAATCATGGCATGAACCACAAAAAATCAAGCGCCCATACATCAGGGATTGGAAAAAAGAATTGTAATTGTACAAGTGCAACAATTGTGTAAGTGCAATATTGATTGCTGTCGGTCTGGCAATCTCCACTACATATTGATCAATATTGCTAAGAAGGAATCAAGATCCTGCAAGTCATCTACTCTCTTACTGGTAGCTGTCGACTTCTCCTTCATCATCTTCGTCGTCTTCGAGAGCCGTCTGCACTGCTTTCGACGTGATCTCGTTCGTAACGAGATCCCAGTTCATCCGCAGGAAGATAATAGTCTCCAGTGTTTCTGCGCTCATCCGCTTGCTTGCGCAGGTACCCGAGCATGCACTTCATAGTGGAGAAAAGGCGTTCCACCTCAACCGAAGTAGCAGGGAGCCAATTCAGATCGATATACTTCGACCGATCCTCCTCCCGGGCTTTGGCCCGGTCTTCAATAGCTGCCTTGACTTCCGCTGGTGTACGGCGCCGTCTGGGGGCAGGTTCTGTCTCCGTTGACGGGGTCGTTACAGCGCGAGGACTTCGGGGCCTTGATGCAGGACTCGTCGGTGTTTTGCTGCGCTTCTTCTTCGCTGCTGACGTGCGCCCGGGTACGTTTCTGTTTCGCTTGCGCTTCGAGGTAGATACACGCGCAGGGGTGTTGGTTTCTTCTTCTGGGAAGCGCTGTTGCCCACGCCAAGAACGAACCAAACCAAACCAAATGGTTTGGTTCGAACGTTTCAGCAAATTTACCGATATCAAACCTGAAACGACTGGTTTGGTGGAACAGTTCGAAACATCCTGGCGGGTTCGGAAGCACATGGTTTGGAGTTACGCTGTTGTCGGATTGAAAGGTTCATACCCACCAGCGTTTCATGACTGTAATCTCACTAGATTCAACTATCCTTAAAGTCCGCATGTGCATTCCTTTCTAGCCTATCACCTCTTAACGAAGGAACGTTGTCTGTACTTTTACTAGATCTCTTCGTGAAGAAGCACACGTCGTCTTGCTTCGTACTCGCTGTTTAAATCCACGCTGGTTCCTTCACCACGCTCCACAATCGCCCTCATCACACTCTGCATTTGCTTCGGCTGACCTACCAAAGGGAAAGTTGTGGCGACGTGAGGAAAATTCGAAGCCAAAACGAACTTACTTGCGCGTCAAACTCACTTAACTGTAGCTACACCGCCGTAGTATATCGCGATCCTAACTCCGCCGGTTTCCCTCTTTCACGGTTCACTCTGCTGCGCCGCCCGCGCCGGTGCTCTTGAGCCTGGTCGAGAACGTATTCGCACTTGCTTGCGAGGTTGAGAACTTATTCGCACTCGCTTGCGGCCGGCTTAGCCTGGAGCTGGGGCTCTCCACTGCACTGGCACGGGCGTATGAATAGAGTTCACTCTTCGCTGCGTCAAGCAGCAACTGAGCAAGAGCTACCGCGATGAAGCACAGTTGGTAATTCGCCCCAAGCGCGCGACGACGTGCACGAGCTCGGGTACGATCGCTTCCTGGTGGAGGGGTGGTCTGTGGGCCAAGCGCAGGACGCCGCGCGGGAGCCAGACACAGAGACTTCGATCCGCTCAACGACCTTGGCCTGCACGTACTCTGCTCGCACTGACAGCTCTTCAGAATGAGAAGAGAGATTGAATGAATTAGGAAGGGTCGCCTCGAGGGTCTCATCAGATAAAGCCGCACGAAGTGAAACGTACTAACAGCAAGCAAATAGCCTGGGCTCGGTTTGAACCAAATGGCATGCCGTTTTTGGTTTGAATTGGCGACAGTAACAGCGTGAACCATGGAACCGCCACGAACCAGGTTTAAAGGCCGTTTCTGGTTTGGTTCATTCTCCAAACCATTTGGTTTGGTTTGGTTCGTTCTAGGCGTGCTGTAGCCGGACAACAGCGACGGCTTCTTCTGCGGTTAGATCTTGGTCGCGGCCTTGCATGATCTTGACCACGCCGATCTCGAATGCAGGAGACTCCACGATGTCGGCGTCGGCTTTGAGGTGGTCTGCCAGCTCGGGGAAGTCGACCAACGTCTCGTCCAGAATGTCTCGCACTCAGGTTACGTGCCTGTAATCGATTCGTAGCCAACTCCAACAAATCCATGTCGTCTAGGAGATCCAAAATGGTGCAGTGTTCAGCTGGGCTGGGCAGGTACTGTACAGTGGGGAACCGTCGCGTGTCGTCTTCGGGGGCATCTTCGGGGATGCACCTATCAACTTCGCAGTCTCGCTCAAACAAGAACAAGTACGGCTGGAGCTGTTTGTACCGCTTGAGCATGCGGTGGATGCCGCTCCACCGAAGCTCGTGCATTGCAACGGGCTTTCACTTGCATCCGTTCGCTTTCAGCAAGGCGATGCGCTTGACCGACTTCAATTTGCGCATCAGAACAAACACCTTCTTGATGGTGTCGGTGTATGCTTTGATGTAGTCCTTGACAGCCAAATTAAAGCGATGTGCCGCGCAACCTATCATAGGCGCGGAGACACGTCGTGAAATGGCTTTGTTGGTCTCCATGTTGTCGCAGACGATGCCGACGATGTTCGCGATGTCGAGTTGGACCTGGTCGAGAATTAGGTCCAGGAACCGGATGTGCTCATCCGCCGTCATGCTGCGCTCATCGATGAAAGATGACAGGGCAAGGAATCGCCATCCTTTGCGCGTCACGACATATACGGCCAACGAATGCTCTCCGTTGTCGGTCACACCGTCGAAGACCAGCACATACCTCTCGTCCTTGAGCTCCTCTATGATCAGAGGCTCGAGCAACTTGACACTCGCCACCATACGGGCTTTCAGGGTCTTCGAGCTCATAGAGTTGAACTTGACGGCGGCACGCACCGTCTCGTCATCCACGTCAGCAAACGTGAAGTTTTGTGGACGACGAGATTCATCCACTGGTACGTCTCTTGCGTGTGCCGGTCGACGAACACGTGTAACCTCGACATGACCACTATTAGCACATATTTTACGGCACACTGGGAAGTAAGCATGTAATCCCCTGTTAATACTACCAAATGATACCTTCTCGCACCAACCGTCTTGGTCACTGACAGGGTGCAGCTACGACGACGATCGTACACGAATAGCAAACAACGCAGCATAAACCCTACACAATAATCGTTCGAATGAAAACTTCGAAATTCACGTACGCGTCGTCGAGCACACCGAACTTGTCACGACACTCGTAGATGTAGAATTCGAGCTTGGTAAAATCCGCCTTCATGGCCCCACGGGTCACCCAAGTCTGCTTGTCCGGGCAGTACTTGCGCGACAACTTGCGGCAGCTGCAATGGTAACTAAAATGCAACAACAAGGCGTTAAGACTCTGATAGGGTCCGGGTATCGAGAATTACATGACTGCTACTCACTGTTGTGTTCTTGGTTTTGCTCCAGCAGCAGCACCGGGAGGCAACATGCAGTCTGATGCGCACCAGAAATTCTGGAGGGTTTCTTGGTGGTTGTGGTCAAGATTAGAGTTGGTCAAATCCTTATCCAGTTATTACCAGTTACCGTTATTACCTTCGTACTTACCATTTATTAATAACTTTTATGTATAGTTGGTGTGGCAGAAATATTCGATCTGCTAACGGTAATACCTCATGTGTATAGTTGGTGTGGCAGAAATATTCGGTCAACGCGTTTCGTGAAGTTGTCAACGCACGTGGAGGTCTACCGACATGAATCTGCGTATGCTCCACGAGGCAGGCAGCTCGCGCACGGGGCCTATTCTCGTCGCTGCATTCGCAAACTTGGTCCTGTAGAGCCTGCAAGCTCCATGGACCAAAACGGCCACCGCAACGAGGACCGGGCTAGCAGTGAAGGTCTGGCCTTGGTCGCCCTTCAGTTGGCGTGTGGACCGAGTACATTGTGGTTGTGCCACGTTGGGCCAACCCGAAGAAGCAGCACCGCGACGTGACGTGCAGGCACTGCTCCAAGCTCATCAAGTATGCCCAGCCCAAGAAAAACCTCCGCCCACACATTCGCAACTGTCCCTGAGCCCCAGCGGACGTCCGGGCTAATTACCCTGTAACACCCTCCAAGCGAGATCGTCCCGACACTTCCGATAGGCCCCACAGTCCATCCAAGCGTTCGCGGCCTGAAATGGCTACGAGTGTGCTAGGACCGGTCTCAGTGACTGAAAAGAAGGAGTTCCATCTTCAGATTGCCAAAGCATTCTATGCCTGCGGCATTCCGTTTCGAGTCATCGAAAATGGAGCCATGAGGTGTATCCTGACGAAGTACCGGCCCGGAATGACGCTCCCTTCACGCCAAGATTTGGCGACCTCACTGCTTGATAGCGCGTACGCGGAGGAAGTTGCCAGCGTTATGGAGCTGCTGAGGGAGCAGCAGTACGTTGCCATTGTATGCGATGGATGGTCCGATCCCAACAGCGAGTCCATTATCAACGTTATGGTGACGTCTCCATTTATCCGACCCATATTTTGGTCGTCGGAGCGCTGCGCCGACAAACAGCATACAGGGGAGTTCATGGCGTCAGAGTTGAACAAGGTGATTCAAGCTGTTGAAAATGTCGTCGGAAAAGGATCGGTATGCGCTGTTGTGACGGACAACGCGTCTAACAGGCGTAAGTCATGGGAGCTTCTAATGGCCAAGATACCAAGTCTAACGTGTAACGGCAGCGCGGCACACACGATCAATCTTCTACTCAAAGACATGTTCGGGATGGAGTTCATGAGTGACGTCTTCAAGAAAGCCGTCCTAGTTACCAAATTTGTGCGTAAACGTGCAGCGCTTCTTTATCGCTTTCGGGCTCTGCAACGCAAGTGTTTTGGTACCCGGCAGCGACGACGCGCGCTAATCATCCCTGTTTCGACGCGGTGGTACTCGAGCACAAATTGTATTTCCAGTGTCGTGAGGAACGAAGATGTGCTGCGTGAGTTGTTTTCCAACCATGAATTTCTGGCTCGTTACGGAGATGCTGCTGCCAAACTCAATCGCGTCGAGTCCATTTTGGCTGATAGCATGTTTTGGGTGAATGCCCAGAGCCGTAATGCGACTGGTGAACCCGATAATCCAAGCTCTCGGCTCTCTCGAAAAGGATGGGTGTTGCCTTTCGATGGTGTATGAATACTTTCGTGGACTGAAAACCCACGTCATCTACAACCGCGAAACTGATGATGTTGCTTCTGGTGTTCTTAACACGATCCGAGGCCAGATTAGCTCCCGCTGGAACACCCTCAAGCGCGAATCAATCCTCGCTGCATTTTTACTGGACCCAACTAAGTCTACGGACGACTTTGAAGGTGATGATTTGGACAATGCAGTCGATGCATGCGTAGATCTAGCTACACGAGTTGGTCTACCCTCCAACGTACCTCCAAATGCGGTTCGCCGAGCTGTCATGGCTTTTATTCGCGTGAAGAAGTCCTGGACAGCCGAAGGCCACGAAAAAAACGCGAGGGACACGCCATTAGACTAGTGGTTGGTCAAGGTTAACAAGTTTCCGCTCCTACATGCTTTGGTTACCCGCGTTTTGAGCATCCCGACGTCGTCCGCTGCGAGTGAGCGCTCGTGGAGTGTTCACTCCTTCATCCGCACCAAGCGACGAAATCGGCTGAAACCCGATCGCGTGGAAAAGCTAGCATATTTGTACTCGAATGCGGGTGACAAGGCGGCAACTAGTGCAGTGCACTATCAAGTCAACGCAGAAGAAGAAGGCGAAAGCAGCGCGAGTGACGACTACAGCGATGATGACATCCTTACGCCAATTGCTCCCAACAGCTCCAGTCGCATGCGCGGTAGTCGGTCTAATACGGCGCACCGATCACGATTCTTCACGCCCTCACAGACCGACCAACGTGAAGCTGTCCCACCCCCGCTAGCTCGAAGAACACTATTTTCGCCTGCACTAGCCAACCCGCTACCCGACCAAGTGACGAATACCAGCACAGTATGCAGTGACGAGGCTGCGGTCGCTCTTACGCAGTCGGTCGCTCTTACGCAGTCGGTCGCTCCTACGCCGTCAGTCGCACTTACGCAGTCAGTCGCACTTACGCCGTCAACAAGCAGCGGAACCGTTTTCACGCGTGTTGATGAGCGCCAGCTTGTGCCACCGGTCGTGAGGCCGCCCGGATCGGCAAGTGCAACAACACCGAGTCTACCAACTAGCGATCGTCTCGTATTTTCAGGGGGTAGCAGCGGCCGTCGTGGACTACCTCCAACTCCACAGTCGAGCACTGGACGCACCCACCACTCGCCGAGGGTGCTGTTTGGTCCAACCTGGGAGCATTAGCATATTTGACTTTGTTCACGCTAGCTAAGCCCGCAACACGATCCATATTTTCATTCCGTTCACGCCTTCTTGATTACATATCATGCACTAGTTAGTCAATAGAGTCGTCGTCCTCATGCAAATGTGTATCAATGCATTGGCTTCAACCTCTTTCGAATTTCTTCTAGATGCTGCCTCGGCTGATGGTATTTCTAGCAGCTTCCTCCGCTTCATTTTCTCGTGAGGAGTTTTGGTTCTGCTGCGGACTTGGGTAGTTGTTCATGATAGGGGTAGACTTGATGGTGCTTGTCGGACGTGACGGTATATTCGTCGTCACGCTACTCGAGCCTTGATCACTCATGCACGCAGCCGAGGATGTTCGATTTGCTCTTGCCGGCCTCACCACCCTGTTTCAGCGCGCACACAACCTTTCTGTGCTTGTGCGTGGTGAAGCTGCGTGTGGACCCGTGGCCATGGCGGTCGCATAACACTTTGGTGACCTTAGTGGTGGCGAACTTGCTAGGGGTGAAGGAGAGGTGGAGGGCTAAACCGCTTTTGCCCTGCCTAATCCGAGTTCAAATAATGCAAACGCCAGCTCTTCTTGCTCTTCTTATAATCGTAGAGCTTCACATCAGTTAGCTCACATATTCAGTGCATCGTGCCGTACCCGCCGAAACAGGTTGCCCTTCTACGAGATGACCTCAACTTGAACTTCTGTCACTGAGCTGCCAGCGCAACGGCGCACATTGGCACAGCAGAACGCGCACTAGCACTCCCACAAACAAAGAAGCGTCATATTTGGTTAAGAATGCAGTAATAATGTAACATCAACGCTTGTAGTGCAACATTTAGGCCTCGTCCAACCCTTATCAGCGAGCTGCTCGTTCATGTAACAGCATAATGGCCACCTCGGCGATGTATATGATACTCTTCAAGCCCTTCCCTCTCTTACGAATCTGCTGCACAACACACAAACTCATGAGATCCACCATATCCAGCTACACGCTCTCCCACCAGCACTTACTTCGTTTTTGATGAATCCCTCGGCCAGCAGGCACGTAACGTGGTCCACGAACTGATGGCTAGGCCCGCCCTGCAGGAGATAGGTGTTGTTGGTGCCGGACTCCGTAGTGCCAAAGAACTCGCAGGTCCTGTCGCTCAGCAGTGAAGTATCGGCCTCGTCCGTCGTGAAGCGCACGCCGCACCTGTTCTCCTTGGGCACCATGTCGCCTAGTCCGAAGCAACTGCCGGCCGCAACGGTGTACAACTCGGGTGACGCGCCGATGATGTAGACGCCCACACCGGTGGCACAGAGCGCGTGCATGGCTGACTTCTGGCCACTGAAGAAGCGCAGGTCCTTGGTGAACGAGCCGTCGACCTGCAGGTCGCCCGCCGACGTATACATGGGGTCCGCGAGGGCCAGGCCGAGCGTCATGGTTTCGATCTCCGTCATGTCCACTAGCATGGCGCGTGAAGAGATCTTCTGTAAGCAGTCTTGAGTGGCCTTGTCGCAGCCCATCGTCTTGGGCCGAAAAGCAGAAGTGCAGGTACACGATGGCTTCCTTGATGACATCCAGCGGGCGTTTGACTACTGCGTTGCGGAACCGATGCTGATCAGCTTGAATGTGGGGCGATGTACGCGTCGTAGAGCACCTTGGGCCTATTTTTGTGAGCCGCGTGGCCAGCGTGGCGCCGGCGCCGTTCACGTCCTGGCCGAGCAACGAGCTGGTGCCGAGCGGCGCGTAGATCTAGGGGAGAGATTCCAGCCTGGGACCGGAGAACGCACCGCGCGCGTGCAGGCTAGCATTGTGTGGGAAGCTGATATGAGCAAAAGCTTGCTCTTCCAGAAGTTAAAATGCTTAAGACAATATTTAAGTATTACGATACACAAATGATACACAATGGTAATACCATCGTTATTAAATGCCTAAAATTACTAATACCAGTTATTAAGAGTTATTAACTTGGTAAGAAACAACACTAGTCAAGATCATCCCCTACTGTACCGTCTTCAGACCCAGTTCTGCGAAAGTATTGCACTACCACAAAATACTAGCTACATAGCCAAATGTACTGCAGCTTAAAGGGTTAAAGTTTTGATCTCTCACCGATGAAGAGCAGGGTGGTGTTGTATAAGAATATGGAGAGCTACGGCTGCTTCGGCGCTTTTCACAGCGAACCTACGAATCAACGATCGGCACCTTGTCTGTGAGATGAAGCTCTAGTGACGTCGCGAGTGAGCGCGGGAAGAGCGACAGGCGACTGCAGCACCTGCGGCATATGCCCACTGCATTATCACGAGCAGAATAGCAGGATCCAGCGTCTTCATCACATTCTCAGTGTCCAACATCCATAGTGCGAGCCCGAACGGCAATGCTGAATGGTTCTTGCTGGGGTTGAGAGATTCTGACCTGAGAACTTCAACGAGCTTCAACACTACCCTTTTAAGTATCATCTGATCGGCTTCAAATACAAATAATCGGATGTGGGCTGCGCTAGCAGCTTTACTGCTATCCCAGCAAAATGTACACTAATGTATGGCACTATGCATTAATCGGGAGCCCTGACGAGCAGTGGCCCACCAGAGTCGCCGAAGCACGCGTCCTTCCCGTCTCTAGTACCACCACATAGCTGCGAGGCCGTCACCACGGTATCGGATTCCGTAGATTATTAATGGGGTTGTATACTGATCGGGTCGGTGGATTTGATCGGTCTTGCCTATACACAATTGTAGCTGTAGAACGATCAAACACTATCGTGAGAGGCCTCAGAGAGACCGTTTGCAACCGCAGCAAAGCGGAGGTCTGCAATGGTCGGCGCGTGGGCCGGAGTAGATATGTCTAAGTAGGAGTTATTATCTTTTTACCGACGCCTTGCCCGCCATGAGCGAAGCGAAATTGGCGGTGCAAAGACGCTAGCTCGTAGAGCTTGCCACCAGAGTACCGCACAACACAACAGCGGGGGATGATAACGCTGAAGGAGCGTCGGATTTAGAGGCCGGCCGACGACGTAAATGAGCGTAGGACGATCAAGGTGGTTTAGAATTCGTTAGTTTAACTAAGTGAATACACCTCACCTTTGCAGCCAAAAAAACAAAAGAAATTGGCGGTGCAAACGAGGTGCTCACCCAGGCGAAGCCCGACCAAATCCAGATGGAACTGGGCTCACTGATTGTTCTTGAGGCATTTCTGCGACGGAAACTTTTCGCCGTTGTACCAGCTCGCGTTCGTCTTTGAAACTGAGATGTATCCGGTCCAAGCTATTCTTTTCGCTGAAACATTAAATGTGTTGCAGTATGAGCTGGCTAACGTAGGTAAGCAAGTGCACATAACTCGCACTGTTGACTGCCAATACACTAACTGGGGCAATGTTATACATGCTCTGGTGCGGATTTCACGCTCCGATTCGAGTGGCTCCACGATCAAAAGCTATAATATCCTGTATAACTTACTACGCACAGCTTATTTCTCTGCAGTTACCTATTACCTACTGTCTTGGGAGTTGTTGTGAGAAGAGCTAGCGAAGTTCTTGAGAAAAAGTAAACAAATATAATTTTTTTTCGTCGGACAGAGCAAGTAAAAATACCACAAATTTTCAATGGAACTAGCAAATAGAAAATGAGAAGATCTCAACACCATCATCATAAAAAAGAGCGCAATGTGTGGCGTCTGAATAAGCTTTCGTCTAATGCCTTGTACTAGGTGGGTACAACGCCACCTTTCAACTGATGCTGGCCGCTTCAGGTTTTTTTACTATTATTCTCTGATAAGAATTTCCGTGAATCTCTCAAAGATGCGAAAATGCTTTTGCTGTTCCAGAATGAAATTGGGCAGATTATTGGGCGGCGGCTGACCAGGTCTGAAAACAAGGAAGAAACACGAGCCTTGCTTCAACATGTGAAGTCGCAGTTTCGTGCGCCTTCTGGGGGTGACCTGGATCATGTAGTTGTGTCGGATAACGCGTCGGCTGTCAAGAAAATGGTCACAGAAGTGTTTGGTAGCGAGGTGGTCACAAAACAGGACCCCTTTCACGTGATAACTCGCATCAATGAAAAAATAAAGGCACCCGTCACCAGCAAACGAATTTCAAAGGAACTCTCCCGTGCGATCTACAATGTGGATCGTGAATTGCGCCCTACTGCTGAAATGGCTCTTCAATTTCAAAGTGTAGTCAGCGGTGTTTTGCGCTCAAGTGTATCGTGCAGATTGGAAAGGGTCGTGTCAGAGTAATTTGGAGCAGATTCAGCGTGGCGAGTTGTACGTGGGCTCAAACACTTACGAGGAAGGCGGTCATCGAGTTCGCGTGGTATCTACTAGCCAACTTGAGGGCTTTCACTCTTCCTTAAAAAACTGCTTACCAGAAATGTATCGATTGATGTTGGCTTGCGGATCTTAGATTGGTTTATCGTCAAGCATAATTTGTCTATCGCTGCTAAGTTCGGGCGCAATCCGCCCATGAATGGCGTTGATTTGATTTCGGCGAGCCATACTGCATTACTCTGTGGAACGATGGTCCCTACTTCGCCTCAGATGGAGTATGTGACGCAGCTTTTCTCTTCGCCGCTTGTACCTCCGCAGTATAGAACGGAGACCGAGCGGGACTTTGACTTTGACTCCTGGGCACAGGTATTTCAAAGTGCAAGAGTGAACACAACATGTCTCGAAGGGAATCTTAATCGCTCCCGGCAACACCGCTCAACAGTAGCGGAACTGCTGTTAAAAAGTGCCGTTACCCTTCAATCGGCCAAGCGGAAGCGTGACGAGTTTTTTTTTAACTCTATTCGACTGGCAAGTACCGAGTGTGAAGGCGACCAGGGCTTCTCTACGGAGGAACACGAGCTGCTCAGGCAGCTGCGCAGCGAGCAGGCTGCTAGTAAGCGTGAATGGTGCACGTGTGAAATGATAACAACGATGATGTTCAATATTGTTGCTTGCAACAACACGAACCCTAAAATACGGCTACAACAGCGGAGCTATGCTACGATGGTCTCAAAAATTAAATCACTTGATGCTGATCCTGAAAGTACAAGCTCCGCTCGAAAACAAGCAAAAATATTCCATTTCGCTCCTCAAGAAGCTGTTTCCCTGGCTTTGCGTCCACCGATAGACTGCGAGGCTGATTTGATGCGCGATGTCTTCAAGATTCTGCGAAAGTTCAAGGCCGGCACAGCTCATAAACGATTATTCCACCGTATCTACGACTTTGCAAGTTGTGTCTGCGCTGGAATTTGTCAACTTGATGAATCGGTGCGGGAGAAGCGCTGGGAAGCGCTGAAGGCGGCCCAAAACCGAAAGAAGAGGAGACTAGCGATGGTCACGAACCCCACAGACGCTCCATTATCTTGACCAGCCCCTAATGAAGAAGAAAAACGAGCCGAGCCATTAAGTACTCTGCTTACAGATCAAGAAACTGCAGCGAACGATGACATCGATGCTGCGACCACTACAACTAGTGCAAATGCAGACGACACACCTCCAGCAAGACTACAACCGCAGGTTATTTGTCGTGACACTGTTGGGATTGGTGAAGATGCGGGACAATCAAGTGTTCCAGCAAAACGGCCTCGGCCATCTACTATCGCACCAGAGCACTTGGCTGAGTTGCGTAAACTGTCTGATTCGCTGGTGTATACTCGTGGAAAATATATATTGCTGCAGCAGGAGCTGAAGAAATATTATCCTGACGCGAACCTCACGGATAATCAACTACGCTGCCGCCTTAAACGACGTCGAACAGCAGAAAAAAATTGTCCCAAGCCAGCGAGTAGCGGCAACGAGATATCTGACAGCATTGCTCCACCTCTCGCTCCAGCTAGCAAGGCGACTTCGTGTTCGAGCTGCCGCCAGAAGCACTTAAAGTGCGGTGAAGGGTCTCAAAATCCTGCGTGTTTGCTAGCAAGAAGAATACTACTCGTACGATTGTTATCGTACGAGTAGTATTCTTCTTTCTTTAGCGTATAGCTATAAAATCTAACTTTCATAGCACATCTGTTTTTCCACCAGGATCGAGACATACCTTCGAGACAACATTGTGGTCAAATGTGGTCGAATGTGGTCAAATGTGGTCAAATGTGGTCAAATGTGGTCAAAGTGGTCGCGAGACAAATCCCACCATCTCCCATGCGCCCCCCCCCATGCGCCCCCCCCCCCCCCCGTTGTTGCTGCGGCTCGTGGTCACGCTGGGATGGTCAAGGCTTTGGCGGATAAAACGGATTCATCATCTCGCAAGTACGCGCTTGAAGCCGCCGCAGTGGAAGGTCGCTCGAGTGCGATACCATTCCTCCATGACCGATGCGACTCAAAGAGCGTTGGAGATGCAATGAAACGCGCGAAGGCAGTTGGCTTCAGTGACGCGGTGGCGCACAAGAGAGCTCGTCGGGAGTAAGGGGATCTAGCCACTGGAATTGATTCGGGTTTGTCGGTATCCACGTTACCTCAACGTCATAGCTAGCACGTTCCCGCGAATTTTCCGGCGATTCTTGAGTCAAAGTCAAACGGAGGGTGCTTTTTTTGCTGGTAGTCGCCACGACAGTGGCGGATATCGATTCGCTACGCTAAGCTAAACTTGTGCGTCACTAATAAATGGTAATCGAGGGAGAGAGATGAAATGAGGATCGTTTAAGCCTCGGCGGTGACAGGCTCCTCCGTGGGCACGGGGCCGGGGGACACGCGCTGGCCGTTCTCGGCATCGTCGGCCTCGTCGTCGTCGGCCGGCTCGTTCGGGTTGGCAGCGCTGGTCGACGAGCGCTTGGCAGCGCGTGCAACAACCGCCACCGCAGCGACTGCAGCGACGCAGCCCGCAATCGCGGCGGACATCTGCATCTTGCTCAGGAGCTGGACGGGCACCGTCTCGTTCTTGGTCGCGATCGACTGCGTCGCCTTCTCGTCCACGGCCTGAACGCCCTTGGTCAGCGCCTCAACACTGGCAACGCCCTCAATAGAGGAGCAGTCGACGAAGGCAGCGGACTGGTCCGTCGTAGTGAGCTTGCAGAAGCGGCACACGTTGTCGATGCAGCCCACGCCGCCGTTCAGGCACGACGTGTCCGTCACGATCTTAATGCCAACAGCAGCGTCGCCTTCAGAGACCGTCTGGGTGCACGTTTCACCGGTGGGTGCCTCCGTCGGTGCCTCAGTGGGGGCCTCAGAGGGCGCCTCGGTAGGAGCCTCCGTCGGGGCTTCAGTAGGGGCATCCGTCGGAGCTTCAGTGGGGGCATCGGTAGTCGCAGCAGTTCCGCTGATCGACGTGCAGTCGACAAACGCCGCAGACTGGTCGGTGGTCCTCACCTTGCAGAACCGGCAGACGTTGTCGATGCAGCCAACTCCGCCGGCGCTGCACGAGGCGTCCGAGACAATCTGGATGCCAACGGCGGCATCGCCCTCGGACACGGTCTGAGAGCACCCTCCCTGGACTGAAGCCGCCGTGGTAGCAGCAGGAGCCTCCGTCTCGGTAGCGGGGGCATCCGTTGACGTGACGGGTGCTTCGGTGGTGGCGTCCGGAGTGGCGGGCGTCACCGATGGAGTCTCGGTGGTAGCAGCGGGAGTCTCGACGTCGGCATCAGAGCCATCAGTGAAGTCCGAGTCGTCCGTGGAGAAGTCGCCGTCGTCAGAGAGGTCGGTGTTGTCCACGACGGGCACATCCGAGGTCGAGCTGCCGGTCGAGAACTGCGAGCAGTCCAGGAAAGCCGCCGACTGGAGCGAGGTCGTGATCTTGCAGAATCGGCAGACGTCGGTAATGCAACCGATGCCGCCGGAGACGCACGTGGCGTCGGTGACGATGCTGATGCCGACAGCGGAGTCGCCCACCGACGGCGCGATAGTGCACGTCGTGGCTGCAACCGGGGCAGCCGTAGTCGCCGCTGAAGAGTCGGCTGTAATAACCGGCGCAGCGGTCGTCGCGGCCGGCACGTCGGTGCTGTCGGCCGGAGCTGCAGTCGTTGCTCTCGGCACGTCAACAGGAGTTTCAGTTGCCGCAGTCGGGGTTTCTGTCGTGGCAGCAGGAGTCACAACTGGAGTATCAGCCGGGGCTGCACTGGTTGCAACCGGATCCTCAACCAAAACTGGGGCGGGCGTATCACCGGCAACAGCCGGCGTCGCTGCCGGAGTCTCGACGGATGTCGGTGCATCCATCGATCCGGCAGTTCCAGAGCCAGCGGCGCTCGTGCCGAGCAAGGCGCAGTCGAGGTACGTGGCGGACTTGGCAGTAGTTCTCACACGGCAAAAGCGGCAGACATCGTTGATGCATCCGAGACCACCGGCACTGCACGTCGGATCCATTCCGATACTGATGCCGATCTCCACGTCGCCTTCAGCAGGCACAAGCGTGCAGCCGTCGGTAGTGACAGTAGTGACGGGGGCGTCCGTCGCAGTATCGGCCGGCCCATCAGTCGACGAACCGGCAGTGACGTTGTAGTCGGAGCAGTTGACGAAAGCTTCGGACTGGGCCGTCGTCTCAAGCTTGCAAAAGCGGCAGTGGTCATTGAAGCAGCCCAGACCACCGTACAGGCAGGCAGTGTCGGTCACAGCCGAAATGCCGACGGCCGCATCGCCGCTCGACACATCGCAGGTGCCGGTGGACACAACCAACGGAGCCATCGTGGGGAAGTCGACGCCGAACGTCGTGCAGTTCTCGAACGCGGACGACTGCGGCGTCTCCAGGATCTTGCAGAACCGGCAGTGGTCGTTGTAGCAGCCAAGACCGCCCGAAGCGCACGAGCTGTCGTCGACCACGCGAATTCCGACGCTCTTGTCACCGTCGGAAATTCCGCAGACGTCGACGTCGGCCGCTGTGCTGGCATCCTGCGAGTTTTCGGCGCATGCCGAGGGAATGACGCTCAAGCTGAGGGCACACAGTACGGCTGCCTTAATGAGGGTACGCGTTCCGACACGGCTGCTGGTGTACACCATGGTGTTGGAGGGGACGAGGGGGTCAGGTAGGAGGGTTGGTCGAGGTGGATTGCACCTGAGGGAGTGAATCGAGGAATGAGCAGGAAGGTGCTCGTTGCTACAGTGGTGACACTCAATCTGACTTCCGTTACGGGTTTCATTAGCGTTGCCGGCATTTTTAGGTTTTCACAGGGTGTAACCACTCCAACACCGGCTTCTGGCCCGACAGCAGGAAAGGAGGACATGAGATCGTGCACTGGTGAAAGAAAGCAAGCTCACACGAGTCCGTTATGCAATGCCCATGGGCTGAAAAGCCAGCGGAACCTCAGCGGTGTCCCGGTTTCGGGACGAAACCAACCGTCCAAATTATGGTGTAATTAAGCCTGGTAGAACACCCCGAGAATGCTCATCCTGCGACGAGGCTGAGGAAACTTGCAACACCAAGTGCGATCATGCCGCTTTCTTTGAAATGCTAGGCCTTGAGCACAATCATGGATCATTGTAGAATTTAACAAAGTATTACCGCCACACCCTACCACACAGCGATCTACTTTATCAAAAGCACTTATTGGTATGCGAGCAGGTTCTGTCTGCATAATACGCAAAATTCAGTAGACAATCGACGCCCACAGTAATTAGCTCTTGCTAACAAGCGAAGTTGAAAAGCAAGCTGGAGGTAATGCTCGAATTGGTATTCTAGCAATTTCCAGAGTTCATCCAGGCATAGGAGGATTGGGGGCGTTAATGAATTTCGTTGAGTTAGTGGGCCAAGGCATGAGGCGCCTTGTTTAAGAGGCAATGTGCCGAATGGCAGCCATAAGGGATGGTGGGAGGGTAAAAAATGTTCTCGATCGCCCCCGGTCTGAAGCTTGAGCGACTTCTGATGCGGCCACGGCAGCGCGAATTCAAGTTCGTCGAAGCCTTCTTGATCAATACGTGAGCTCGGCAACGGAAGATCCAGATTGAGTTGGTTCCCGACTCGTTTGCTGCTGCTTGGGTGTCTTATCCAGAAACAGTTTCTGTCCGTTGTCGACGAGTTGGGATCTTGGTGCCTTCCTTCATTCGGAAAACAAAGTATCAATTTGCCCCATTTGCTGCACTCACTGCACTGCCGAATAATGCCACCTTCCTTCGACAGCATTAACAAAACAATTAAAATTTTATATTCAAAGAGGAAGCCAACCTGAAAGTACCAGATAACAACATTTGCTTGTACAGTGTATCTCAACATCGTGAGATGAAACGTAGGTTTCCAATCAGTACATTCTCCGTGCCAAGATGATGAAGAACATATTATCGTACCACAAAGGCGACGAGGAAAACTGGAGCTGGTTAAAGTTTCTGTATTGATGTTGCCCAGTGCACCAGGAGGAAGTGAAGGTGAAAGAAAGCAATTGCTGCTAGGGAGTTAAAATACTACCATCATGGTCGACAACACAGCACCGACAAACAGAGTCGCAGCCGAGCTCACAAGCGAAGTCGTCGCCGCCGAAGAGGTCTTGGTGGTTGTATTTGTTGTCAACGTCGCTGTCGAGTCGGTTGAACCGCCTGTAGTCGAGCCGCTCGAAGAGTCTGGACTTGTGCCAACGGAGTAAAATCGTTTGGGCATTTGCCCCGTTGTTGCAATACAACCACCGGTGTTGATATTTGCTGCGGGTTGGTCGAGCAATACTTCCAGGGTAGGGGAGCACCGACCGTACTCGTTCGAAAAGCCCTCAACCTTTACCCTGCCATCCGCACCAATCGTTGTGCGCTGAGAAGCGATAGTGTCGACAAGGTAATACTCGTGACAATTTCCATCCGCCAGGAACGCGAACGTCTGCCTAATCGTAGAGCAGCCCGCATCTGTGTAGTACTCGACGACCACGTAGGGGGATTCTCCAAAAGTATTGCTTAGAGACTCTGCCAGATTGGTGACGCAGGCGTGGGACCGGCCGAGGTCGTAGTTTGAACAGTAGTCATCGGGCTCAGCACGACAACTGACGTCCTGGCTAATCTTGATATGAGCCGGGATGCCGGTACAGTTCAAGTCGGCGTGAAAGAAGAGTACGCTCGCAGGACCCGAGTAAATGTCAGCGTCAATCCTTGAGGCAACCATGGAGATGCCGACAAAGGTGCTGAGGCTGATCTTCATCTTGATTCTTTGGGTGGTTTGACAACTCCGCTTGGTTGTTGACGGTGTTCTCGAAACTGAGCTGATGAAGTCAAAGTGGTCCTAGCGTTGACCCTATTGCCAACACTAACCGCTAGAAAGTGTGTGAAACGAGATCAGAACTCGACGCTAAGGAGAGATTGTGTACTTGTGATGGTGCAGACTTACGTAGCCCAAATGTCATTCGTCCTGATCTCGTTACAACGTGCTCACACCACAGAAATAGAAAAGAAGATAATGAGCACACGCATTGACGGCATCATAAGCAAGACCAAATGTGAGACTAGAGGTTATGCAAAAAAAAATCCCAGCGCACCCTGCAAAACAATGTGAAATCCAATTCTTCGTCCTTGTAAACGGTAAGTGTACGTACTCTATGCAACAATACACACAAAGAATGGATCTCATTATTGGATGCATAACTACACTGTCTACTACTTGAAGTACTACATACCCGATTTACAATTAATTCAAGTGCTACTCAGGTTTTTTGACTAAAATCGGTGAATTTAAGATTTCTCGAGTAAATGCAATCTAGTGGCGGTGGCTATACTGTAAAGCGCCCATGCTAGTACATGTATCGCACGCTGCCGTGTGGCCTACTTGCTGTACAGCTATGCGGTCGATTAACGCAACACAGATGAGAGCTCCTCGGTGCTCGCGGCCTCCACGCTTTGAGGGTTACGAAAACTCTAACCCAAGCTCCTCTTAAAGGGCAGGTAGGATAGAGACAACCGCCGACAAGTTCATGGGATGTCGTTACCATATAGCATGATAAGTAGCAACAATGTACCTCAATGCGAAAAGAAAAATGCAAGCACTAACACCGCAAATGATCTTCATCTTCGAGTTTGTTCTGACCCCATCTCAAACGTTAAGCGCTAGGTAATCTACGAGCGAGATCAGAACAGTCCTTCGGATATTGGGGACACAATTTCATTTATCATTGACAAAATACAAATAACATTCGTTCTGATCTCGTTACAACGTTTTCATTCTGTCTGAAATAGCAAGAAAATAATGAGCAGTGGCGTTCTCAGAAAAAAGTTCCAGGCTACGCCGTTAAACCTGCACCCCTTTTAAGAATGAAAATTATGTCTTCGTTCTTGTTGAAAGCTGTGCACGGCGAAGGATAAGGATATGCATAGAGTAGTCGAACAAATGATTTCATTCTTTGATAGAATATCTACGCTACCTGGTCTCCACGTGCAGCATCAATTCATTCGGGACCTTAGAGCTCTCAACTTATTAATGATTTGACTTTTTGAAAGTTTGACATTTTTGATTCTTTGGGTAAATGCAATCTAATAAGTCGACTTGAAAGCGTCCATGATATCATTCTAGTCCTTGTATCTCACCCACATGCTGCTATGAGGTCTCTTTTCATGACCCCATGGTGGAAGTGCCAAATTACAAGCTACCGTCATTAAGACGGTCGGTAAGATCTGAACTATCCGTGAAGTCGGAGTCATCTGAAGAGTCCAAATCATCGGTAAAGCTCGAGTCATCACCGGAGACGTCGCTCTCGTCCGAGAGATCGGAATCATCCACGACCGGAGACTCGGCCGTCGAATCAACACTTCCGAACTGCGCGCAGTCCAAGTAAGCGGTCGAATGAACCGAACTCGAGGCTTTGCAAAAGCGGCAGTGGTCGTTGAAGCAGCCAAGGCCACCGTACAGACACGCATCATCCGTCACAGCTGAGATGCCGACAGCCGCATCGCCGCTCGACACCTCGCAGGTGCCGGTGGACGCCACCAGAGGGGCCATCGTGGGGAAGTCGACGCCGAACGTCGCACAGTTCTCAAACACCGACGACTGAGGTGTCTCGAGGATCTTGCAGAACCGGCAGTGGTCGTTGTAGCAGCCTAGACCGCCTGAGGCGCATGAACTGTCGTCGATCACACGAATGCCGACGCTCTTGTCGCCGTCGGAAATGCCGCAAATGTCTACGTCGGTCGTTGTGCCGGCATCGAGGGAGGCTTCGGCACGCACGGAAGGGATGGTGTTCAAGCTGAGAGCACACAGAACGGCTGCCTTGATGAGAGTTTTTGTTTCAATACGACTGGTAGGGTAGGCCATTCTGCTGGATGAGTTTGGAACTTTGGTCGGGTCGAGAAGGTGAATTGAGGAATGTGCAGCTGAGTCAATGGGCTGCATCTTGGCGGGAGCTTATTCGCATTTTGCTTGTCTTTTTTGGTCGCACTTGGACTCTCAAATTGGACCGTGCGATCGAGCGTGAAAAAAAGAGAATCAAGAGGTCCGAGATCGCTATTTTCATCGATAGATCGGATAAACCTGAATAGGAATCTAAGATTTGGACATCCTAGAGCTTCGCATCAACGCATGTACGCAGTACCCAAGGGAACGAGTCGAGTGGTTTAGCTTTAACCCTAATATAAGAAATTATCGCAAGTATTGAAGTATTTTTTTTTCCTTTCACCGTTGCTGTACACTGCATTAACATGATGTTGTGCCGTAGTCACGCTAAAAGGCATTTTCGATTGGAGTATTGATTAAAAGTGCAGTATTGTGTCGAATAAATGCAATGTTTAGATGGTGGTGTCGAAGCTTCGGTAGGAGAAGCCCTTATAGTCTCAAGCTTTCAGGCTGGAAATGCGTCTACGTATCCGTAGAATGTTTAACTGCCCTCCTCAGACTCTTCCGAGTCGTAGTAGGTCGAGTCCGAGTCCGCGTACGTCGAGTCGGAGCCCTCCCAGTCGTCATCGATGTCGTCGACTGACGGCAGCGGGGCCTTCGTCGGCGGCTCGGTGACAACCACAGGGGCTTCCGTCAGCATGTCGGAAGTATCGACGACTGCCGGTGATGTAGTGTCCACAACGGGAGCATCCTTCGGTACGGCAGTGGGGGCATCAGTTACCACGTCGGTATCAGCTGAAGTAGAAGCGGGCGAATACGTCAGTATGTCCGACACGTCCGAACTGGAGGAGCTAGGAGCCTCCGTCGCATCAGCGGCTGGGGCATCGGTGGTGACAGGAGCCTCAGTGTTCACGCTCGAGTCAGTCGGGGTGGCAGTGTCAACGTCCGTGGTGGTAGGCTCCACAGTAGTGTTCGAATACGGCGTAGCCGGGGTAGGCGCCGTTGTTGTGAGAGCCACGGGGCAGTCGACGAAAGCTGCCGACTGGTCCGTCGTCTTGGTCTTGCAGAACCGGCAGGCATTGTCAATGCAGCCGACACCGCCGAACTGGCACGAAGTGTCGGCGAAAATGTTGATGCCAACGGCAGCGTCGCCATCAGAAACAACGAGGCTGCAAGACCCCCCAGGAGTTGAAATCGCCGGTGCAGAGGTGGTCGAAGCAGTCGGAGGTGTCGTCGTCAAAGTCGGAGCGTCGGTGTCGAGGGTGAAGCCGTCAATTGACGTGCAATCAACAAAAGCGGCGGACTGCACGGTGGTCGTGACCTTGCAGAAACGGCACACGCTGTCAATGCAGCCGACGCCACCGTCAGCGCAGGTCGCGTCGCCGGTGATGCTGATACCGACAGCCGCGTCGCCCGCCGACACCACAAGTCCACAGGCAGGCTGATCAGCCGGCGCACCGGTAGTTGCTGTAGCTGGAGCTGCCGGCGCGATCGCGTTGCTGGCCGGTACTTCGACGCGAGGGGTGTAACCAGAGAGTGATGTGCAGCTGACGAACGCCGCGGATTGAGCAGTCGAGGTGACTTGGCAAAAGCGGCACACATCGTCCATGCAGCCGACACCTCCGGCAAGGCAGGTCGTGTCGGTGGCAATGTCGACGCCGACTGCGATATCGCCGACGGACGCAACGCGAGCACAAGTCGAGTCAGAGGTAGGCGCGGTCGTGGTGGCATCTGGAGTGGTCGTAGCTGTCGGAATCTCTGTCGGAGGCGTGTAGCCGTCAACCGTAACGCAGTCAATGAACGATGCCGACTGAACCGAAGTGATCACCTTGCAGAAGCGGCACACGTCGTTGATGCAACCAACCCCGCCCGCACTGCACGTTGAGTCCGTGACAATTTGAATGCCGACCGAGGCGTCACCACTCGAAGCAACCAGGTCGCAGGTGCTAGGGGCATCGGCAAGAGGAGCGCTCGTCGTGGATGCCGGGGCAGCGGAGTCAGGCGCAGTGCCATCGAGCGAACTGCAATCGACAAAGGCTTCGGACTGAGGCGTAGTCTTCACTTTGCAGAAGCGGCACAAGTCGTTGATGCAGCCGACACCGCCAGTGCTGCAAGTGAGATCCGTCGCGATATGAACACCAACCGCGATGTCACCAGCCGTGGCTTCGAGACCACACATTTGCTGGTCAGGTAGTGCAGCCGAAGTCGAAACAGGGGCACCAGTTGGTACAACCGGGGATTCGGTAGGGGTCTCGCTTCCAGTCACAGGCTCGGTTGTCGCATCCGGCGCATCTGTCGGGGCAGCAGGGGACTCTGACGGTGCTGGTGTCTCGGTGGCGGTGGGAGCCTCAGTAGGAGCCTCAGTCGACGCATCCAGAGCATCCGGGACGGCAGGTGTCTCCGTAGGGGCGTCGGTGTCGGTGACGGTGGGAGGAGCTTCCGTTGTCGCATCCGGTGTATCCGTGACGGTAGCAGGCGCCTCGGTAGGAGCTGCCGGCGTCTCAGTTGTAGCTGCCGGGGCCTCCGAAGTTGAATCAGGCACCTCTGTTGGTGCGTCAGACGGAGGAACGGTATCGTCCACAGCGGGAGCCTCCGACTGCGGCGATCCATTTTCGAGCAGGGCGCAGTCGATGTAAGGCGCCGACTGCAGGGAGGTCGTGACCTTGCAGAACCGACAGATCTCGTCAATGCAGCCGACTCCGCCCGAGCTGCAGGACGGGTCCGTGCCGACGCTGATACCGAGATCCGCATCTTCAGCCGATGCCACAAGGGTGCAAGTGGTTGCAGATGCTGGAGTCTTAGTAGGTGCATCCACTGGTGCCTCCGTAGCAGCAACCGGGGCATCCGTCGATTGCGGAGCGTCCGTGGGGGCATCCGTCGAGGTTGGAGCGTCCGTGGCGACATCGGTCGAGATCGGGGCGTCCGTGGGGGCATCCGTCGAGATCGGGGCGTCCGCGGGGGCATCCGTTGAGATTGGAGCGTCCGTGGGGGCATCCGTCGAGATTGGAGCGTCCGTGGGGGCATCTGTTACCGGAGCGTCGGTCTCAGCAGCAACCGATGTCGCACTAGGAGCGTCAGTCGTTGCTGGGATCTCCGTCGCAGTTGGGGCACCGTTTACCAACGCGCAGTCCATGTAAGGATCCGACTGCGGGGTCGTCTTGAGCTTGCAGAATCGGCAGACGTCGCTCAAGCAGCCAAGGCCGCCTGAGGCGCATGACAGATCCGTGACGATGGTAACGCCGACATCGAGGTCTCCAGCGGATGGAACAATGCCGCACGTTGACGGAGACACTGGAGCGTCAGTCGCCGGCACTTCACTGCTCGGTGCTGCAGTAGCTGGTGCATCCATCGGCGGAACAGTTGGAGCGTCAGTGACAGGGGCTTCACTAGTTGGTGCCTCAGTGGCAGGGGCCTCACTCGTTGGAGCGTCAGTGATCGGGACTTGGCTGATCGGAGCCTCAGTGACTGGGGCGTCCGTGGTTGGTGCTAGCGTAGCTGGAGCTGTCGTCGGCGGAGCCGTAGCTGCCGCAGTTGGCGGAACGGTAGGTGCCGCCGTCGGAGGACTAGTCGGTGCTGCCGTCGGAGGACTGGTCGGTGCTGCCGTCGGCGGAACGGTAGGCGCTGCGGTTGCTGGTGCCAGCGTGGCGACAGGGCTGTAGGAGCTGTCGAGCCTCGCGCAGGCTATGAAGCCGGCCGACTGCGGCGTCTCCCTCACCTTACAGAAGCGGCAGTGGTCGTTGAAACAGCCCAGTCCGCCGTACAGGCAGCCCGAGTCCGTCACCGCCGCAATACCCGCCGCAACGTCACCTCTCGACACTTCACAGGGGCCTCGCGAGGCGGCCACCGTCGACGTCGTAGTGAACGCCACGCCGTGCGACAGACATGTGTCCAGGTGCGACGACTTGGGCGTGTCCAGCACCTTGCAGTAGCGGCAGTGCTTGTTGTAGCACCCGAGGCCGCCGTTCGTGCACGACTCGTCGTTGATAGCCTGGATGCCGACCTGCTTGTCGCCGTCCGAGATGCCGCACGTCACTTGGCTCGAAGTCGGAGCGGGCGTCGTGGCCCCTTTCGCTTGGATCGACGGCAAGGCGCTCAGGGCGAGCGCGCACACCGCCACGGCTTGAATGAAAGAACGAACGCCACCAGAGTAAACCATGTCGCTTGGAGCTGTCCACGAGGTATCCTTCCCGGCCGAAGCTGCTCGCTTGGTCGCCTGTGTAGTAGAACGCAGGAAGAAGAATGATCCAGCGTCGTGAGTCCAAGCCAGCCAGCCAACCTTCTGCGACGAACCACAGCTCTTGAAGTCCTGCGAGGTGGCGCCATGAGCTCAAGCACCAACCCAACGACCAGCGCGCTCCTCCCCTGACGGTTGAACGGACATTCTAGTCCGTCTCCTGGTCGCGGATGGTATCTAGCGAACATGCGACGCTGTTCGTGCGATCATTTTGGTGAAAACTTGGTGGTGACGGTTTTCATTCCGCTGCTTGCGCGAGCCGTTGCATCCAAGGGCAGAGTCTTCAGCTTATCGTGGGAAGTTCAACCGTTTATTGATAGCGTCTTGAGCAGGGCACGGTGGCACCTCATAGCGTTCAATGCAGCGGGCCATGGTATCTGGATGAGAGAGGAGGGGGGGGGGTAGCGAAAGATTGGGACTTCTTAGCCGTGATCCTGCGCGTCACAGAGACAGTAGACAGCAAGGTGAGATGTTGGTGGGGCGAGAGCTCACCCGGACGATTTCTGATCGGCACCAGTTCGTGCAAGACTGTCTTACAGTACTAAAACACCGGCTCGTTTACATCCCTGAACGCTCATTGGGTAAAATATATTATAAAGGCACCCCAACCATTGGTTGAAATAATTTTTCTTACTTCAATGTAGCCATCCAATCGCTGGAAGCGCGCCATGAGAATCATGCCCGCGTCGCGACACGTCGCCGCTCCCCCAAGCCGCACATCGTGCTGCGGCGTCCTCCAGGCGATCCCGAGAGCGAGGAGACGGTCGGCCACCAGCTGCTCATGATGACAAGCTCGAAGGGATACACAGATCTGGCAGAGTCTCTGTTGGACGGCGGTCTACGCCCAGACTCCGCAGGATCGGACGGCCGCACGCCGCTGATGTACGCGGCCTACTACGATCACGTCGACGTCGTCGCTCTGCTGTTGAGTCGTGGGGCACCCGTGGACCAGCAGATGTTCGACGACTACTCGGCGCTGCTGCTGGCCAGCGAAGCCGACCACGTCGAGTGCGTCTGCGTGCTGCTGGAGCATGGCGCCGACGTGAACCAGACCAACAAGGTGGGCTGGACGGCGCTCATGGTGGCAGCACTGTATGGACATAGTCAAGTGATGTCTCTACTGCTGCCCAAGCAGCCCAAGCTTGATATGCAGCGTCCCAACAACTGCACGGCACTTTACATTGCCAGTGAGCACGGACACGCCGAGGTGGCAGATCTGCTGGTCACGCACGAAGCGGACATTGAGCTCCCAGACGAACGCGGGTGGACGCCGCTCATGGCGGCGGCCTGGAAGGACCACGCAAATGTGATCGAGGTGCTGCTGAAGCACGGAGCTGCTATTGACAAGCAACAGGCTGACGGGGCCACGCCGCTCTGGATTGCCGCACAACATGGAAATATCGCCTGTGTGCACGTTTTGTTGAGTCATCGTGCAGAGTTGGAGATTCCGAGCAAGACGGGTTGTACGCCGCTCATGACAGCAGTCTGGCACGATCATGTGGATGTGATTAAGGCGCTGCTGCAGCAAGGAGCGGCCATTGATAAGCACGAGGACGACGGATCCACACCACTTTAAATCGCCTGTCAGCACGGACATTTCGACTCTGTGCAATTGCTGCTAAGCTATGAAGCAGCTATGGATATCCCGGACAAATCGGGCTGGACGCCACTCTTGGCGTCAGTGAAGCGGGATCGTGAAGCTGCTGCTGCAGAATGGGGCAGATGTTGAGAAGGTGCTGCCGAATCAGGCGACAGCGCTGTACATCGCGAGCGATGCGGGAGACGTCGAGATGGCAAGGCTCCTTCTGAACTACGGTGCCGATATTGAAGCTGTGGATTATGAGAAGTGGACGCCGCTCATGGCTGCAGCATACCGCGGAAATACGACCATCGTGGAGCTGTTGCTGGAAAATGGAGCCGATGTGGATAAGTGTCTGCCTGGTGGATCGACCGCTCTGTATCTCGCCAGCGAGCACGGACACCTCGAGACTGTCCGAATGCTTATCACGCACGGAGCCAATGTGAACGCGATGAATAAGTATGGAGTGACCCCTGTGGCCATCGCGTGGATGAAGAAACACTCGCACGTGGCATTCTTGCACGTGGTATTGCTACTGCTGCGCTGCGGAGCGATACCGACCCCAGAGCTGGCCGCAGTGCTGTCGCCAGAGCCGTAATTGTAAACTTGGGCAGGTCGGTGTGTGTGTTGCCGCTCGATGAGGCAATCTTGACACCAAAGTTGGCTAGAATATCATCTTGATTTCACTCATATCTACTTCAGCTGCCCGAAAACTATCCGATTCAATGGAGGAGGAAACTATTGGTCGAACGCCTTGTCGTGCGTGACAACATTAATTCCGGAAGGCGTGGGCGTCACCATGGAGTGGGACGAACTTGTGAATTGAGTATCGCCGGATCGTCTTTACGTTATTTTATCGAGGGTGCTCGAGCCATGGGCAGAGCTTGAGCACACTGGGCTGGAATGCAGTGGTCGAGGAGGCATCGAGTGATTGCACTCAGCCTCGGCACCTACAATCGCTGATTGTGCGTTATCACCTAATCCAAACAAGCTTTTCAGAATGAGATCCGCAGCTCCAAAAAGTAGCAGGGCTCGGACGAGCCCAGTTTTCTTACGACGCACCGTGCCGCTAGTTATTCTACTGTAGACCCAGCTCTACCATTTGAATTTATTCCTGAATTTGTTGTGGCGATGTCTGCGAACTGCATCGTCCACCATTATCAGCGCTCATCTGATGAGACTCGTGCGTTGAAATGCAGCATTCGAGCCATCTTTTGTGCGTTAATAATATATATTATATAACTTCCCCTGATGGTTCATGATAAAAAACACGAAATTGAAGCAATGTTTTGAAGAACTATTCCAACGTTATGTCGCTTTTGCGCAGCAACAGTTGAAGAAATACAAGCATCGGAGGATCGGGAACTATGGCGGGAAGTGAATCAACGTATTGTTCAAGGGAGTCGAGCTCACCGTTGGGAAACAACTGGCCTAGACACCGAACTCGCTCGTCAAACCGCGCGACTCCAGCAGCGAGTACTCGGCTGGCATGAACGCAGGAACCAACACATGAGTGAAAGTGGTCGGGAAGGGAGGAACGGGGGCGCCACCGATACGAGGAGGAGTCCGCTGGAGAGTACATCTACACCATCGGGATAAAGCATTCACGTGGTGATATATAAGAATAGTCCAGGCTGCACTGTGATCGACATCGTAGGTAATAGGTTCATAGCAAGTAGCGTACAGACAGCAGACGAGGACAGCCGTAGCCGCCGGGTACGTAGGGAGAAAGGTATCTGGTATGCGGGGCTGAAGCAGGGCTCGCCCTGAGTGCAATCGGCGTTAACCGCATAAAATAAAAATAAAAACAACGTTATGTCGCTTTTCGCGAGGAATACGGCATTAAATGCACAGGCAACATGGTTACAAAATTTGTAACCATGTTGCCTGTGCCTTTCCGCATACACACTTGCTCATTTGCACCATTTCATTTTAATTTATTTTTTACGTTGCTTGCAGGCGAGAAAATAAAAGTTCTTAGATCCTAACAAGACATTTTTTGTAATTTGTCATTACGATGCCGCGTCTTTGCACTTCAACGTAGTCATCCAATCGCTGGACGCGCGCCACTACTCATTCCTCAATCTGCCATCAAGCCCACACTCCTCCAGCCTACAACAACAACAACAACAACAACAACAACAACAACAATGGCCAAGCAGCGACACGGACGACGCCGTTCCTCGAAGAAGAAGCACGCCGTGGCCTCGAGTCCTCCCGCTGAGCCTGAATGCGAGGAGACCGTCGGCCACCAGCTGCTCATGAAGGCGAGCGCAAGCGGCCAAGTGGATATAGTCACGTCTCTGCTGGACACCCACCGGTCTGCCCGCAGACTCCACGGGCGCGGACGGCCGTACGCCGCGCATGAACGCCGCCTGCCTCAACCAGGCCAACGTTGTGACTCTACTGTTGAGCCGCGGCGCGCCCGTGGGCCAGCAGATGTTCGACGGCTACTCAGCGTTGCTGCTGGCCAGCGAGGACGGACACGTTGAGTGCGTGCGCGTGCTGCTGGAGCATGGTGCCGACGTGAACCAGACCAACAAGGTGGGCTGGACGGCGCTCATGGTGGCGGCGCAAAACGGGCATAGCCAAGTGGTGTCTCTACTGCTGCCCAAGCAGCCCAGGCTCGATATGCAACGTCCCAACAACTGCACGGCGCTTTACATTGCCTGTGAGCACGGACACGCCGAGGTGGCGGAGCTGTTGGTCACGCACGGAGCGGACATTGAGCTGCCGGACGAACGCGGGTGGACGCCGCTCATGGCGGCAGCCTGGAAGGATCACGTGGACGTGGTTCAGCTGTTGCTCCAGCACGGAGCTGCCATTGACAAGCAGCAGGCTGATGCAGCCACGCCGCTCTTTATTGCAAGCCAACACGGACATGCAGACTGTGCTCACGTGCTATTGGAGCATGGAGCAGCCGTGGATATCGCGGACTGTAAAGGGTGGACGCCACTCATAGCCTCAGTCAAGGTCAAGCGTACTAGTATCATGAAGATGCTGCTGCAGAAAGGGGCGGATATCGAGAAGTTGCTGCCGAACAGGGCCACGACACTCTACCTCGCGGCTGAGGCGGGGAACGTCGAGATGGCAAGGCTCCTCCTGGATCACGGCGCCGATATTGAGGCTGTGGATAATGAGGAGTGGACGCCGCTCATGTGTGCGGCGTTCCGTGGGAACCCGTCCATGGTGGAGCTGCTGCTGGAGAAAGGGGCCTACGTGGACAGGCGTCTCCCCGACGGAGCCACCGCCCTCTACCTCGCGAGCGAGCTCGGGAATCTCGAAATCGTTCGAACGCTGATCAGATATGGGGCGAATGTGAACGCGACGAACGAGGAAGGAGGTACCCCCATGTCCGTCGCTCAGATGAAGGGCCACTCGCGTGTGGTCTCGCTGCTTCAGCGTCACGGAGCGACAGCACAATCCCCATCTATTTTTGTGGTTTGTGATGGCCAGGCCTTTGGTATTAGGCTCGGATGAAGGTAAGGGGATGCATGTATGTAGCTACTGACAAAGCGAACTCGATGGATGCTTGTCAAAATCCACTTCAACCTGATCGTCTTTTTAAAAAGTTTTGTACCCATGATATATAATGACTATATTTTAGTCCCAAAAAGTCCAACGTGACACAAATCCTCAGTTGAAGATGTCGAGCCCGTTGACAGCCGTCGACTTCGTGCTGCGGCGCCAGCGAGACGGAGGCGCTCTACAGCAGCTCGGACGGAGCATCTACAGCTTCCTCGGGCCCTCCCCGTACCTGTCGCTGTCCCAAGCCTGCTCCATCGAGTTGCTGCAGTGGATCTGGGACTCGAGCTGAACGTCCCGCAGCCGAGATGGTCGCTCCACAATTATCTGCGCTCGGACCCGCACTATTATCGCTACCAGTTCTCCGAGTCTATGATAGCTGCTGTTTACCGCGACGATTTAGCCATGATCGAGTGGCTGTGCACCCATTTCTCGGGCTGCGAGGTGCCCAGTGACGTGACCGAAACTGCTGCGAGGAATGGGAATATAGCCATTCTACAGTTCCTGTTAACACATGATTCCAGTCGTAAAGAGACCAATGGTGACGCTAAGAAGAAGAGGAAAGTGGAGACGGAAGGTGGTGGTGCTAAAGCTGAGATCCAGGGGAGTGGCGGGAATAGCATCAAGTGGGGGACACGTGTGATAAGCTATGCGCTGGGCAGTAAGAAGTCGGACGTCGTACGCTGGCTGCACGAAAACATGCCGAACGGCGAGAACGAGCGAGACCGAGAGGCGGAAATTAGACATGCTTTGAGAAATGGCGACGTGAAGCTGGCCGAGTTCCTGATGCCTCCGGGGAGATGCGTGCTGGACTACGCGCCTTGCTCCGGGCTGAAGATGATCGAGTGGATGCTGGACTGTGGATATATACAGCGCGATATCCGCCATGGTAATTCAGCTATTGAAAGTTTAGCGCATCTCGGGCGGCTGGATCTCATGGGAAGATTTTTAAACAGGTCTTATGAAGGTCTGGTCTTTTTTGGTCCGTAGGACCAAAACAAGACCGAAATAAAATTAGCCTCCAAATGGGACCTAAAAAAGACCCTACACAAAACCGGGTTTTGGAAAAAATCTATAATCAAATATGCAAACGGAAAATTGATGTATTATGTATTAAAGGGGATATTGCATGAAAAACCATACTGGACAAAACCTCTGCTGTCAACGGTTAACTGTAAGTTATGCTAGCCCGGCTTGTACTCTAGCTGCCCGGGTCGTCCGACTTGATGAACACCCCTGCCCCCGCGTGTTGATGATTCAGCCAAACGATAGAGTTCACACTCGGCGGATCCGTCAGCACCAACAGTCTCTCCACGGTACCAACACCGTCTTACAGGCGACTCACATGAGGCCGCAACGCAGTCGCCATGGGCCCAACCAGCGCACCCCAACGCAAGCGAAGCGTCCAAATGGTGCCAAATCTTGGCCAGCAAGCTTCACAGGATACCATCCACTCTCACCAGTCCGAACGTCAGCCAACAGCAGCCAAAGCATACGAGAAGATGTCGACGTCGATCTTCGGCCCCTCAGCTACCACTATATGCATATAGGCCAGACCAATTGTGGTTTTCCTTCATTTGCGGCATCAAAGGGGGCAATCGAGAAGTAAATTTTGAGTAGGAGCAGAGGCTTGAAGTGCTCTGCGAAGCAGGGCTGTGAGAGACTGGCCCCATGGAATGTGGAGGGCGAGTTGCGAGCTAGCGCCCTGCTGTATGTCGATCGCTCGATCACTAGCGCTGGTCGCTGTGTCTGTGTGCTACCGCTACTCTTCCTAAAACGAACTCTCGCTACTGCTGTCTGCTGTTGTACTCTGCCTCTACAGGAAACCCCAGTAGCCTTCCACCTATCCTTCTCTTCACTGCACTTTGTTGTGTTCCGCTTGCTTCGTCCGAATACTCGCCACACCAGCATGAAGTCAGACCCAGCTCTAACAGCGCCTTCAAACAGCACATCAGCATCTTATCAATAGCACGGTCACCAAAAGCTAGGTGGAAGTGCGCCTTCACAAGATTTTCGCGTCAGTGTCGAGACTGTCTTTTATTTGGGGACTAAGCGCATCATTACCACGGATATCAACGGCCAACTTGACCATACAACAGTCAACATATTGCAGCTAAACAAACCACTACTCAGACCGGTCCGTTTGCAGCCATCAGCCTCGCAGTGAACAGCACCAAACAAGCAGTTAAGCAAACTCGAATTCTAGTGCCAACACGGAAAAGCAACCACGACAAAGCAAGGGGATTATCGAACATTACCTTAGCATGAGCCGTCTATCAAGGGGGCTAGTCTTCACAGCCCTGATTTGCCGTGCAGTTCAAGCCTCGGCTCATATCCAAACTGAACTCCTCGATTGCCCCCTACGATGTCGTATTGAAGGAAATGGCAAGTATTCGGGCGAAGCAAGCAGAATGCAACGGATTGCCGTGAAGGGATTAAGGATACTCTAATTTCCTGCAGAGGCAGAATACAATCAAGTACTTCAAGTACCAAGTACCAAGGATCAGTGGTACATGCAGACAAGAATACATGCACGAAGATAGCAGTAGATTCAGGCACGAGGACGCCTGAGTTCGTGGAAGCTCATTTAGGAAGTCTAGCAACACCGCACAGTCCGAGCAGCGTCGACGATCCAGCGATCGACATCAGCAAGACGCTCGCTCGCACATTTCAGACATTTGTGTTGTAATCTCCAGCATTACTTCAATAGCAAATGCCCTCTATCATCTATCACGATATTTTGTATCAGAGTGAAGGGGGTCTAAAAATGGCTTGTTTCGTGGTGATATCATTTGGGTCTCGCCATCCAAACGGGACTGGTAGCGAAATCATAACGATTTTCTGTTCGGTCTCATTTAGATGTCGTAGGACCAAAACAGGACCAGACCTGCATAAGACCTGTTTAAAACCTTACCGATCTCATGCAGCAGATTGTGCTTCTCCATTCTCCTCGTGAGCACCTGTTGGAAAAGGTAGGGCGGCGCGGGGATTGAACTCACAACATACCTGTAGAACATAGCTCGTTAGACCGTTACACCATACAGGCGCCCCGATCGTCGTCTCTTCGGGCTGGGGCTTGATACTGTCTGATTGCATATTCCAACAGCACCACTCGCTTTGTTTGCACTCGTGGTGGAGTGCCATTATGACTGCCTGCGAACAAGGCTATTTGGAGATGCTGAAATGGCTGATGGAGCATCCGTTAAGCCTATAAATTCGTAGGAATATGATCCCACACCAGAAGTACTCCCTCCTTATTCGTTCGGCTGGACAAAATGAACAACCCGAGATCATGGGGTACCTTTACGAACACGGAGGCGCGGAAGAGCTCGATGGCCCTCGTGTACTGGAGGAGTATGCCAGGGAGTTGAACATTGCAATTCGAGACGATCGCCGCAAGACTGTTAAATGGCTGGTCGAAAACATTCCGTTTCCTTACTTTGGCCAGCCTGGTGACATGGCCATCGCGATAACCACGAGATGCCGGCGTTTCGAGATCTTGCAACTTTTCCACGAACTCGGTTCATCAGGAGTGGTTGATCTCACGCAAAGCGAAGATAACCACAGTAGTCAAGTCGCCTCGTGGTGGGCTCGCTCTCGCAATGTGATGGACTTCGCCGGTGGAAGTGGACGCGTGGATATGTTCAAGTGGTTATTGGAGAACCACCCTCTAAAGGTCACGAAGGACGCAATGGACCGAGCTGCGTGTTGCGGTCATTTGGAAATGGTGCAATGGCTGCATAAAAATCGATCGGAAGGATGTACGACAAAGGCAATGGATGACGCCGCGTCCAGAGGCCATTTTGAAGTGGTGAAGTGGCTCCACTCTAACCGTCAGGAAGGATAGGATGCACGGAGGCTGCGATGGACGGAGCTGCGGAGGGCGGCCACCTGGAGATCGTGAAATGGCTACATTCCAATCGGAGCGAGGGGTGCACTAAGAAAGCAATGGACGGAGCTGCCCGCGAAGGACTTTTGGATATAATGAAATGGCTGCACGCAAACCGATCGGAAGGTTGCAATCCCAAGGCGGTTTATGGCGCTCTCAAGCACGGTCACCTCGAAGTTTTGGATTGGCTGCATACACGTTTTCCTGTCTTCACGGCTCCGATAACGCACATCCCGAGGGGCGCTGAAAATATGTTCGAAATGCTGCTCTACGTGCACGAGCACTTTGTTCAAATTATCACCCCGGAGTTTATTGCAATGTGTCGCCAATTTGGTATGCGGCACAACGTTCTTCCCTGGCTGGTAGAGCATTACTCGAGCTCGTGAGGAAGCCGTCAGGCGCTGGAAACTAAAGAGCTTCAAAGGTCAAGCGTGTCCGTCAAACGAATTTTCTTGCAGATGCAAGCGGTGTTGAAGGAGTTTGCTTCGTTCACCTGTCAGAGTGCACCGCCGTCGTTTAGTGTAATTTCTTGTCAGCTGCGTCTAATGAACAACCCATATTCAGCCTTGAGATCATTTTGATCCCCAAAAGTCCCTCCAGAACTACATGTACACGCTTCATGTCATGCATTCTTTCAGCGTAAATCTACACAAGTACATAGCCATACTTGGTACAGTACGTACCAATCGCCTGCGGAGCTCATGATCTCGCTGCGAGACGCAGGAAAAGATTCATTTGTGGATGGGTTCAACATTGCATCTTGGCAAGAAGGGTTTGGGAGGAAGCGCGTCTGTCCTCGCAGGATCTGGCGCAATCTTGGCTGCATTCATAAACGTCAAAGATGGCTTCGCTTCAAAGGTACATACATCACGAAGGCCAGCCCCGCAAAAATGAACGCTTCCATCCACACAGTCCGACAGTGTTCTGCTGCAACTCGACAATGTTCAAGTGGCCCACACCTTTTGCGAATGGGCCGGAGCATGCTCTCATGTTGCGAGTCGCAAGGACCTCCAGCGAATACAGTTGCCCCGCAGCTTGCACGGTAGACAACCGAAATAATCAGATCAAGAGAGGGGGTTGGTGCCCGAAAAGTGCAGTCAAGAAGGCCACAAACAAGCACGGGCAAGTGGCGAAGGATCGGGCAGTTCGCACTGGTGGAATAGACATTGCCCGTGTCCACTGCCGGATTGGTGCGTTTTAATAAGTGGCATGTGCTTGCCGTTCAAGTTTGCTCTGGGTATTTTACCCGTAGGTCATACAGTGTACAGGCGGTTTCTCCAAACATACACCAAGTTTGCAGCTGTTATTCTGTGTAAAGGATCGAGCTCGAACCTATTGACACCTCCAACCTGCAGCTTCGAACTCGAACCTCAGGTTTGACCATGATGGCGTTAAAACGGCCCCAAAATTTCAGACATTACACGCCGTGCCGGTGCACTGGACAGTTCCGACTGCAACCGCGTGTGAAAGCACCGGATCAAGCCACCGCGACCCAAATGCGGAAGACCGGGAGCTCGCTACAGCTGAGGACACGTACACATGGGCAGATTTGCCCCCACACAAGTTGAAGCACTGGAGGAAGCAGCTCGTCGTACGTACGGTGTAAACCAAATCGGAGCGCTTGGGTACAGCACAGTACACGTGTGTGTTTTCCCATCAAGCGTTCGTTAATGCACCGGAAACGAGTCATCGTCATCGGCAGTGGGAAATCGGGAGCTCTGGTTCAGCTTGCCCGTCAATTGTCCGGTGCGTGCGCGTGCCCAAACCATGTCTCATGCACCACACAAGGAACAATGCAACGAAAAGCTTTGCCTCGTCTCGTTTCGGCCTCGGTTGGCTGGTGCCGGCTGGTGTATGTTGGTGTATGTTGGCCCAACATTGTTCGGCACGATCCCATGCAAAAACCGATCCAGATGCTTGGCGTTCCTCCAATCAATCGTCCAAGTTCAACTTGACCTTCCGTTAAACAGGCGATACCCTGCTGCAAGCTTTTCCTTCGGTTGGCCCACGAATCCCCAACGGTACGTGGCGTGGCGGCGCCCTCCATGCGTCTCTGGCTGCTTGCCATTCTGCAACTTGCGCGCTGTCGAGCACCCACCAACGCAATTCCAACAAGGGTCAAAGCGTCAAGCGCCATGTTCTCCCGACTTTCAGCCTACGCGAGCAAGATGTGGAACTCCATCGCGAGCACACAGGACGACGGCGACTACAACAGCATCGCCACTCCTAACGGCCAGAGCGCGCCCACGCAGCAGGAGAAGGGCTTCGCCATGTCGCTCGTGCTCTTCGAGGCCGTGTGCCTCATCTTCTTCGCCCTCAAGTTCGAGATGCCCAGCCCCGACAACAGCGACGCCGAGTCCGCGAGCACGCTGAGCTACTACCCGTTCTACATGGACGTCCACGTCATGATCTACATCGGTTTCGGCTTCTTGATGACGTTCCTGCGCAAGTACAGCATGAGCGCGGTGGGGCTCAACTTCCTCATCGGCGTGCTGTCGCTGCAGTGGGGTGTCATCATGGTCACCATGGCCCACCAGATCATCGGAGACGACTACCACACCAAGATCCTGGACATCCCCACGATGATCAATGGCGACTTTGCCGCCGGTGCCGTGCTCATCAGTTTCGGCGCCGTTCTGGGCAAGACGACCCCCACTCAGCTCGTGTGGATGACGTTCCTCGAGATCATCTTCTACGCCATTAACGAGTACCTCGTGTACGAGCAGTTCCTCGCCACGGACGCCGGCGGCTCGATGGTGATCCACACGTTCGGCGCCTTCTTCGGCCTCGCGGTGACGATCCAGTTGGGCGTCCCGACCGATGACCAGCAGGTGCACAACACGTCGCGCTACCACTCGGACGTGTTCGCCATGATCGGAACACTCTTCCTCTGGATGTACTGGCCGTCCTTCAACGCCGCGCTCGTGAGCACCGACGGCTTCCAGCAGGAGCGCGCCATCATGACCACGGTGCTGAGTATCGCTGCGTCCTGCGCGGCGACATTCGCGGTCACCAAGCTCTTCAGCCACACCAAGAAGCTCGACATGGTCCACATCCAGAACGCCACGCTCGCGGGCGGCGTCGCCATGGGCACGAGCTGCAACCTCGCCATCAGCCCCGCCGCGGCGATCACTGTGGGTCTGGTCGTTGGTCTCGCGTCCACGCTTGGCTTCAGCTACGTGACCCCGCGTCTGGAGCGCGTTATCCGCATGTCCGACACTTGCGGCATTCTCAACTTGCACGGAATGCCCGGTGTGGTCGGCGGACTGGCGGGTGCCATCATCACATTCACGGCGTCCGACTCCAACTACGGCGACAGCCTGACGAGCGTCTACTCTGCGCGCGCCTACCGCTCGGCCAACGAGCAGGGCGGCTACCAGCTCCTCGCCATCGCCACGTCCATCGGCATCGGCGCGGTCTCGGGCTTCTTCGTCGGCGCCTTCCTCAAGTCCTCGCGGTTCCGCCAGCAGAAGTTCAAATACGAGGACGAGGAGTGGTTCCACGTGCCCGAGGAGGAGAGCCACGTCTAAGCAGCCAAGCAGCTCTCGACAACGAGTTAAATACAAACAAAGTTTCGTGTCTAAGCCATTTGCTCTTCTTCATCTAAAGGTGCATGTAGCGTCCGCATCCTGGTCATTGCGTCGTTTACGAATCGTGCGGATAGGCTTTTGGGTATCCGGATATGGTTAGTCGATCATCCGTGCAACTTCAACTATCTGGACCAAAATCTGGTTTTTTATGCACACTTGGGACTAAAAATCGCTAACTTGAGAAAAGGCAAGGGCAAGATGTCGAGCGCGTTACTGTAGAGGCCGTTGCCTTCGTGCTGCAGCACCAGGAAGACCTTGCAGCCTTGAAGGGCCTCGCACGCACCATATCCAGCTTTCTAGGCCCGCCACCAAACTTATCCCTAAGTCGGGCCTGCTCTCGTGGCTTCACCAAACTACTAGACTGGATCTGGGACAGCAGTTGTCCTTCCGCCGCCGACAGACCATCGAACTGGGCTCTCGCCAACTTCCTCCGGTCCGACAGCCACTACAACCGCTACCAGTTCTCCAAGTCCGTGGAAGTTGCAGCCACTCGCAACGATTTGGGCACGCTAAAGTGGCTCTTTGCTCACTTTGCGGGCTGCCAATTGCCCAAGGAGGTTGCTGCGGCCGCTGCAACGCATGGCAACGTACCCATGCTGCAGTTCCTATGGGAAAACGATGCTGGAAGGCTGGATAGAGGCGAGAGCACCAGCAACAACAGGCAGGAGATGGAAGCAAGCGTTGGGACGACGGAAGGACTGATCTACAGTGGCAATGTGGTCGACTGGCGATTCGTCCTCACAACTGCGCAGATGTCGCTCGGTGGATACGGTGGCACTTAGTTTGTCACGTTGGAGAGCGAGACAGAGAGAACGCCATTATAAGGGCTCTTCAATCTGGTGACGAGGAGCTGGCCAAGGTCCTGATCCCATCAGGCAGATGCGTGTTGGACTACGCTGCTAGGTGTTCATGTGCGGAAATGGTCGAGCTGCTCCTGGATTGCGGCTATATACGGCGCGATTGAGAGCTGGCAAACAGCATGATCCAGAAGTTGGCTGGAGCAGGGCGACTGGATTTCATGCAGCAAATTGTGCTGCTTCATTCCCCGCTGCCTGAGGGCGAAGAATCCTTTTGCCATGAAGCGTGGCATAGTGCAATGGTGGCGGCAAGCTGGACTGGGCGTATGGCGACGCTCAAGTGGCTCGTGGAGCACCCGATGGGTCAGCCCATTTGCGACTACATGAAGAGCCGACGGAATCTTGTCAGCTTTGTCTGCATCGCGGGGAATCAGGATCAACTCGAGGTGATGCAGTACGTTTACGACCTTGGGGGGTTGCCTTTATTTTGGTTCTTATGCAGATCAGGTCTAGGATTTGAACATGCTGATTATGAAACCGAATCGGTAGACCTGAACCAAACACCCACAGGAGTGGAACATGACACGACAATTCTTCTCTATCTGGATATGCTCCGTTCAACGTTCTGCTCTGCCAAGTAATAACCAAGCTTCTTGTAGACGAAAGGTGGTCTTCTCTGAATGAGCAGACATTATCCAGTGGCAAGACCCGATACGTCCTTAGTCACTTCCTAATACCTGTACCTCTATTTGCAATATTCTGCTGCTCTTCCGAGTTGGTACCGTAGCCGCAGCAAGATGCATTAGGCGGTAAACTCACACACTGGTCTCTCTTATACATGTATAGTGAGACAATTGTATTTGATTCGATATGCAAACTATGTATTGGACGTAGCAATGACCTCAACGCCACTGTGTAAGGCAGCACGGTCTAGTCGTAGCTGCGAGCGCCTTCGAGCAGAATGGCGGCCAACCCCACGTGGATTGGCATGCTTCGTGCGATGCATCGCTTTACAGGGTGAATATGCCGCCTGCACGAACCTCGAGTTGCTGCTCATCCCCTCCGTAGCGAAAATGACAACCTACGAGAAGTGCTTGGCGAGGGCTTCAGCTGTGACCACGCAGTCAAGTGTCCGACTTGCGCTTCTCCTTCACGTAACTGGTGCACGGAGTGCCGCACGGGGGTCCCTGGAACGTGCTGACCTTGATGAAGAGCTTGGGGTGCGGTGACTTGATCTTGACCACAATATTGCTCTCTTTGCCCCCGCCCCGATGAACTCATCTCAGTGTTAGTGCCGCGAACTGCATCTTCCCCACCACTGAATCGCTGTCCCTATCCTCGGGCTTGGTGTCCTCGTTTTGCATTCTTCTTGTCCGCGTCTAACGTCGCCGTAGATGACGTCGTAGGCTATGACTCGTAGCGGGGCGACGCGGCGGCGCTGGACTCGAGCTTCAAGCTGAAGTATTAACTGGGCCCCATGTCTCCGTCCGAGGAACTCGTAAGCAGCGAAGCAGTGGGCCACCTCCGACCGGCCGTCGAAGGGGAATGCGGGCCTAGCACATGACGAAATCGTCGCCCGCGCAACAAAACTCGAACGGATGTCTTCTGCAGCGGGAGGGCCTAAGCGCTGCGGTGCCCAAGCTGAGCTCCACCGACCTGGGATTCTCCTGCTACAGCATGGACACCCTCACGGCACTGGCGGGAATCAGGAGCTCGGGCGACGTTGACACCATCGAGACGTGCTCCGCCGCGCGCGGCCTTCGATCACGAGATGCGTGCCGCACTTCACACGGCAGGCGCGCCTACGCCCACCTTCTCCTTGGAGCGCAGAAGCCGTCTTGTGCCAGCGGCGACTTGGTCAGCGACGAGCTGAAGAACGCCACGCGCACCTTCCGCCGGCGCGCCGCGGCCTGCTGCTGTTGCACCTGGATCTCCTAGCTCCACGTCCAGCAGCTCGCTGTGGTTGCTGGAATGGGTGGAGAGGAGGCTCAGTCCATAGCGGGTTGGACCGTTAGGGCTGGAAGACCCCGCCAACCGAGCCGCTGGCAACTTGATGATAGTTGCCGGCGTCGTGGCAGCCACTGCGCTGAGGCTTGAGGGCTTTCGTATTCTGCTAAAGTTAGGCGTTTGTCGTCAAAACATGGTGAATGTGATCCAATCACAAGTTCAAAGAAAAAGCACGCTCTGATCAAATCCAAGACCTGTTCTGCATACGACCCATTTAAAAATCTTCCCCTTGGGGCGGTGAATGAGGTCTCGGAGCCTCATGTAGTCGACATCAGTGAGAGATGCTTGATGGCTGCTATTCGGCGTGGATGCTACAAGACGGTCAAGTGGTTCATCGAGCGCGTGCGATTCCCCTCGCAAGGTGTAGTGGCTACCTCCGCCGTCACCACGGCCGCAAGATGCGGACGCCTAACATCCTGAGACTCTTTTACGAAATGGGTTCGGTCGATTCAGCACACAGCGAGCAAAACCACTCGAGCCAAGTCGCTACGTGGCGGTCTCAACCTCGAGACGCGATTCGAAGTGCTGCTGAGAAGGGATGCTTGGAAATGCTCCAGTGGCTGCTGCTGAATTTTCCCAAAAACTGCCCCAAGGAAGCAATGGACCTCGCTGCTGCCGGTGGATCCCTCGAAGTAGTGCAATGGCTCGACGCGAACACATCGGAGGGGTGTACGACAGACGCAATGGAAAAGCTGCCGAAAGTCACTTGAACGTTGTCAAGTGGCTTCACGCGAACCGATCAGAAGGATGTACGGCCACTGCAATGGATGAAGCTGCGTCCATGGGCCGACTTGACGTGGTGCAATGGCTTCACGAGAATCGCAACGAAGGATGCACGACGCAAGCCATGGATAACGCTGCTCGCAATGGCCATTTGGCGATGGTTCAATGGCTGCACGCCAATCGATCCGAGGGCTGCACTGCCAACGCGATGAACAACGCAGTGAAGCTCGGCCATCCGATAGTCGCTACCTGGCTTAACACTCATTTTCCTCAGCACGGCCTAACTGCGGCGGATGTGACGGTGGCGACATTCGAGATGCTGCTTTATCTCCACACCAACTTCGCGCACCTCTTCACCTCCCAATTCGTCAAGGACCTTCGGCGCAAGTTCAGGAGCGCCTACAACCAAGGCCACGTTGTTGCCTGGCTAAACGAGAACTTCCCGAGCTCATAGAAAGCGATAGCAGTGACAGCTGAGAACGCTTCAACGGTATCGGGGCGGTGCATTTAACGTTAGTGCGCCGTAAACGTCCACGGCGTGCAAATCTGGATGACCCCATCAACCCCGTCACCAAGATCTCCCCCTCATTATGGCATCAAGCGCAAGGCGTCATTGTGTTTCTGAAGTTTTGTTGTTTTCTTTTTTACTAACTCAACAGGCTGCCGTCGGGCGTGCCGTGGCTCCTAGAGAGCCGAGCCGACCGCAGTTCTAGCGATTACTTCGCCACTTAGAAGGCGCTCTTGATGATCTTCTCGAACTCGGGCTTGAGCGCGGCGCCGCCCACGAGGAAGCCGTCGACGTCGTTGAGCGCAATGAGCTCCTCGCAGTTGTCGCCCTTGACGGAGCCGCCGTAGATGATGCGCACGTTCTCGGCCACGGCGGGGGACACCTTGCCGGCGATCCAGGCGCGCAGGTCCTTGTGGGCCTCCTGCGCCTGCGCGGGGGTGGCCACCACGCCCGTGCCGATGGCCCACACGGGCTCGTAGGCGATGACGATGCGCGCCCAGTCGGCCTCGCTCACGATGCTGGCGAGCGCCTGCGTCTGGCGGATGAGCACGTCCAGCGTCTTGTTGGCCTGGCGCTCCTCGAGCGACTCGCCGATGCAGAAGATGACCTTGAGGCCCAGGTCCAACGCGCGCTTGGTCTTCTTGGCCACGACCTCGTCGTTCTCGCTGTAGTAGGCGCGGCGCTCCGAGTGGCCCGTGATGGTCCACTCGAGGCCGAAGTCCAGCAGCTGCTCGGCCGCGATCTCGCCCGTGTAGGCGCCCAGGCCGGTGAGGCTCACGTTCTGCGCGCTCACGGCGATCTTCTTCTGCAGCAGCGACTTGGCCAGGTCGATGTGCAGCGCGGGGGGCGCCACCACGACCTCGACCTTGTCCGAGGTGATCTCGACCTTGTTGAGCAGCGCGCACAGGTCCTTGACCGACTGCACCGTGCCGTTGCACTTCCAGTTGCCACCGATGAGGTACGTGCGAGCCATTGTAGGGATGGAGAGGGGGGGGGGGCTTCACTTGCGAGGACGCGAGGAGATTCGATAATGAGACCGACGAAGGTGAAGCTTTGCTTTGGCTTGGCTTGCTGGGGTAAGATACGCAGCATAACATGTGGTGGGTTTGGTGATTGGGAAACCCGCGCGGTTGACTCGGTGTTTGTATGGAAACGGGTCTGGACCCGGACCCATTCCCGTAATTTCACGCGTTGGTGTCACGGACACAAATGTTTTTGCACATGGTTTAGCGGGACGGAGAAGGGTTTAGAGGAGAGATTGTATGGGCCGGAATAAATGGTACGCGTGGGCGCGTTTTTCTGTAAAATAGCCACGTGCGTGGTGGCCCCCAAGCAGAAAAGTGCGTGGCGTGTCAAGCTGGACGCGAGCAATCCTTGGCAATCGACAATCTCTCACGCCGCAATTAATCGGCAGCCGGGCAAAGACCTGCGCGGCTGGCTGAGAAAAAGCCACTGACGTGGCCACCTTCGAATACCGGGGAGTGCAATCAAGGCCGGAGCAGGCTTGTTCGGGTGGCAGCCAACGCATTTCCAGAGCTACTACAGGACGACTCGCTCGCACTTCGTAGAAGACCATCACTTCCTGCTGCGTCTTAGCATGTGAAGGTGCGTCCACGTCCTCGGATGCGGTAGTTGATGTTGCATAGCTTGCATCTCCATGTAAGTCCATGGCGAAGTGTCCACCACCAGGTCCGCCAGTGCAGTCCAAAACCGCAGTTAACGTCTCCATCGCCTTCACCTACCAGTATGAGAGACCGTCGAGCAAGTATTCCACATCTACGGCCACAACTCCAGCAGCTACACGCGTACGTTACTTTCGGAGACTTCATGCGTGGACCCGTGGAGACTCTCCACTGGAGACCGCTACGTAGCGGTAGGTCAGCGCCGTGCCAAGTGCGACGAATTGGGTGTCAGTGGTCGCAGTAGCAACCGAGTCATTCTCGAAGCATATATTCTTCAGCGCAGCTGGACTTGTTGGTGGTTCGAATGCAGCGCGCCACGGGTCGGAGCGCTGTGAGGTGGATCGATGGTCGAATAGCCCGAGTTGAAGATATTGGTAACAGTCTAGGCACTTTGCTACATGATCAGCATGAGACCCAGTCTACCCTAGGTATGCAGCTTCAGCCTTCATACACTGCATCAGCCAAATCGGATCAAATAACTCGTGCATGTTCGCATTAATACCAACTAAGCCTTACTGAACTTGCTTGTGGAAGCTCGCTTGTATGCCTTGTAGGCAATTGTCTCCGCCTACGCCGAGGGGCAGTCGACGAACGCCGCAGACTGGTCCGTCGTCCTGACCTTGCAGAAGCGGCACACGCCGTCAATGCAGCCCACGCCGCCACTCGCACACGATGCGTCCGTGAAGATGTTGATGCCGACAGCAGCGTCTCCGTCCGACACGACCTGAGTGCACACTGCGTCAGAGGTCGGAGGGGCGGCGGTGGTTGCTGCCGGTGCCTCAGTCGGAGCATCCGTCGGGGCATCAGTCGGAGCATCCGTGGGAGCGTCGGTAGGAGCATCGGTAGGGGCTTCGGTAGGCGCATCGGTAGGCGCATCCGTGGGGGCATCCGTCGGGACGGCGGTCGGGGCCTCGGTGACGACAGTATCCGCCGTGGTGATCACGTTGGTCGAGTACCCGGTGACGGACGTGCAGTCCACGAACGCCGTCGACTGGATCGTGGTCAGCACCTTACAGAAGCGGCACACGTCGTCAATACAGCCGACACCACCGCTCGCACACGAAGCATCCGTGACGATGTTAATGCCGACCGATGCATCGCCCGAGGAGACGACCTTCGTGCACGCAGGCTGGTCGGCTGGGGCAGCAGTGGGGGCGTCCGTGGGCGCATCAGTTGGAGCATCGGTCGCGGTGACGGTTGGCGCATCCGTCGGCGCGTCGGTCGGTGCGTCGGTGGTGGCTACCGTGCCGAGAACGACGCCGCAGTCCGTGAACGCCGCCGACTGACTCGTGTACACGAGGCGGCAGTAGCGGCACACGTCGCTGATGCATCCGATGCCGCCGGTGGCGCAGGACGTGTCGGTGACGATGGTGATGCCGGCCAAGATGTCGCCCTCAGCCGCCGCTTGCTGGCACGTGCTGCCGGTGGCCGGTGCCTCGGTCGGGAGCTCTGTCGGAGCGTCGGTAGGGGCGTCCGTCGGAGCCTCAGTAGGTGCATCTATCGAGGCATCAGCAGTAGGAGCGTCTGTAGGCGCATCGGTAGGAGCCTCCGTCGCCGTGACAGTGGTGGCGCCGGCAATGGCACCGCAGTCGGTGAACGCTGCCGACTGCACCGTGGTTCTCACTCGGCAGAACCGACACACATCATCGATACAGCCGACACCGCCGGCACTGCACGACGCATCGCCGACAATGTTGATGCCGACCGCTGCGTCGCCTTCGGAAACTACGAGCGTGCACGAACCACCGGCAGTAGTGGTGGTGGTGGTGGTCGTCGGTGCATCCGTAGTAGACGCCGAGGCATCAGTGGCAATGACGATCGGTGCATCCGTGGCAGCCGCAGTCGGTGCCGGGGTCGTGATCGTGCCGACCGTGACGAGGGTGGCCGCGTTGAAGTCTGCGCAGCCCAGGAAGGCCGTCGACTGCGGCGTCTCCTGTACCTTGCAGAACCGGCAGTGGTCGCTGAAGCAACCGAGGCCTCCGTACAAGCAGTCCGCATCGACCACCGCAGCGATGCCCACTGCAGCGTCACCTCCCGAGATCTCGCAGGGCCCAGTGGTGACCACCAGCGGCGCCATGGACGGGAAGTTGGCCCCAAAGGACGAGCAGCTCTCGAACTGCGTCGACTTGGGCGTGTCGATGAGCTTGCAGTAGCGGCAGTGGTCGTTGTAGCAGCCGAGTCCGCCGTTGGCGCAGCCGGCGTCGTCGACAACGCGGACACCGAAGCTCTTGTCACCTTCGGAGACTTCGCACACGGTAGACGTCGCATCTTGGGCCGTCGAAAGGGACAGTGAAGCCAAGCTGAGTGCACAGAGAGCGACGGCCTTGACGTAGGCACGGGTGGAAGTGCTGCGAGAGTACACCATGGTTGTGGGGGGGGGGGGGGTAGGTTGGGGTAACCGGAGCTGGAAGGGGAGGTTGCTGTGTGAAGCAAGTTGTGGAATGAGTGGAGTGCCTCACGACCGAATCGGGGTCACCACCACCAGCACTTTGGGATTGGAACTACATCTCATGTAGACGGAAACAGTGCTATATTTGCCATTACAGTATATCCATTCTTGGTTTTATAACATTATCCCAGAGAAGTTTCGCCGACTACTCCATCTATGGAGTTGGCCGTTGCAAACCTCCTCGGTGGAGTTCCACTCTACTTTCATTCGCGTCAACCTTTCACTGGTACACTTATTAATAGTACAGACACGGGATAGTGATACTTCTTCGGCAAAAATGGGTCCGGTGCTGCAGTAGTAACCCGTAGAGATTAGCGTCCATTCCAAATTCAAACTTCCAATGCATACAACATATTGTAGTGCTATATAGTAAAGAATCCCATTCCATTTTCTATTTAGCCTTTGTGCGTTCGTTTGCGCTGCTTGCCGCTCTTACTGGGAATACCGCGACTTCTTGAAAGCAGTCGAGCAAGGACTGGTGACGCTGCGATTGTAAGTGCGCACCTGGGTGGGCCTGTGGCAACGGTGGATACATACGCAAGCGCCAATGTGCCGGTATCACTGTCGAGTCTGGAGAGATCCACAAAGGGCACGCGCTTGGCCAGAGTCCTCAGGTCAACACCCTGCTGAATGGCGGCGTATGATCCCGCCAACGTCGCGATAAACCGTCGAGTGGAAGAGGAAAGCCGTTTGCCCGTAGCGCTTGAAGACTTGCTTAATCTGAGAGACCATGATCTTGTTGGTGATGTAGCGTTCGCCAAGGAGGTTGTGTACTGAAGGATGCGAGGCTCACGCGGAAAATAGTGGGTTCTTCCAATGACAACGCTGGGTGGGTCAAATGGGCGTCGCACCAAGTAGCCAGTGTAACACCTTACTGTGACCATAGCTGGAGAAACGTGAGTAAAATATGACAAGCGCTTGTTCTTTTGTTTTGTGCGCGCTCGACGGGCAATGTCTGCCCATGAAAATAATCGCATAGCTTTGGCATTGATAATAATGTCTACTTCGAATTAGTTGCACCGAGATTGTTCATCACCAAAAGCTGCGATACTGAAGCTCTGGGAACGTTCTCTCCAGGAGAGCATCCATCGCATTCGGGTATCCCCTTATGCTATCAACAGTGTGCCAACTTACCGGTGGAGCAAGCGTTTCATGCCGTTAGTTCTAACCCCGCATGAGATGCATGAAACTTTGATATTTTTATACCAGCAATCGCTCTGCTGAAAATGCCTCTACGAATCCAGCACGCTAACAATGAAAGCAGATACTATCGATAATGCAACAAACGACTTGTGAAGTCTCCAAGACTGCCGCTCAAAGCTGCTGGTTGTGGTGACCCCGATTCGGTCGTGAGGCTCTCCACTCATTCCACAACTTGCTTCACACAGCAACCTCCCCTTCCAGCTCCGGCTACCCCAACCTACCCCCCCCCCCCACAACCATGGTGTACTCTCGCAGCACTTCCACCCGTGCCTACGTCAAGGCCGTCGCTCTCTGTGCACTCAGCTTGGCTTCACTGTCCCTTTCGACGGCCCAAGATGCGACGTCTACCGTGTGCGAAGTCTCCGAAGGTGACAAGAGCTTCGGTGTCCGCGTTGTCGACGACGCCGGCTGCGCCAACGGCGGACTCGGCTGCTACAACGACCACTGCCGCTACTGCAAGCTCATCGACACGCCCAAGTCGACGCAGTTCGAGAGCTGCTCGTCCTTTGGGGCCAACTTCCCGTCCATGGCGCCGCTGGTGGTCACCACTGGGCCCTGCGAGATCTCGGGAGGTGACGCTGCAGTGGGCATCGCTGCGGTGGTCGATGCGGACTGCTTGTACGGAGGCCTCGGTTGCTTCAGCGACCACTGCCGGTTCTGCAAGGTACAGGAGACGCCGCAGTCGACGGCCTTCCTGGGCTGCGCAGACTTCAACGCGGCCACCCTCGTCACGGTCGGCACGATCACGACCCCGGCACCGACTGCGGCTGCCACGGATGCACCGATCGTCATTGCCACTGATGCCTCGGCGTCTACTACGGATGCACCGACGACCACCACCACCACCACTACTGCCGGTGGTTCGTGCACGCTCGTAGTTTCCGAAGGCGACGCAGCGGTCGGCATCAACATTGTCGGCGATGCGTCGTGCAGTGCCGGCGGTGTCGGCTGTATCGATGATGTGTGTCGGTTCTGCCGAGTGAGAACCACGGTGCAGTCGGCAGCGTTCACCGACTGCGGTGCCATTGCCGGCGCCACCACTGTCACGGCGACGGAGGCTCCTACCGATGCGCCTACAGACGCTCCTACTGCTGATGCCTCGATAGATGCACCTACTGAGGCTCCGACGGACGCCCCTACCGACGCTCCGACAGAGCTCCCGACCGAGGCACCGGCCACCGGCAGCACGTGCCAGCAAGCGGCGGCTGAGGGCGACATCTTGGCCGGCATCACCATCGTCACCGACACGTCCTGCGCCACCGGCGGCATCGGATGCATCAGCGACGTGTGCCGCTACTGCCGCCTCGTGTACACGAGTCAGTCGGCGGCGTTCACGGACTGCGGCGTCGTTCTCGGCACGGTAGCCACCACCGACGCACCGACCGACGCGCCGACGGATGCGCCAACCGTCACCGCGACCGATGCTCCAACTGATGCGCCCACGGACGCCCCCACTGCTGCCCCAGCCGACCAGCCTGCGTGCACGAAGGTCGTCTCCTCGGGCGATGCATCGGTCGGCATTAACATCGTCACGGATGCTTCGTGTGCGAGCGGTGGTGTCGGCTGTATTGACGACGTGTGCCGCTTCTGTAAGGTGCTGACCACGATCCAGTCGACGGCGTTCGTGGACTGCACGTCCGTCACCGGGTACTCGACCAACGTGATCACCACGGCGGATACTGTCGTCACCGAGGCCCCGACCGCCGTCCCGACGGATGCCCCCACGGATGCGCCTACCGATGCGCCTACCGAAGCCCCTACCGATGCTCCTACCGACGCTCCCACGGATGCTCCGACTGATGCCCCGACGGATGCTCCGACTGAGGCACCGGCAGCAACCACCGCCGCCCCTCCGACCTCTGACGCAGTGTGCACTCAGGTCGTGTCGGACGGAGACGCTGCTGTCGGCATCAACATCTTCACGGACGCATCGTGTGCGAGTGGCGGCGTGGGCTGCATTGACGGCGTGTGCCGCTTCTGCAAGGTCAGGACGACGGACCAGTCTGCGGCGTTCGTCGACTGCCCCTCGGCGTAGGCGGAGACAATTGCCTACAAGGCATACAAGCGAGCTTCCACAAGCAAGTTCAGTAAGGCTTAGTTGGTATTAATGCGAACATGCACGAGTTATTTGATCCGATTTGGCTGATGCAGTACAAAAAGGAAAAGGAGACTTGCCAACCAAGAGATTTCCGTTCGTTGTCGTTGCAATTCGGTGCACGTTGCTAGTAATTGTGCTGCAGATTCTGCAGATTCCTCGGCAGCTTCCCTTTTGGCTGGGTCGAGCTGACCAGTCCCAAATTGGGATTACTGCACAGTCCCGAGCAGCAGAGAAGAGGATTCACTACGAAATTCAAGGGTCCAAGCTTCTCCACAATTGTTTTGCATCTGCCACCTCCGCCGAAACCCAGCTTTTTTTCGCAATAGAGCAACGCATATAAGCTCAACGGACCCAGGAGATGGTGCATTCACTAAAATAAAATTGTCATCTGCACAACGTATTGGTTTTCATGGATCGATAGTAGCTTCAGATGAAATATGTTATCTTTAATAGACCAAGGTTTTGTGAAGCCAAGTGCCCAGCCCTATAAAAGTGATAAAGTAGAGCCTTGCGGAATGCCAATTACAATTCAGCAAGGAGAAATAATAAAAATTGCCGCAATATAAATATAATATAATGTAATGTAATATATTACGTTTTCGCGTTGCCACACTATGCTGTCGCTAGGCTCAGCTTTGCTAGTCGACGGCATAAGGTGGTGTCCGCATACGTCGGGTCCTTCTTCGCCGGCAGTGCGGCGACAATTGCCCTCTCGAGGGCTTTCCATTTAGGTTTCTCTTGTGCAAGCAGCCGAAGTTGGTCCAGGTCACGGCGGGTCTCGAGGCGATAGGCGTATCCGCTCGAGATAAGGTCCGCATCGAGCACAGTCGGTAGGGTCGTGCGTGGGCGTCCACGCCAGGTTCCCTTGGACGACGAGTCGAAGTAGGCGGCCATCTGGGTGTACGCTAGGATTTCGGGCCGGCGCAGGATGTGGCCGAACAGACGCCATCGTGCTGCTGTGATTCTGTGGCGGAGCGGGCGTTCCTGACAGATTTCGTAGAGCGTGGCGTTAGAGATTCGCTGAGGGTAGCGAATGTTTAGTACGCTACGTAGTTGTCGGCGGTGGAAGCTTTCGAGCCCGCTCAGCTCGGACGGCGTCAGTGCCCACGTTCCGCTGTTGTACAGCAGAACAGGAAGCACATAGCAGTTATACAGCCGGACTCTGGTGGCGTCACTGACGTACTGGGACCGGATCCATATTGTCCAGAGCCGACGTAGCGCGCCTGCTGCGAGTATTTTGCGTCGTGTCAGATCTTCTGAGTCGCCGAGTAGACTGCCAAGCTTCTGTGTGGAGCGCCACGCCTCTTCTGTCGCCCGAGCGTGTCGGGAGTAGCCCGACGAGCCTGTACATCGCTGAATCATGGTTAGTTCTGTCTTGGTTGCATTCATCTGGAGGGACCAGCGTGCGAACACTGCTGGTGCTTCGGCTTGGATTCGCTGGACCAGCTCGGTATCGCGGCAGACAAAGTCTGCATCATCAGCATAGACGATCATTTGGTCAAGTAGGGTCCGATTCACTCGGAGGTGGGATGCGAGGTCGCATAATGCAGCTTCCAGGTAGATGACGAACAGGACTGGTGAAAGCGCATCGCCCTGCGGCGTTCCGATGTTGCTATCGAAGCTGTGTTGTGCCTTGGACCCGGAGCGCAGAGAGAGCTTGATGTCGGCGAGCAAAACCTTGATCAATCGGACCTCGTCGTCGTGTAAGAATGTCTGGAGTACTTCTACAAGCTTGACGCGGTCGATTGTGTCGAACGCGCGCGAGAGGTCGATGCCGAGGACATGTATGGTTTCACGATAGCGTTGCACGCGGGCACAGAGCCATTTGTGCGCCCACACGGCGTCAGCAGTGCTTCTGTGTTTGCGGAATCCGCTTTGATTGGGGGATCCACCGCAGCGGATATCCGTGCGAGTACGACGAGAGATAAGGCCTTGCGAATGCTGCCTAACAGCACGATGGGGCGGAGACTGGAACATACACCTCGAGGCTTGTTGGGCTTGGGCAGGCACACGAGTGTTCCTTCACCGAGTGCGAGGGGGGTGCCTTGCTCGAAGCTGCAGTTGACGAGGTCTGCGAAGAGAGGCGCGAGGACTGAAGCCCCGTACTTAAGAAGTTCTGCTGGGAGCCCATCTGGCCCAGCGGCGCGTCCGATGTTGAGGCGCCGAAAGGCCGCTTCGACTTCTGTTGCTGTAACAGGACGGGTTAGAGATCGCGGTTCACGATCCGGAACAGGATGTGGCCGCCCCGGGTCATAAAACAGCGTTCGGAAGTGATCGGTGATCATCTTGTTAGTAGTTTGTTGCCGCAGGATATACTTACCTTCTTGGTCGTGGAGTAACAGCAGTTGGGGTCGATGGGGGCTAATGTCTCGAACTGCTGCATACATTCGTGCCGAGTCGCTCAGATTTTCGATGCGTGTAATCCGCTCGTCCAGTTTGCGAGATGCGATGGCTCGGCATCGCGCTCGGATTTGATGAAGAATCTTGTTGCGGGCGGCTCGGAGCTCGATCGTGTTAGCGGCGCAGTCGTTGTAGATTCGAAGCTGAAGCGCCCGCTGGGCCTCAGAGAGCAGCTGAAGTTCATCGTCGTGATGTCGTACGTGGCGGTGGTTAGGACCTGCGAATCCTATAGTCCCCTCGGCTGCTTCTCGGATTCGATCGAGCGTGTCTGTCCAG